TGGACAAAGGACGTCTCTTTTCCTCTTACCTCTTTTCTCTCATTGTTTCTGCTTATACTTCCATTCTTGTCCCTCCACAGTAGCTGAATCCTCCGAGTAGGATGGGGGAGGGACAGAGAGGTAAAAGCTGACGAAATTCGTGTGGAAGAGAGAAAGACAACGAGCAAGGGCGAGAGAAGCGGTTCTCTTTGGAGAGAACAATGTGAAATGTCTTCCGTGAGAACTTTTTCCTTGCAAAACCACCAGCTTCATGGTGTTCGCTTGCAAAACACGTTTGCGTGTCTGATTCGAGATCAAGGAAGAGATGCTGTATGTGTTGAAATGGAAGTGATGCATTACACTTGATTAGAAATGGTCTAGTTTGTTTATTTATTTTTTACTAGTATCAAACTATATTTTAATTAAAAATTTGAATTATGTGCAAGTTGTTCCATTTTGAAGAATGAATGCTTGTGTGGTGATGGAAGGCTTTTCCTAAGATTTCCCTGACTATCCTTAGGTCCTTCTAGGGTTTTCCTAAGATTAAGGAAAAATGGTGGATGGCTCCTCCTTTTACACTGACTTTTTATTAAAACAAGTCTACGTTGCACTGAAGTGTACAGCAGGCTCTAGACTAAAGACTTAAGTTAGGCAAGAGGAGGCTTTTCCTAGGATTTCCCTGACTATCCTTAGGTCCTTCTAGGGTTTTCCTAAGATTAAAGAAAAATGGTGGATGGCTCCTCCTATTACACTGACTTTTTATTAAAACAAGTCTACGTTGCACTGAAGTGTACAGCAGGCTCTAGACTGAAGACTTAAGTTAAGCAAGAGCCTAGGTAAGAGGAGGCTTTTCCTAGGATTTCCCTGACTATCCTTAGGTCCTTCTAGGGTTTTCCTAAGATTAAAGAAAAATGGTGGATGGCTCCTCCTATTACACTGACTTTTTATTAAAACAAGTCTACGTTGCACTGAGGTGTACAGTAGGCTCTAGACTGAAGACTTAAGTTAGTCTCTTCCTAGGATCTCTCAAGACTAAGGACCAAAGTTAGGTGACTCCTTCACTTCCACTGACTTTTTATTACAATAAGTCTACGTTTCACCAAAATGTACACCAGAGTCCCTATAACGCAGGGTGTACACGAGGTCCTAAGTCAGCATCTCCCAAGATTAAGGGCCAGTAGTGGGCGGCTGCTCTTGCACTTATCCTTCACCAAGATAAGTCTACGTTACACCCAATTGTACAGTAGACCTCCTATAGAGCCCTGTGCCATAAGAATTAACTCATCCACTTTCTCAGTTTCTCTCTTTATACATCAGCTGGTACATCAGCAATAGAAAGGCCAAAATTCTAAATTCGACATCAAGGCTCCGGTATTTCTATAAATACTGATCTCGAGGCTAGAAACCCATCGAAGATCGATTACCACCAATTAACAGATCGTTCATCATCGATTACGAATGCCTGGGTCCACCTCGTGGCCACGATAATGGTTATAATTATGAAACGTTCATTAACGACGATAGTTGTTAAATATAAAGGCGATCGATTAGATATCAATCGCTCACTTTCGACGAGCAAATGTTTGTCAAGAAATCATAATTAATATGAAAATCCGATCGACCGGTGAACTTATAAATTACCGTCTCTGAAGGTGGTGTACGGTCTGAGCAGATAATAAAGCTCGGTGTAAAGTAAACGTCAGAGGTGGTTTTATTCAATGATGCCAATGACACACGAGGCATATTGTGTGCCAGTCACAGTGGTTCTCAAACTGGGAGCGAAACTAGAACGACGGGCCTGTTCGGATTTCAAGGACTCGCCGATACTTCCTGGCCTCTGGGCTCGAGACAAAGAGACATCGAGAGAAAGAAGAAGGAGAACGTTTACTTAATTAGTATCAACGATGACCGGTTCAGCGAGACGTTTAATCGATATCGCGGCCACTCGAGTGTGCCTCCGAGCAGTAGCCGAGGAAAAACGGAAACACCAAAGGGGCAGAGGGGAGGGAGGGAAAAAATGGAATGATTCCAGTAATAGTGGTGCACTGCAGACTTTTCCATGCCGGAATGCCGCGTTTCAGCATTCCAGGCAAACACTGGGATCCCTCGACAGCCTTTGATTTATAGGGATTCAACTCGTCTCCGTTCCCTTCTGGATGGCGTCTAGCATGTTAAGTGGATTTGGTCAACCTCCCAACCGATACCAGGCCATTTTGACCCAGCTACAGAGATAAGGAGGTACACCTCTAATTATGGGAGGAAGGATCATCTTAAAAGGACACTGGACGTGCGCAATGTAGAATTTGTAGTAGACGTTTTTGTTCCTATTTCGTGGAACACACGAGTGATTATTTTCTGTTCGCCTAGTCGGTTCCCCAGCTGTACCGCTATATTTAGGAATGCCCGACTAGAATCTCCACTTTTTCACCTATTGGAAATGCCAGACTATTCCGAGGGGTAGCCAGGCTCACCGCGTGGGTCGGTGGTTTGTTCCTCTTAGACAAAGTGCACGTGAAATGGTGGTCCTTTGTACATCCGATCGATTCACCTAAAGTGATTTTTTCGTTAAAGACACCCGGTAAATGCCGCGCGATACTCAGCATTCCCAGTTCGTCTTGGTGTACTGGATTCACTTGTACTTGGGATATTATACACCAGGTCACATGTTTCATGGACGCTGGTACAAAGAATATTTGGAAAAAATATATTTGATGATATTTGCAAGTGGGCGACCGAGTCGAGGAGATGAAGATGTTACTTGAAGAGAGGGAAGGACGAAGTAGGACAACTGTGTTCTTCGCACACCTGACCTGTTGAAGCCAGCCTCGAAACCGCGTGCACGTCTAAATACTTTTCTAATTCCGTGAGTTAGAGCAGATCCTCCCAGGCGGAAGTCATGGAGAGGAGCGGAAAAGAAGAGGAGGCGAGTGGGGAGGATGCATTCACGTTGCTTTGGCTCTGGACCAAACCTCGAAAAGCCAGGGTCGTTTCAAAGTGGCCGGTACAGGGTCTACGCCTACCGTATCTCAGGTTTCTGCTGGCAGATCGAATATTCTTTGGGACGATTAGCGGTTTCGTTCGACTCGAAGAGGATACACCATCGTACCTGCTCCCAATACCAAGTGAAATTTCCATGAAATATTTTGGGCTGTTCGTAGAGTACAACTCAGCTGCTGTATATAAATTGTTTTAAAAGAATTTGGTACACCATAAGAGGTGCTGCATTGAGCACCAGCGTCACCGAGGCACGAGATCTTTCTCTACGGTTCTCAAGAAGCAACAGGTCTAATAACGGACTGGTAGTTGCAGCAATTATGCCCATTATCCGAGTTGCAGCGGAGAATTGCCGTTCGTGCATCGTTACACGAACTGCGATCCTCGATGTCACTGCAGTTTAACTCGCAGGACGGTTGAAAACCACTGCGCAAACGAATGTGGCCTCAATGGTGTTAACACAGAACCATGGGCCTCATTGCGCGTACACTCGCGTGCAGAGTAGTCTTTTCTCGGTTAACAGGCGGTGGAGGGGAGGATCCTCCCACTGCTTTTCACTTTCGGCACGGTTCGGCTCGTCTCGGCAATTTGTCCACGCCCACCCTCCCTCGTAGAGTACAATAGCGCTAATAGGTTATTATACTTACGTGAACGATTTGTTAGTAAAATACCAAGGCCTTGCTTACATTAGTAGATTAGTTAGCGCTGGTATATTCGAAAGGGTCTATGAAATGTTAGAATAACATTTTTGTATAAACATTATACATAGTGATATTATTACTATGTATAGTAGGAACTATCGCGTGGCTAGGGTTATCTGAACGTTCGGTTATTCCGGATAGCACATTATTGGAATTCTAGGTTATGTGGTTATCGGAAAAGAATGGATCCCTCAAGATAAAACGATACTTAAACAATGCAATGGCAGTTCTATACTTGAAGAGCTTCTGTTGTCTACAAATAATTATCTTCTGTTCAAATAAAAAACAATTAACTTATCTGACTTAGATGATTAGTGTCTCATAATTAAAAATCATATGTCATTTATTTATAAGTTTATGATTAAAATTCCCTATGAGGTGCAAAATACAGTTTGTCATTGCTTGTTACAATCTGTGTAAGAGAAATAGACTGAGAAATGGAAATCCCTGGGGCATCTCTGATCTAGTTTTTTTTTTTTCAAACTGCATAGGGAATGTAACTAGATTTTCGTTTGAGCATCACTGCTGCTCCTACGCGGACTCGGTGATACAGAAGGACAGGTCTGGCAAGCTCTAACCGGCTTGCATATCACGATACTCGTCGAAGTATCGTCGTGAACGTGACTAGTAACTTCGTGTCACCTGCACGATACTGTTACTCGATTATACCAGGACCTCCGCTACCTCTTTTTATTACTCGACGCGCGGAATCCGCTGCCTCCACTTTCCGTGCTTATTGGAACGAACAGCGTATCGAATGAACTAGGAACATTCCGAATTTATTTGTTCATTTTCATTATACAACTATTTTTCTTCAAAGCGTGTTTCATACTTTCAGCTTTTATTCCATTTTATTCTCTGTCCTAGAAGCATTTGTTTCAATTGTATGATGATTTAAGTCTCAGTTTTTGGGGGAATCCTAGTTACTTTTTGCAGTTTCATATTCTTAGACGAATAGTGATTATTTTTATAGTATTCCATTTCTTGAAGTTGGTTCTAGAGGTACTTCTATGCTCTAGGGATATTTCATAACTCCTGTGATATCTAGGGTTCCCTAGATTTTAATATGGAATTAGAACTAAATAAAATTAATTTAACAGGGTCAGAATTGACCCTGTGATCTACTTCGTATTTGACCCTGCTATAATACTGAAGGACAGGTCTCCTGATGTGTTTCAGGAGGACGTGGTGTATGGATTCGCCTAAATGGTGACTCTAAGGGGTTCCATAGAAAAGCATGAGGGAAAGAACACCCTCTGCGGACGACAACCCAAGGAGGGCTCCACCAGCACCACTCAGAGGTGAGTCTACAAACCATTTACAATTACTTTTTAATGATTTTACATTATATATGCGTTGTGTAATTTTATTTTTAACGAGAATCCCTTATTCTTCGAATGGCATACTACAGATCCCGCCGTAGATGGATGAATGTCGTATTTCAAAGGGATTGTTTCTTTAACCCAACTAATCTATACACGGCTACTTACGAAACACCGAGTTTGTGCACATAACAACCGTGTTTCTGAATGATGCGTTATGTAATCCGAGCGTTGCAAGTTGCAGGTTGCCGCCGCGTTTGCATGTGTGCGGATGCGTGCAGGCGTCACGCAGCGCAAGTAGTAGCGATAAGCCGGCTGATATTAAGGCGCGATAACGCGAGACAGGTTATAGATACAGTCAATGTGTGCCAGTGAAACAACGATGCTTGCGAGGGCCTTGAAAGTGCCTATTAAGTTGCCAGTTCCTGACAATTGAAATCAGGAAAAAGAAAGGGAAAACTTAATGTACTTCATATATTAATGTTGAGTTAATTATATCGTTTCATGGGGTTCCACCCACATAGATAACCTCGTGTCACCGCAGTGTCCAATGGTGTTTGAACTCGGCCATTTTTGTGGTCACTGGTGACGGTGGAATTCCCTAGCTAATTAAAGTCTAATTATTCAATCATATTTCCGCATTTTCCAACACAAGATTTATAATTGCAGTGATGGACAATTAGGAAATAACGTATTACCAATGTTTAGGTGAAAGAAGAAACTAAAGTAAGGAGAGTCCTTTATGTATAAGGTTAACACTGAAGATACCGACTGTCGATAAAATCAATGAAGATAAGAAATGGAGGAATATTTTATAAATAATTCATCGGATATCTTGAAGAATGCTTCTTGAAAAGAAGAAACAGGCTCAGGAAGATAAATGATATATTTAATCAAGAAAGAATCCTTCAGGGATGTTTCCCTTGCTTCAGATTATGTCATCTAGTGATTTTTCAAAATATATGGGGAATTATTGGTTCAATTTTGTTTATGTCGATGGGTAGGCTTATAAATATGAATCCTGTATAGTTGGATTATTATAATTGATTGACAGACCGAAGGACAGTTTTATAGTTGTCATTTTAATAGACTGTATCGTTGAACAGTTATAAATTGCATGGTTGTCAGTGACTTGAAGCATATTCAGGCATATACCGGGTGGGATTAAATTGGAAGTAAATTTTTTGTTTGCAATTCTTGATATAACTAGAGAGAGGCCATGTTCCCCAAACCACAGAAAGTCCTAAAAATATATTGAGGAAATCTTTGAAGATATTTTCCACAGATTTTGAAAATAAATATTTTCAAAGCGAAAATGTTCAAACGCAATATTTGTCACTATGTTATTTTACGAAGAAAAGGAATTCTCATAATCCCGATGTCAGCTGAAACACGAAAGTCTTGCAAAACGAGTTTTGCTAATCAAGGAGTTTGTTTCGGTGAAATCAGATAATTGGTTTCTTCATACCGTTGGGAAGGAAAAAGTGTGTTCCAGTCAAATCTGGTAATCAGACACTATCATCTTCTAAGGATAAGAATCTCAAAAGTTCTTCTTCGCCCTTAGGTTATGTTTCCATGAAGACCCACCAATTTTCATTAAATCTAACCTAATTCAAGACTAACCTAACTTCAAAGGCATTCCAATCACTTATCTATCTTTAAGGCATATTTTCAATGCAATTGATGCAATTTTTAAGAAATACGTATCCTAAACAAATCTTCAGTGAACTACCCATCCTTAAGCCTGACTTTCATTGCGGTTGTTTGAAATATTAGGTTAGCGTGCTTGATGCAGTTTTAAGGGAAAATCATTGATACGCAAACCTATAGTTTAGTGTTTCAAAGCGGCGAGACGGTGAGTGGTGAAAAGGAACAGCCGCAAAACGAGTTCAATGAACCCACGTTTAATTACACGGGGCTCCACACTGGCTGCGCCACGCTGAAACGATACACCAGTTCGCATCTTCCAGGCGCTACCACGTTCTACCGATTAGCATGATCATCTTTATTAATTCGAGGATACGTTTCGTTGAACAGACACTTCGTTTCGTCGGTGTAAAGAAATCACCTCGCTGTTCCGCTAATTCGTTATTCGGATTCTCCACTGTAATTGTGGTATATCCTCCGGAGGGAGGGGGTTTAAACCAGAAATCATTTCTCATAGTTCGATTCGACTGGATCATTAACGATCGCCATCGCGAAGTTACGAAACCCGCAATCATTGTCAACAACCATTCGGCCCTGTACCTGTCCTGATGGATCAGGAATGTTACTCTGGTTGGATCGTTGCCAACACTTCTATAATTCCATGCTTTCAATCCTCTCCTCTGACCTGGTTGTCGTTTCCTGGATTTTTCGGAAGATATGAACGGTGTCTGAATTCCCTAGGAACTAATCACACTCCTGTTACCAGTGGTAACTAATTTATCAAATGTTGAATACTAAAATTGGGTATATGCTTTGGATGGTAAACAGAAATTATTTCATATTCTAGGGATACCTAGGAATCTAGGGATTATTCCTTATGCTTGCATTTAGTGGAATAATTTCTAGGGATACCTAGGAATCTAGGGATTATTCCCTATGCTTGTATTTAGTGGAATAATTTCTAGGGATTATTCCCTATGCTTCCACTTAGTGGAATAATTTCTAGGGATCCCTAGATCGAATAATTTCTAGTTATCTTTAAGTTTACCGAGCCAGGATTTTTACAATTTTTTCTCTATAATTGTAGAAATTCAATATTCATTTTTTTATTCTTTTTTTAAAAAGGAAGGTTAGAATGAGATTGAATAACCACAAACTTAATTGAAAGCTAGTCTAAAGTTCTGTTCTGGGTTGAACCGATCATTCAGGACCTAGGAACACTGGGTCGTCCTACTTCCTAACGCTCGGCCGTTGTTAACAGAAATAGAACATTCATGATTTATCCTCTCGATAGATTCTCGTGCAAATTGAAATCATTGAAATCCTGTACTCGCATTTCCATTTGCTTCGAGTTAGTTCAGACGTTGTTCTTCATCGTCGTAGACAGCTGTTATCAATTCTGTGATAAGAAGTCTAATTAAAATATTTATAGAAATAATATGCAGGTATCATAAATTGTAATCTAACATCCTCGAGCCAAATAAAAAATTGAATTTTTTATTTAAATAATTTTAGATTAGCTTGAAAGTTTTTCAAGTTTCCATGGAACCTAAGATAAAGGAATACCCTAGATCCACATAAATTAAAGGTACTGATGGATTGTTCAAATAACAATGTCTCTGACTCAGCTGGAGTCTGTGGGTCCCTTTAAAATCACCAGAAAGTGTGACGTTCATCGTCATCGTTGGCGTCATCGGTGCTCCAACCAGCCGGTTTTCCCCCTTGGGGGACGACCTGGTGTTCGAAGCTTGTCGTCTCTTTTAAGAGCCCTGCCAGAAGGGTGGCGGCGACCCCTTTCGACGGTGGCAGAGGGGCAGTTATCGATTCTACGGCTCTCCCTCTTCCCCTACTTCCGGATAGAACCGCGTCAAGGAGAAAGCGTGGCAGACCGTGTGTGGACTGCATTATCTTTCCTCTCTTGGCCTTCGCTTCTCTTATCAATATTCGTTTGCCTTTTTCTTCATTTTCTTGTCACCTCTGCCCCTTTATTTTGTCGCGTTCTCTATGCTCCTCTTGTGAAAGAAAATTCAGACCTTATTAATCAATTTAAAAATTGATCTCTGCATTTCAAAATTACATCCACAACTATGTAGATATAATATTGAAAATATCAATGATGCAGCTGTAGGAAGTTAAAAACTGAAGCACTCGGCCAAGACTTTCACTCCCATTTCTCTACCTTTTTAACACCCTGTATGTGAGTTTCAATCCCCTCCAAGTTTGTCCCGTTCTCCTTTCCTCGAGCGGCACTCTGTTCTCTCAATTCTCACTCAGCTCGCTTCTCTCCTCCGCATTGTGTCCTCCTCGTCGCCCTTTTCACTTTTTTTTTATTTCTGCCTCCTTTCATCTTGCTCTGTTTCATACCACTTCAGCTATATCCCTCTTGGTCGCTGTCCGTCGGTCTCTCCCTCTATAATCATTTGGGGTTCACCCTGTCTCTCACTCCCTTTGTCCCTCTCGCTTCACCCTGGGTACCGGTCGAACGAGGACGAATAAACGCGAGAGAGGAGGAAATATTGTTTACGAGATCAAGAGAAAAGGGATACGAGGGAGGAGGAGAAAATAAATTGAAGGAAAATGAGGATTTTCCAAATTCCTGACTTCCTATAACAATAGGGATCCAAGTCTCTGGAGTTTTCTGATTTATTCTTATTCTTCCTCAATTATTCCATTGAATTTGGAACTTTATACTGGTGATTCCGGTTTTCTTCTTCATTCTGACTGTTGAGGAACTGAGAAACTGTAATTAACATGGATGATCCATGTACTGTGACGCTGTAACATTGAAGACCTCAATTTTCTCATTTATCCTAATTGACGCAGAGGCTCAGGGATTGTATTTATAGTATCAGAAGGTGATAGATCCATGTTTCCTATTCATTTTCAATTTTAACAATTCATATTGATGCTCAATTGAAGCCTGATTTCATCCAATCAACTTTCACGCATACTTTTATGTTTCAGTTTTCTGCCATTGGATTACCCTAAGCAGGTTATTGTGATAAAACTCAGCCGTGGAACGGTGCAAGGCTTTTGAAACGATAAAAATTGTTTTACAATACCGTGCGTCACGTGCAGCGAGCAGAAAACAAGGGAAACGAAATGCAAAACACGCCTGCCACGATGCGAACGCAAACAGAGGTGGTAATTGCTTAAGCCAGGCTTGGACATCATTTGAATAAACTCCAACTCGTTTTCAATATTATCATTCAAATGATTCATTATCTTCTTTCATCAGTGAACTGTTAGTTGTACAAAACAGATTACAAATTGATGATAAAAAAAATTGAATCTTAGTACAGTAACACTAATTACAAGCAAAGTATTGGAATGTTATATTTAATTAATGATTCATTGAATAATTCAGACAACTTTTGAATTTTCCATTGGTTACTGACCAACTAGGGGACGAGCAATCGAATATTCGTTATAGTATCATCGAAATGACCCAATTACAAGCTGTGGAGTCTAGTGCAAACTCCACGTCTACCGGAAATGGAGTGTGCAAGTTAGAGACCGTTCCACTCGATGCACCTTACGGATACGTAAACGTTTTACATCAACTACTGGCCAGCTCAAATACTGTTATACTGATTTTCTCTGTTAACTAACTGGCAAATTTGTAGTTGCACTGGTAAAAACTTCAGCAGAGTTCAGTTACACTCAGTAAACCCTATGAATCTGAATCAGTTCAATGTTTCTTCTGTTATTGAAAACTGAAGAAGTTTGTAGAAATTTATATTCTCTTATTCATTTAATTACTCGTTTGAAGATATTCTTCAATATAGTTCTTTGCAAATGCAGTTGGTAATGTTTTGAAATATGTTGATCAAAGATTACCAGTTAGTAATGGTTACTAACTTCGTTAAAACCTCCATTCGCTTTAATGAGATTGTGTCAGGTCAATGAAGTTACTATAATTACTCCCAAAAGTGTGCAATATTCACTTTCTGAATTCCACAGAGCTGAAAGGTCGAAGGTCCTCTGTTAATAGAAATTTAACTTCTAATAGACCCGAATTTAATGTCAGAAATGACGTTAGAAATTTATTTCAGATGAAATCCATGGGGGTTTGGATGGCTGAAATTTTTCCTCTCTTCAATCGATAAACCAGTGCTACCTTTTATCTTTCATTTTGTGGAAATACCATGGTTCAAGGTGTTCACTAGAAAAGCAGAGAAATGAGAAGAGTTTTCGTGGCGAGACTCCATTGAGAGAAAAAGGTTGCTCGACGCGATAAAAAAATAGAGTTATGCGCCCCATAAAAATTCTACCGTGCTCGTCCTTTCGCGTTCTGCCGGCCAATCGAATCCTTATACGGGCTGAAATATTGGCATCCATTCAATTTATCCGGGCATATAACGATTCTGCAAATATTTAAACAGAATGTAACGATATTTGATGGAAAATTCAATCATCCATCCAAATAGAAAAAGTAATATCACCGATTGTGATAAATTGCTGAATAATATTTGTATAGGCTGTTCAGGTTATCTCTTGATATTTCATGTTCTACATTGTTCAATAGTTGTATCAGAAATTTGATGCATCCTCTGGAAAAATATTTTATTATCTTTTTCAATGTTCCAGTTAAAATTCCCTTGAACAGACCTGAGGATAACCCTTTGAATGTAAATCATTTCCGGTCAATGATTCTCAACAAATTCAGGCTCTATAGGAATAAGTAATAAATATTAGAAAAATATTCAAGACTTGTGCCGATGAATGCAGTTGGCTGATGCTTCTGTAAAATTCTATGCATCCCTAAGAGACTCCCACACAGTGAAATTTCACAGACAGCCCCTCCATGTTCTGTGAGCATTACTTTTAATACTCTCTGCACACTGCAATCTCTTTTATCGCGTATCTAAAAGTATCATACAATATTATAGCATCTTATAAGTCCATAAAATTGAAAGCATATAAGTTAAACAAAATTTCATTGAGTTCCAGTTTGTTTAATTTATATTTCTTCTTCTCCTCTGATTGGATTCAGGATTTGTGCCAAGAAAAGTTCTGATAGATGTAATAAGAAATAGGATAATTACCAGAGCCAACGACTCGGTGAAAGCATTAATTTTCACTGCCAGGATATAATTCCATCGCTGTAATCCAAACACGGTATTACTGGAGGTGTCCTCTATTTGTATCCTGAAGACTCGTTCTTTCAATCGATAAGCAATTTCTACAAAAACGAATGCTGTAATGACCTTGATAATACATGTATTACCTTTTTCCTTGAATCAGTTAACTGATTTCAAACGTGCACTGTTGGTGCTATGTTAGAAGTGGAGGACCCATGCTTAGGGATGTAATGATTAATTCATAAGAATGATCCCGGTGCATGTAAAGATGAAAATGAAGAATATCAAGATAAATGGACGTTGTAGATGGAAAGTCGAGGAAGATGCCAGAAGCTCGTAGAAATTTTCTTCAAAAGGTCCAACGATGTTTACGACTGTCCCAGACGAGCAAGGAATTATTGATCTGTTCAGTGCTTATATAACATGGCCTGTTTTTTTCTTCTTTTTTCTTTTTACTTTCGTTTGCGTAGGCTGCTGCATTATCCCATTTACCTGGATGCACACTTTTCGTTATATGAATATTTTAGATCTTCAGCAGATAAAAATAGCGAATACTTCTAAATTCGTACAGCTTTCGCCTGCTAAATTGTATCATTTCATTCAACGGATATAATAAACTCTTTGAGGGTGGTCAGTTCGACCGTTGAAAGTTAATTTAGCGAAGGGAGAGAGTATTTTTTTTCTCTCTTTACCAGATGGCTGGACCAATTACGGAGCTGTCAGACACCGTTAACAGCCGGTGTTTACTGCATTAATGAATTCTCAATTTGTAGAAGCAGCCCCAGCGGACGTGACTGGTAGCAAGACGAGCAGCGAGCCGGTCCGTCGTGGGCCAAATTTCTCCCCGGCAACGACGGCGTCCTCGACCTCAGCGTCGTCCCCGTCGCCTTGCGTGGACGCAAGGATGGTCGCCTCGACGCACAATCTAGACGAGCTGACCGTGAGCCATCCGACCAGCGCGAGCAGCGACCGACAGCAACAGCAGGAGAAGCACGGACCAGCGTACAGATCGGCCCAGACCGCTCAGGACAAGCGGAGCAGGCTCAGCAACGTGATAAACAACCTGAGGAAGAAGGTCCCGGACTCAAGGAATGGTGATTCCCCGAGGAAGGAGGAGGACGATAGAAACAGCGTGGAGAGGAACCTGGAAACGCTGGAGAAGTACGTGATGACTGTGCTGAACGGGGTGATCAAGGACGAAGAGGAGGAAGACGGAGAGGTGGGCAGGAAGAAGGAAGAGAAGGGAAAGGATCCTGAGAAGATGACCGAGGAACAAGAGGACGAGGACTCGAAGGGTCCGGCAGCTAAGTTCGAACCTTCCAAGCCCAACGAGAGCAGGACAGAGGCTGCTGTATTCTCCTCGAAGCAGCCTGAGAAGCCAGAGGCTAAGGAACCCATGGGGCATCGGAAATCGGAGACTAGAGAATCAGACGTTCTCCAGAAGGAAGAGAAAGTCAGCTCTATATCGAAGGAACCGACCGATGGCTTCAGAGAGGAGAACCAGGCTCTTAAAGTGGAGGCTGCCGAGGATAAATGTTCTTCCAGAGAAACGAAGCCTGAGGATGATTCAGTCCAAGAATCGACGAGAACCGATGCTCAGGAAGAGGAGAGGAAGGAAAATCGTTCGTTAGGAACGATCATCATGGAGAGGCTCAGCGAGCATCAGACTGAAGAGAAGGGCAGTATAGAAGCTGCTAAGGAGCAGGCTCGAGAGTTCGTTCCCGAGAACGTGGAGCTCAGGAACGTATGCAGGGATCTACTGAACGATCTGTTAAACGGTATCAATCAGTTGATCGACGAGAAGAGTCAGGCAACTGAGGATAGTAGACCAGTGGAGGGCTCTGTCGAGGAATCCAAGGACTCCAGGAGTCCTGATCTCTCCACGACCAGCCTGCACTGTAGCTTACCTCTGGACAAAGTGGCATCGGTGCTGCAGAATTGTCAGAGCAACGAATTGGTCGCCCCTCAATCGCCTTCGTCCTCCTCCTCGTCCTCTTCGTCCCAAGGTTCGAAGTCTCCTAGCAAACCTACGTCCCCTACGGTTAGGCACTTGTGCCTCTATTGCGACAGGAAGTTCCTGTCGATATCCCTGAGGCAACGGCACACCGAGAGGGTCCACCAGCAAGGCGGTGGCAGAAGGTCGGAGAGAAACTCGAGGAGACCCTCGCAGAACTGTCAGTACTGCTCGGACAAGTGCGCGGAGAGCTTGGAGAGTTTGTTCCAGCACATGGTCGGCACCCACGGGGACAAGTATTACGCCTGCGTGCAGTGCTCCACGAGGTACCTGACCAGGGAGGCTCTGGCCGGGCACATGAACGAGAACCACGCGGACAGGAACCTTCAGATTCAGGTGAGATTTTTTGAGATTAAACCAAAGATTTAAAAGAATCTTGAGGAGAGTTCTAGTTTCCTTAAGTCCTGTATTGAACTTTTAATATATCAGAATAAATTGATCTTTCAGGAGAAGACGAAGGAGCCCTCGAGCTCGCCCTGCAAGGAGCTAGGTAACCAAAGCCCCCGCGACAGGCCAGACCCTCTGAGCCCCAAAGAGAGAAGGTCAGACGAGTCCGATCACGAGCACCGTGCCGAATCTATCCTCCTGAAACCAATGATTTCCATGAAGGATAACTTCAGCAACCCGGGTAGTCCGGAGTTCGACAGTTCCTTCTACAGCAGCGTCAGTTGCAACATCCGGGAGAATCTTCTGCATCACCTGGACGGCAAGCTTCAGAGCTCTTCCTCGGCTATAGCGACCACCTCCTTGATCGTCGACTCTAAGCTCCAGCTCCAGCAACAACAGACTTACTACGAGCATAGCGCCAACCAGATCCAGTTCCCCATAGATATTTCTTTAACGGCCGCGACACCAGTCTACTCGAAAGACTACGCCAACGAGGAGTACGAGAACAACAGCGAATACGCTCAGAAACCCGGCAAAAGGAACCGATCCCATCCTCGAAGAGTGTCCTTCGAGAAGTATAATTTTCCAAGGAAGTACGACGGGAAGGAACAGTGGACCTGTTCCATCAAGGATCTCAGCAAGTTCGATATCTCCACTCAGTTGTCGCTGAGGAAGAAGCAGCAGCTGCTGAAGGAACGATATACGTTGAGTAGGTTGCACCAGATCTCTCTGATGAGTCCCTCTGGGACCACGGATATCGCGCAGGACGAGCAAGACCTGGAGTTGAGCAGTCCTGAGGAATCTAAGAGCGTCGAGGAGGCTTCTGGTGGAAAGAAGGAGAAATTGATAGAGTCTATGGTGGAAGGGACCGAGGCGATGTCGCCTCGTTCCACCGAGTTTAGCTCTGAATTTGAGAACTTCCTGAGGCTGAGGAAGTGGGACGAGAAGACGTCGAACGAGGCGGCGAAGAAGCAGGAGGTGGTGTACGCGGAACTCACTGGAGAGTGGTCGAGACCCAGGATCTACATTTGTGGCGCTTGCGCTACCAGACATGTAAGGTTTAATTATTGGTGTTGTGTACCTGATAATGTATGGCACAAGCCCATGCCTGCTTTAGACTCTCCATAGGATCACCCTGGGTTCTTCCAGTGTTCTTTAGCCCTCCATAGGACCACCCTGGGTCCCCCCAGCTCTCCCAGTGTTCCTTAGTCCTCTATAGAATCACCCTAGATTCTCCTAGTTCTCCCAGAGTTCCTTAGTCCTCCATAGAATCACCCTAGATTCTCCTAATTCTCCCTGGGTTCCTTGGCCCTCCATAGGATCACTCTGGGTCCTCCCAACTCTCTCAGTATTCCTTAGTCCTCCATAGAATTACCCCAGATTCTTCCAGTTCTCCCAGGGTTCCTTAGCCCTCCATAGGGTCATCCTAGATTCTCCTAGTTCTCCCAGTGTTCCTTAGTCCCCCATAGGATCGCCCTGGATCCTCCCAGCTCTCTCAGTGTTCCTTAGTCCTCCATAGGATCACTCTGGGTACTGCCAACTCTCAGTATACCTTAGTCCTCCATAGAATCACCCTAGATTCTCCCAGTTCTCCCTGGGTTCCTTAGTCCTCCATAGAATCACCCTAGATTCTCCTAGTTCTCCCTGGGTTCCTTAGCCCTCCATAGGATCACCCTGGGTCCCCTCAGCTCTCCCAGTGTTCTTTAGTCCTCTATAGAATCACCCTAGATTCTCCTAGTTCTCCCAGAGTTCCTTAGTCCTCCATAGAATCACCCTAGATTCTCCTAATTCTCCCTGGGTTCCTTTGCCCTCCATAGGATCACTCTGGGTCCTCTCAACTCTCTCAGTATTCCTTAGTCCTCCATAGAATTACCCCAGATTCTTCCAGTTCTCCCAGGGTTCCTTAGCCCTCCATAGGGTCATCCTAGATTCTCCTAGTTCTCCCAGTGTTCCTTAGTCCCCCATAGGATCGCCCTGGATCCTCCCAGCTCTCTCAGTGTTCCTTAGTCCTCCATAGGATCAGTCTGGGTACTGCTAACTCTCAGTATACCTTAGTCCTCCATAGAATCACCCTAGATTCTCCCAGTTCTCCCTGGGTTCCTTAGTCCTCCATAGAATCACCCTAGATTCTCCTAGTTCTCCCTGGGTTCCTTAGGCCTCCATAGGATCACTCTGGGTCCTCCCAGCTCTCTCAGTGTTCCTTAGTCCTCCATAGAATCACCCTAGATTCTCCCAGTTCTCCCTGGGTTCCTTAGTCCTCCATAGAATCACGCTAGATTCTCCTAGTTCTCCCTGGGTTTCTTAGCCCTCCATAGGATCACCCTGGGTCCCCTCAGCTCTCCCAGTGTTCTTTAGTTCTCTATAGAATCACCCTAGATTCTCCTAGTTCTCCCAGAGTTCCTTAGTCCTCCATAGGGTCATCCTAGAGTCCCCCAGCTCTTCCAGTGTTTCTTAACTCTCCATAGGACCACCCTAGATTCTCCAAGCTCCCCAACTCCCAAAACAATTGGCATTTAATTTCTGAACAAGAGAAAAGAATAAAAAAAGATTCACTCAAGACAACTGATCTTTCCAACACCACTGGCACATATTGAGCGATCAGTTAATTAATCAGACCCCTTGATTGGTAACTATCGATCGAATTGCAGACGAATGAAAGGACCTCTCTTGATGTTGATTGACAATTAGCTGTCGTCAAACGAATCTCTATTGATCATCGTGGAATATTAACATTGATTCAGGGTACATTCGTCGTTATCAGTGAAGCAATTAGAACGTTTGCTTCGCAAGCTTCAATCTAATTTGATTAATTTTACACTGAACACGTGACTTAAAGTATTATTTACATGGCTTCTAATTACAGGTCACTCTGAAGGAGATGGAGGACCATAAAGCTATCTCTCATCCAAACGTTTGGTGCTCTCACTTTGAGTTCTCTGGCGACCAGAGGGAGCTCTACAAGCATCTCTTTCTACCAGGAAAAAATATACCCACCGCAAAAGCAAGGGCTGCCATGTTGGCAGAGAAAGTGTGCACCAAGTGTTCGAAGAACTGCACAACATTGTCAGAGTTGCACAGGCATATGTTGGAGTGCGGAGGGGACCAAGCTTGGCTGCTGGGTCTCTTTGGTAATGGAAAGAAAAAATGCAAGTGGAGACCGTTTGGTAGCCGCAGTAGAAGACGAAGACAACGTGGGATGAAAAGAAATATTCAGAACTCGCAGACACCCAGGGTGAACACACCCAAGGAGAAGCAACCTACCGGGCCAAGAGTCAGACCCAGTGATAGTATGTAATTTTTATAACTTTTTATTTTAGTTTAAATCACTCAGGTATTCTGAGTTACGTATAATCGTTTCTGTTTTTTATTCTACACATTTATTCTAGATTTACTCTGGTAATTTATGTAAATTGTTTCTGCTACAACTTCAATTTTCTGAATGAAAAAATTTCAAGCTTCACGCCTGGCTGAGGTTAACATAAAGTGACTGTAAATACGGCACACGCGGTCCACGAAATTTGTTAACCACCTCGGAGGAGCGTTTAATTACTACACTAATTAAAATTTTGTTTTCTTTAGTTGAGTCACTTATCCAGCAACTTCACCTTGCGAAGCGTGATGACTAAAAATTTATTAATCATGCCTCGATTAATATTAACGCTTTATGTTTCTATTAGAGTTTCTTTTTTATTTTCATATTTATTTTCTCTTTTCCATTGTTTAATTGCTCGTTTGTGTGTTGTAGGAGAAAGTATTCAGAAAATGCTGGCGAATTTGCCACCCAAGAGGGCTACCAGGAAGGTGCTACAGGATAGTACAATGAGGACACAGGGCAGACTGCGCAATGTAAGTATTAGGTATTTCAGGTATTTTATTGGGGAGGGTAATCCACTCTGTACAATCTGGTATTGAATAATACTGAAAATAATATGCAAATATTAAATATTATTTAATAGTAATTAAGTACATTATAAAATTGAACATAACATAGGTGCCCAAGAGTGGCAAGAAAAATTTCTCAAAGTGCAAACACAGGGTAACACTGTTAGGAAATGAAAAATTGATAAAACTCTATCCAAACGATAAAACTACTGATAATGATAAGGCAATAATATAGCCTGTTTACTGAACGACACGAATATAAGTGAAGTATTGATCATCTAACACACCTGTCTGCACGTGCACACAGGGTGCCACTGACACAAATAACACATCTTGTTTCTTTATAGGAATTGTTTTTGATCAAGAACTTCCTTGATTGTTGCAAATTTTGAACAATTCTGTTATTCCAAAAAACGACTTCAGTCTTGAACATAATCAACCCTTTCCCTTGGGATGAAAAAAGGCAATTTACATATTATAATTCTTCAACTCTTAATAAAATTTCTGAACCTAACTCAAAATATATAATCTTCATCCCTCATGATAATCCCCATGGCTCTTACTAATGGTGGTTGCATTAAGGAAAGGAGAAGGGTATATTTCTTCAGGGTCTGCTAGTACCCTTCTGTAGGACTACCTAGCAGACCCATGCCCTGGTCGTAGGATGTTTAGGGGGGGTCGTGAATGATAATTTTCAAGAGAGTAGTCATGGAATTAAGAAACGATCCTTATGGTGGCGACGATCTCACGAATGATCCCACGAAGGCTGTGCCTCTCTGTACAGGTGCAAACCAGAACCAGACCGCGTATGGTCGGCGACAATTCCACTGCGTCGCGTATGTCTCGTAACAAGGCTGTGCTGAGGAACAAGTTGCTGAAGAACGCGAAGTCGATCCAGCGGAATCGTTGCCGGATCGATAACATATCAGCGGTGATCGAGAGCGTTGTGAGGAACTACCATCCGGACAAGACGTCGGACGACGACAAGGACGCAGTCGACGGGTACATTGACAAAGAAACCAAAGAGAAATCGATCGACGAATTAAATGCTGAATTGGTGAACGAGAAGAGCAACAGGACCAAGGTTGGCAGGGGTCCCAGGGTGCTGGGGAAAAGGAGGAACGTTAGAACGAAGGATGGAGCAACGAGAGGGTTGGACCAGCCTAGGAAGGGTAACCTGAAGGCAAGAGCCAGGGGGATGCTGAAGAATCCTTTGGACCCAAAAGCAGAAGGCTCTAGCGAGTCTCTGAAAGCTCCTAAAGGTGTCAGAGTGTCACCCAAGAACGTTGAAAAGGAGGCTGAGGTAATCGGGCCAGAAGCTAGTCCAGTGGAGGCTAAGTCTCCTAATTTCTTATCGAAGAACAAGTCTTCTACGCAAACCACGCCCAAGAGAAAGCGACCGGTTGATCCCGTGGCATCTCTGAATGCCTCCATCAAGGCGAAATCGCAGTTGAGAACCCAGGACGGGAAATTTGCCAAGAATCCTAATAAGGACCCCTTTAGCCCTGTTAAGTCCTCGGAGAACAAGTCACCTGTATTTGGACGGCAGCTGTCGAAGGAAAGGATCAACGAGATCAGTCCGGAGACGTCTGTCACTAGGTCCAAGCTGAGGACAGTGTCGAGGAACAGGAATAACGATCAGCCACCGAAGAGGACCACCAGGTTGTCTTCGGACAGCGACAAGATGCCCACCTTGGAGCCAGTTGTTCAAATTCTCACCAATAGCGAGGACTACACTGAAGCGACCAATGATCTGCCTATCTTGTCTCCAGTCACTCCATCCTCCAGTCTAGAGAAGGCATCCCGTGGTAAAAACCTAATTGGCAAGGTAGGAGCGAGGAAAACGATGGAAGGTGAGAATACAGAAGCTGGGGAGGCTGTCCAAGTGGAGGAGAGAGATCATAAGCAGAGGGGCAGGAGAGCAAAGAGTGACCTGAGGAACTTGGAGAAGAATATGACTGGTAAGGGTGAAGGAGGCAAAGTTAAAGAGAAACTGAAGAGGAAAAGTGCTCCTGCTAGAATGTTAAACGTGGAGGAGAAGAAAACAGTAAAAAATATTGAAGAGACGAGTCTGAAGAAGGAATTGAAGCAGAAGAAAGAGGAAGGAACAAGGACACTGGATACCAGAAGCAACTGGAAGACGAGGACGTTCGATGAGGAGCCAATAAAGCTGGAAAATGTTCCTTTCGAGGTGAAGAAACTGATTGGAGCGGATAACAAAGATGATTTAATGAATAAATTAGTCCTCACCTCTTTGACTTCCACCTCCAAACGGTGTTTGAGGCAATCTATGACCAGAGTCAAGTTTGGACAGACTAGATGCAAGATTCGTAAGGATACAGAGATGGAGAAGAAGGCTGATTCAGGGTCGATGTCGGATGCTTCTACGAAGAAGGAGAAGTTCGAGGCTCGAAGGAAGTCTCTGAGAAACACCGAAAGGAAGTTCGAGAGGAGCAGGACTGTGAAGGAGGAGAAATTCGATCAGGCCAATAAGATCTGCGAGGCTGTGAACGAGGTTAAAGCATCCATCAGAGGTAGAAGGAGCAGTAGCTTGTCCAATGACAGCAAATCGACGATGAACACCGGTCAAGTGTACCCTTCGGATAAGGCAGAGGAATCGACAGTCCAGAACAGCGACAGGAGGCAGACCAGGGGTTCGCTGATGAACTCAAGCGAGGAGCAAAACGATGTTGGCGAGGTGTCCCAGAAGAAGATCGCTTCCACTGGAAAAAGAAGAGGACGGGTTAGAACCATCATCGAAGTTTCTGAGAAGAATAACGTTGAAGCTGATAAGAACTCGACCGAACCCACCGATAAGTCCTGTCCCATTGATCAGAATGAAGCAAAGCTAAGAGAAGAGAGTATTGTCAAAGATAAACAGAAGGATGAGGACAAGGAGCCACTGAAGTGTCCTGATGTTTCAGAAACGAACAAGATAAATACGAATCGTCTTCAGGTAGAGACCAGCAGTTCTGTGGACAGTGGCAAAGAAAATACATTAGAGACACCAGCACCTGTTCAGAAGCTGAAGGTTGGGAGGCCTAGGAAGTCCTGGGGAGCGAAACGCGAAAGGACTTCGAAGAGGTCCTTGAACAACGTGATCGGTATCCTTACAGAGGGCATGAATATCCCTGCGGAGACGCAACAGAGTGTACCTTTGGCTCCCCAGCCAGCAGTGGACATTGCGAGTCCTGAAGAAATCTCAGGTAGCAGTATCCAACAAGCCAGTGATGATTCTAAGCCAGTAAATGAGGATAAATCTGAAAAGGATTCGCAAAAGCAAATTACTGAAAGGGCAGGTACTCCTGTTCAGAATCCTGAAGAGGAATCGTGCCAACCTAAAGCTTCAGAGACGTCCGAGGAGGACACTTCTGTAGAGAATTGTAAGGAAGATTCTTCAGAGAATTCTAAACCTTCTAAAAGCACTAAGGAAGAGTTACCAACTGATGATATAATTTTGGACCTATCCAGGAGGAAGCAGAAAGGTAAAGGCTCGTTCTTGGAGAAGATTGTCTCAAAAATAGCTAAGCAGAAGGATGCTCTATTGGAAGGTGAGGTTGGATCTTTATTGGACACAGCTGCTGATGAGTTGACGAGTATTCTAGACGAAGTTGGACCTTCCTTGTCAGAGATCGCTGAGAACTCGGTCGAGAAGAATACTAGGACTGAAGCAGAGCAAAATGTGCAAGGATCTGACGAGCATTCTACTTGCAGGAACTTGGAGAACAAGGATACTAAAGCTGAAGGTGAAGAAAAAGCATTGGAGACCTCAGCCACGTTGAAACAATCTAAAGAAGAGAAGGAGAATAATGAAGGAAACATTGATAGAGAAACTTCAGTAGACAAGAAACCTTCTGATGATCAACTTAGGCCTGAAGAGAAGAATACTGAAAGTTCTCCAGACACAAGCAAGGAGGTAATTAATAGCAAAGAAATAGAGCCACAAATCACTCCAGAAGAAGAATGTAAAGTTGAAATATTTAAAGAAGATCCTAACAAAGACACCAAAATCTCATTAAAGCCTGAAGAGTCTGAGAAATTAAGTGTAAGTGATCAGCAAAGTTCTAACGAGAAGGTATCCAAGATCCACAAGCATCCCAATAAAGAGGGTCATCGAAGGCCCAGAGGCAGAAAGCCTGCTGTGAAGAACAAGACTGTTGATTTGATCAATGACAGTGAAGAAAGCGAGGAAGAGGATAAAACCGAGTTACAGAACAAGAGTAAAATAGTAAAGAGTGTATTTGGTCGAGTTTTTGGGAGTGAAAAGACGGAGAAGGTGAAGGAGTCGTTGAACGATTGGGTGTCCAAGTCAGAAGAAGACTCAGACTTATCAAGAGCTAATTTTGTATCCACTAGTTCCAATGTAACGAATGCTGAAGCAACCTCAGAGGCAAGGAACGAGGACAAGAACTTGAAGAAACATTCAGTCACACCATCTGTACCTTCTACCACTAGAAAGAAACCTGGAAGGAAGCCCAAAGATAGCTCTTCATCTGACAAAATCAGCCAGGAATTCTCCAGTTCTTATTTCGTGCCTGTGCCACCAAACAAGAGCAGGCACTGCAAGAAGATAGCTGAAGAGAGGATCTTTAGGTCTTTCTTCCTAGGGATAGAGCAGAAGAAAACTAACTATGGATTGAGAAATCAAAATAAATCTGACTTGAGCATCAAGGACAGTGATTATGGATCCTTCAGCAATGATGAGGACTTCTGCAAGATGGTTTCCTTGGAGGATACTCTGCAAGAGGAAGCTGATCCTAAAAGCAGAGATGCTAAAACTGAGGATGAGGCGATGTCTTCAGAGGGTCTTTCCAAGGAATTTTGCAACGAGAAGAGTTCTCATAAGGAATTAGCTGAAGAGTCTAATAGTAAACAGGAAATTGGACCCAGTCAGTTAAATCCTGAATATGAAGAAAATGCTTTCTTCAAGGAACAGAAAGAATCAACTATCTGTGATGCAGAAATTGGGAAAGAATTTTCCTGTCCAGAACCCAGTCCTGTTTCAAACGAAGCTCAATTATTAACTGTTCAGAATATTTCAGAAGAGAAGAAGAACCAGGAAGCTGTATCTGAGGAGACGAAAATCAAAAGGAAATCGAAGAAGCGATCTCTGGAAGGAAACTCCCCGAAGAAGAATAAAAGAAAATCTGTAGAACCAGTGGACAATTCTGAAGAGAACTTGATCCCTGATGAATTGGATCTGGCTGATATCATGGAGCTGATTGACAAATCAAAGCAAGTGCCTTCTACCAAAGATAACTTTGAGGATGATCTGTTTGTGGAGGAACGAATTCAATGTGGCAAAAGGAAAACTATCAGCGAGGATAGGGTATCGAAAAATTCAGATAGCAAAATGAGCCAGGATACTCGAGTAGCTGAAGAATCAACTGAAATTGCGAAAAAACTTAAGGTGGACTCAGAAGAGAAAGCTCCAGACAAAAAGGATGAAACTGAAGTTGAAAGAAACAGTATTGAAGATTCTGAAACAGCTAGAGATGAGGACAATAGTTCATTATTGTTAAAAATCTCTGGGAAAAGGAAATCCTACGTTGCAAGTGCAGATCATTGTCAGATCCCTGAATCTCCAGTCAAAAGCTCCTCGAAAAGAAGATCAATTCATGATGAAAAATCAAGTGAATCATCTAAGGAAGATGCACTGTCCAGGCTGGAGTCTGTTGAAGGAACAGAGTCTGCTGGAAGTGAAATTACATCTGAAATAATAAATGAAGAACAAATTGAAAGTAGTTCTATTATTAATAATAATGTTGAAGAGTGTCAGTCATCAGTGAATGAGACATTGGATATTACAGAAAGGTCAGAAATAAGAGAAGAGAAGCCTGCTTTGGAGAATGCAGAGAATCAACAGCAAAGTAAAGAAGATCTGATTAAAAATCTCCCAGAAACTAAGCCAACAGAACCAGTGAAATCCCCAATTACAGTTAAGGTATTAAAAAAACGAGGTAGGAAGAAGAAAAATCCAGTTGATATTCAAACTAAAGTAATTAATCAAGAGAATTCTCAGTTACCACCAGTAAACGTGGATCAGGTTCCCAGGAGATCCTTGAGAACAAGTCGGTTCAACGAAGACCCTGAAGAGCGAAACAAGATTTCTAATGATGCAATTAAATCACAGACTGCATCCCCAAGTTTGGAACAATTTAAAGTCCCAGAGGTGACAGAGGTATTGCAGCTCACCAAGAAGAGAACATACAAAAGGAGGTCAACGACTGACGAGCACTTGGATGGTCAAAACAGTTCACCTTCTGTCGAATCAGAAATGAGCAGCGCAAAATATTCAGAAACAAAGAGCCTTAATGAAAAGGAAGAGCAGCCAAGTGTTCATCAGAAAGATTTTCTGGAGAATAAGCAATGTTCTTCCAAAGGTTCTCATCAGTTGGGTTTGGAGAGATCAAGCTCTTCAGGTTCCATTGATCTGTCTCAGACGAATAGGAGGAGGTCGTCCAAGAGAAAACAGCTCTCCTCCGAGGATCTATCCGGTCAGAAGAACCTGAACCTTCGAGCAGAGAGCGTGGACAACCTGTCGGAGACTTCCTGTACCAGCGAGTCCAGTTACTTCAGGAAGAAACGGTTCACCAAAAGGAAGAAAGAGTTCCAGGAACGTCGAGAGGACGTGCAGACAGATACTTCCATCACGGACCCTGAATCCATGGACTCAGAGAAACCTGCTGACAGAAGGCAGAGCCTGAGGAGAAGGGCGAAGGAGAACATATCCTTCGAGTATTCTGCGTTCGACCTCGTCGACTATTTCGGTATTCCAATGGACATGGAGGATTCCCCACAGGAAGACACCGTGGAGAACAGTGTCAACCAAGAGCCAGATTCAACGACTGAGGAATTGATCCAAGAACCCACCGCGAACAATATATCTAATCAAGAACCTGAAGAAATTAGCACAAGCGAGGACAAGTCGACAGAGGACACTAGGAAGTCAGAAGTAGAAGAGGAAGACGATTCGAAGGGAGAGGAGAAAGCAGACGACAAACTGGAAGAACTTCCTCAGTCTCAAGATGACTTCCAGACACCAAAGAAGAGAGCTGCAGGGAACTTTGTGGTGGTCCACAAGAAAACTGGCGAGATTCTGATCGTGGAGAAGAGGAAGAAGCTGACGAAAGAGGCTGCCAGGTTCTTCTGCGACGTCTGTGCTACCAGTTTCACCAGGAAGAGCTCTCTGAAGAAGCACAATCAGTCTCAATCGCACCTCGTGCAAGTAACCAAGTTCAGAAAAGATAAAACGTTGATGGAGTGCAAGGAAAACCTGGAAGACACCTGCAGCATTGGTCAGAATGATGTTTCCAGCGATGAGAACAGGAGTACCACTGATGATGTTAAGAAAGATCAGAAGGAGAACTTCTTGGATTCCTTGTACGATCAGACAGACCTGAAGTCTGTGGAAGATGAGTCGTCTAGCTATACTGGGCCAGCAGACCAAGAGTTCCTGATGGATTCCCATCAACGTATCTTAGAGGATGAACTACTGGACGAGGAGATTTGCAAAATCACTGAAAACATGAGTCACGATGAGTACGTCCTCACTGACCACGTGAGTCCTGGGCCAGAGTCCACGTCCACGCCCATCAAGGTGGAGATCAAGAAGACAGAGGAAGTTGGTAAGAAGAAGAAACACGAGAGGAAGAAGGAGAAGGCTAAGAAGAAGAATCTTAGCAACGAACAGGTAACACTGGATAGCTCTGAAACTGAGGGACCTATAGACTCCTCTATGATGAATCTTTTAGACACAAGTATGTCTATGGAAACTTCAAAGCTGAGTGATAGTGATTCAGAATATTCTTTTTTACTGGCAAACTCTCTTGCTTGTACTCTGAACAAATTTCGAGAGAAATATTTACAGAATGCAGGTAGGACAGAGGAAAGCCAGGATGGAAAGGATTTAACAGAATTGAAAAAGGATTTGGAGCAACAGGAGCGAACAGGGTATTCTGAATCGAACCTTGATGGAAAAGCTGAAAATTTGAATGGTAAAGATGTTCCTAAAGAAAATCATTCTACTGAACGATTGAGCTTAAAGCTCATCATAAATAAACGTAGCCTAGAAAATTTTAAGGAACAAGATACTCCCTTGGATCGTTTAGATACACTGGCTAAAGAGAATGAAGAGAAGCCTGAGGATCCTTTGGATTCTTTCGGTGACCCAATCAAAGAAATCAATCAGCTGGAACCTGAAATTGATCAGCTCAATTTGGATATGTATCTTGGATCGTCGAAACAAGTAGAAAACAGAAAGAGCACAGAAAATATTGAAGACTTTGATACTTTCAAGGTACAGAGCCTTGGAGAAGATTTGGCTGATCGACAAAATTCTATGGTCATTGAGAATGAAATGCAAAATGAGTCTGTGAAAGAAACTAGGCATGGGAAATCGAAGAAAGGTAAGGGGAGAAAGCATCAGGAAGAGATAGAAAGTTCAGATGATACGAGAAGAACGTCCAAATCTAAAGATAATCAAAGTAATCAGATATCAGAGGGCACGAATGGTCAGAAATCAACTGACAATTCTAAGACACTTGAGTATAACGATGAGAATCCAGAGCTTTTATTGTACGACTCGCAGTTAGAAAGCACAGGTATTAAAGTGAACAATGTAATCAGTCCCTCAAAGGTTGAGGCTAAAAATGAAGAAGAATCTGATGAATTAAAAACGATTGAAGATCAGGACAGCAGAAAAGTTCAGCATGAATTAAACTCTTTAGAAAAAGTTGTATTGAGACACTCAACAGAGGAGGAGCAGCTGAACCAAGAAACCATTGATTCTAAAAACAAAAACAGTTCCTTCAATTCCTTGGATGAAGATGAAGACTCGTCATCGTCTAGCCTGGCAGACAAACCTCTGTCGCAGCTTTTACTGAGGACCAACCTAAAAGTAGACACCGGTAAGAAATTATTAATAGATTCTGATGACGAGCTTAGGCCTGAGGAGAAGAATGCTGAAGATTCCCCAGACACTAATACTTCAACTGATAATCAGGAGTGTAATGATAAGGAGGTGTCTAACAGCGAGCAGATGGAGCCACAAGTATCATCAGAAGAGGAATGTGAAGGTGAAATACCAAAGATGGAAACTGAAGACACGAAAACCTTGTTGGAACCAGAAAACGAGGTTCCATCGTCGAAGGACGTCGATGATAAAGAGTCTGACGACATGGACGAAGATAACAATCAGAAATCGAGTCATGGTTCTAACGAGAAGGTGTCCAAGACCCATAAGCACTCCAGCAAGGAGGGTCATCGAAGGTCCAAGGGTAAGAAGGCTCCTGCGAGGAGCAAGATAGCTGATTTGACAAGTGACAGCGAGGGCAGCGAGGACGAGGACAAAACCGAGTTACAGAACAAGAGTAAAATAGTGAAGAGTGTCTTTGGCCGAGTTTTTGGCGGTGAGAAGGCGGACAAAGTGAAGGAGGTGCTGAACGACTGGGTGTCCAAGTCAGAGGACGACTCGGACGCTTCAAGAAGTGACTTCAGGTCTACTACTCCCAATGAATTGAATGCTGAAGAGACCTTAGAAGCAAGGAACGAGGAGAAACGACATTTAGTTACATCTGTATCTTCTACCATTAAAAAGAAGCCTGGAAGGAAGCCCAAAGACAGTTCCTCAATCGACAGGACCAAAGAGAAGAACCCATTGTCTGAAAATCGAGAGGAACTTCGGGGCAACAGGCATTCGAAATCAAGGAACAGCTCGGGTAATCGTAAAAAGTCTGAAGAGGAGGCTTCTGATTATTATTTCCTGGTGCTACCACCGAACAAGAGTAGGCACAGTAAGAAGATAGCTGAAGAGAGGATCTCTAGAGCCTTCGATGGAGTTAGAATGTTCGAAGAGTTTCTAGGTGGTGATCAGAAGGAGGGGAACTATGGATTGAGAAGCCAAAGTAAGCCTGACTTGACCATCAAGGACAGTGGTTACGGTTCCTTCAACTATGATGAAGATTCCTCGAAGATGGTTTGCTCGGAGGAGCCTCTGGAGGAGGAGCAGAAACTCCTGAAGAAAAGAAAGTCATTGTCGTCTAAGACGAGCAAAAGCAAAACAGACAGTGATGATTGGAAGGACCTGGTAATGGAAATGAGGTCGTTGAAGAGCAGTAAGGAACCGACTGATGAAGAGGACAATTCTGTCAAGGATATTCCTGAACAAGAACCCCTGTCTAGTAGATTGTCAGCTGACTTGAAATCTCGCAGCTGCAGCAGCTTAGCTCCCAGCAGTGTGAGGAACAGATCACCAAGCATGGACAGGAACTCTCAGAGCACTAGGGACACCGACGTGGACGAGGAAGATGAAGATATTGGTCGTGGGAGGATATCTCCACTGTTCGTTCGTGAGACACCTGGTAGCTCAATAGAAAGCAGTTCCAACAGTGAGAACGAAGAAGATGATGAAAATGTTCTTGGTAATGAGAGTACGGTGAGGAAGAGAAGCTCCAGTGAATTTTCTGGGGAGAAGATTGTGATCAGATCACCCTCTTCCACTCACAAAGGTGAAGTGGTTACCATTGCACCCACTGATGCCATTGAGGACAACGCTTTGGATGTTCCCCAGGAAATAGAGACTGCGAAGCCCAGGCAGGGCAAGGTTTTGAATTTTGACGAAGAACTGTTCGTTGAGTGCTGCTCCAGATTGAAGGCCACCACTGAGAACGAGCTCAGAGGGGCTAAGAAGATTAAATTGGATCACAACGAAGGTTACCACAGGAAGGATGAACAGCAACAAGGGCTCAGAGGGCCTAGAGATAGATGGAGAGATGTTGAGAGTCAGAATAGTCTGGGGAGTCTGCTAGAATCCGTGAATCAGGTGAGTATTTCACCAACATTGTTGAGTTTTTGCATGCTTCGAGTTCACCATTATTTTTTCTATATTTCTGTTACAAGATTAGAGGTGTGTGAAGAAGAAACAGTTATGTTTGAAGCTTCGAATACAACTGATGTTAGATAAATTAAATGATAAATCTTAGATGTTTTCATTTTCTTTTTTCATTTATGAAAGTAAAATTTTATGGTAAGGTAGGAAGACATACATTCCTTGCTTGCAGAATTTCTTTAATAAATCATACATTAATTCATCGATAACCACACTTTGCATGTTATTGTTTTCTTTTATGTTTTGCAATTAATGCGCTTCATCCTGTGATCTTACATTGTTTGCTGTACATTGTAACTACGATACAAAAGGCTTTCAAGCTTGCATCTGCAGATTTTGTTACTGTTTTATACATGCTCATGGAATTGTTAACTGTAAGGGTGTTTCTTGAAGATAATTTCATCTTTCATGAAACTGTTTACAATTCTTAGGTGTTAAAAAAATATTTTACTATTGCAAAGCACCCTTACATGGAATTCCAAGAAGGGAATACTCTATACATTATTGTGGTAATGTTTGCAGGACCTATGAACCAGCTTTATACAGACAATGTCTCTCAGTATGCATGCAAAAGGTAGTTTTCTCATTCCTTCGACATTTCTTAGTGTGTATAGTAGTCTTATCTTCGAAACAATATTCAGTATCTTTGGCGTCAAAGTGTTCCATAAAATTGCAGGTAACCAATGCTGAGCATCGCTAAACAGTTCTAATTATTTTACTGAATTTTATTCTACGGTGGAATGCGTTGTCATTCAGCAATTTATAATTGATTAATTTATTCTACCAATTTCTTTTTCCTAGAATATACAACAAAATTCAGCTTCTCTTATGTTGGTAGAAAAGAATGTTCAGCTTGGCACTATTAACATTCTCTCTTTCATTCATTTTAACCTTATTTTCATCCAAATAAAGACTGGAAAAATGATGAATTTCCTTTAACCTACAATTAGATTCAATTTTATTGTTACAGTCAATAGATTTAATGCTATTAGTTACCCCTGAAAGTATGTTGAGCCATTCTAGATAATAATACTTGATGTTCAGCTTAAATCAATTAACATTTATAAGTTCAATGAATTCCAGTTGTTGGGGGAAGAGATGTACAGCACCAGGGAAAGGGATTACCCCAAACGAGCTGGTAGAAATCTGAGAAGCGAACACTCAAGTAGATCAGCCAGTCCAGACATGTCCAGGGCTGACAATCTGGGCTACGAAGACAGTCTTGACGTTGCATTTGAACACAACAACAAGCTCAGGGATAAAATTCAACAACGTATGAGGGAGAGTGAAAATCTGATTGCCAGCACATTTGGGAAAAGCAGTAACGATATTGCACATCATAACAAAAATAATGAACAAGATCTGAGGAATTCCTACTCTCACTTGCAAGATCAAGGACAAGTATCTGGTGCCAGTCTATCTAATAGAAGCTACAGTGATGCTGTGCACATTAGAAATCTACAGGAACAGCAGAATGCTGCAAAAATGCATTTGGACTCTGGATTTAAGAACAAGATGAACTCCTCATTGGGTGGTTTATTGGACAAAGCCTTATCAAACTTGCTGCACAGCAATGGGAAACATGATCACAAGTGAGTACTGTATTACCCATTCATTTTTAACTTCAACTCAAGTTTCTCTTTATTACCAGAAATCATTTGAGATGAAATTTCAACGTTTCATTTTCTTTGGATTAATGAATATTTTTATGTCCACAGTGGGTCAACGCCAATGAAGGTTCTAGCAGAGCTAGCATGTGCCCGAGCACCAACATCCACAACTGGGCTGCCAATATCTCAAGAATTGGTCCAACCAGCAAAGACCTCACCAAATAAAGAATCAATTCCCGACCCGTGTCCAGTAACTGTACCAAAAGACATTCAGAAGAAGCCTAGGAACCCTATAAAAGAACTTTTTGAAAGGAAGAAGGAAATGAATGAAAGGAAGCAGCAGGAGAAATCAAAGACAGAGGCTGCTCTTCGAGAACTGAATGTTCATCGACAACGTAAGACGAAGAAGATGAAAAAGCATCAGGACTTTCCTCTGATTCGTCGTGGTGAACACGGCGGAGGGTTAGGTGAGAGAAAGAAACGTCGCGATGGCTTCGAGAGGAAAGAAGAATTCGTTTCAGACAGGATAAAGGACGTTTATGACTTCGACGAAGAGGAGAGTCAGATAGAGCCGAATCTGGGCAGTGTGATGTCTTATAGAAGCAGGCCAGGGTACGAAGTCAGCTGCCTGAGGACTAAAGAGGTCGACGTGGCAGGATTAATGTCCAAGGCCATCGGTGAGAGCTTAGAGAATGGAAAAGCTGGGGATGCTTTGAGCAGTAGATTGGAGTCTATGATAGACAGGAAGTTCAAGGAACTAGAAAAATTTGCCCCGAAGACGAAGGGTGCTTTGAAGTCTTTCCAGAGCGAGGACCAACGACAGATCACTGGACCAATGGACGAGTTTGTCGAGAGGAAGCAATTGAAATCTAAACGTCCAGTGGAGCAATCTCTGAAGCATTCGAAGCTGAAGAAACGTAATAAAAACCCTAAGAAGAAGACTAGGAACGCCTGGTACGAGAACGACAGCTCTGATGAATATAGAACGACTGCTGTGAAACCGGAGGACATTGGTGTAGGGATCTCGAAGAGCCAGAGAACCTGCTCGAAAGGAAAACAGAACATATTTGCTGAACTGTACACTTCATCGGAGAGCGAATTCGAACACGATGGGGTAAACTATGAATCGAAGAAGCAGCGAAGAGCGAAGAAGGGTGCAAAGAAAGTTGCTGAATCAGAGGATCTCAAACAGAATCAGGAATCGGTTAACAAATATTCTTCTGAGAACGAGGATCGTGAAAACGATGATTGGAGGGATCAGGATTTAAAGGACGACGTCAAGCACGAGTCTGATCACAAGAAATCTGAATCAGAAATGTCGGACCATCCTCTGGTGATCGATGAGAGAAAGGATGGAGAGGATCAGAGAAACAGCGACGAAGAAACTGAGACCCAATACGAGAGAAACTACGAAATGGACGATTTATATAGGGAAGACAGTTCTATCGTTGATTCAGACGTCGAGGACTCTGTAACCACAGAAGCTCAGAACGTCCCAGATGAATCCAGAGTGAAAAATTCAAATTCATTGCAAGAGAAGATTAATGGCAAGACAAACTGTATACGAGATGAATTGATCCCACTGGAAGAAGCTTTGGATATGTTGGACCAGGCTGATAACGAAGCTTCAGAAGCAAATTACAATGTCGATAGAAACGTGAACTCTTTAGAAGATGGTGACCCAGTGATAACAGCAGAACCAGATATCAGTGAGACTTTTAATCCTGTCGAGGAATCAGCAGTGAAGTCTCCTAGTCTTCTAGAGGAACAGGACCAGGAATTAGAGCAGGAAGAAGAACCTGACAATGACCTTCTGTCCCTACCAGAAAAGCTGTCCAGCAATGAGAAGCCTCAGAAAGAGTCTGACAATCTTCCTCTCCATGTGTTTCTCAGCAGGAAGGTACAGGAGTCGAAGAAACGAAAGGAACAGCAGCTGAAGAAAATGCAGGAGGAGCAAGAGAGGATCCTTATGGACTTTCAACCGACCAGAAGGCAAAGGAAGTGCGCCATTGGGAAGCAAGGGCTGTTAGCAGAGATCAGTAGCTCGGACGAAGAAATAAGTCCCAGGGACAGGAGGAGCAACGATAAATCCGATCACGATAAGCCACGTAAACAGAAACGAGAGTCGAAGGAGAAAAGGAAGGAGAGGTACATCGAGAAGAAGCATGAACAAATGATAGCCAAGGAGCAGAAGGCTATAGAGGAGGAGATCTTAAGAGAGGTTGGCAAGAAGAAGGATTCTCTTGCTATGAATCCTCAGAACTGCAAATCGGATCTCAGCGACGCTCATGACCCAGAGAAGCTGGAATCAATGGAAGATAAAATTGATCAGGAAGTAATGCAGAAGAAGAAACATCAGGCAAAAGAGAAACAGAAGAAACAAAGCAAAGTGGATGAAGAAATAAATGTGAAACATAATAACGAAGGCTTGGATGATCCAGAGGGTAATTGTAATAAATCTATATTGGCAGAGAGCAACCATGAAGACACGAACAATCAAGAATCTCCTGTGAAACAGAAAAGGCACTCCAAGTCTCCGACGAAACCAAAGAGGACTTCTAAAGGGGACGCGAAGGTTGCAAGTAAAAGGAATAGAAACGCGAACTCTGACAAGTCGAGGAACCGGGCCGACTCCAAAGGATCCAGGGACAAGGAACGTAGATCGTCTAATGGGAAACACGATTCCGATGATGAAGAATTAAAGACAACGAAATCGTGGAACAAAGTTGAAGAAGGTGTGGGGGTGGCCATTGGCCGACGAAAACGCGCTGCTGCAAACCAGTTGTATTATTGGTCCAGCTCCAGCGACGAGGAAGAGATGCTTGAAGTGGTCCCTGTGGTCGAGGAAGAGGAGGACGACCGCCAGGAACAACACGGCTGGATCGTTGGTGATTCCCATAAGAGAATGATCACCATGCTCGCCATGGAGAAGCAGCTGAAGGAGAAACGACGAAGAAGCGAGGACGAATTCGAACCCGGCAGAGCAAAGAGCAAAAAGCATAGAAACAGCACCTCTTGATACGTATTTCATGACTAGGTTTGTTGAAGTGACTAGAAACATACTAAAGAATTTACTCTTTTTTTTCTTCTTCTTAGGAACAATAACTTTCATTAATTAAGTTCCTTGCAGTGATTGGGAACAGAAGGAATATACAGTTCCTTTTTCCAAGTCAGAAGAAGTAGTTGATGATTAATGCTAAGAACTGCGATTCTTAACCAAGTGTATTTTATAAGTGTGTTCATCGATGAACTGGAAAACATGATACTTAGAGGAGAATGATAAACATACCTAGAAGAAAATGGATGAAGTAAACTGAAAAGTTCAGCAGCAACTTTTTATACATATTTCATGACTGGGTTTTCTTTTTTCTAAAATCAGGACTGGGATTTCTTAATGCACGCAATGAAAAGATTAGAAGACTTTTGTAAGCGAAAGTAGCATAACTGGATCTTTTGATACTAGTCTTAGACTCATGGAAACAGACGAAGGAATTAGATTCAATAATGTAGCTAAACGAATGCTGTTCCTTCCCATGGATAGTAATATAAGTCTGAACCAGCAGTTTTTTGCTGAAGGGACAGCAACAAAGGAATAGTTTATATAACTACTTGGTCTGATGAAACAGAAGCAGAGTACGATGAAAATTTGGTGTGATGACTATGTCGCATAGTGATCAGAACTGATTGGTTCAATATTTTCCTTTGTGTTCTTTTCTGAGGTATACACATGAGACAATGCAGTTGTGATTGCACTTCTGTGGGAATTTAGTTTATTAATTCTTATTTTGAATTTCTTTAAAATGTGGCGTTATTCAAACGACTAATGTAACTGCCAGAACAAATTCAAAATTTATTTTATAGGTTTTTAATGGAACGTTCAAGGTGTGTGTCGAATTTTGAAGTGACTAAGAACGTGTTGTGATCAAGTTATATAAGAAGAAAAATGGCAAAAAACCATGTACATAGCAGCTTGGCATTATACAGAAAAAAAAGGCTAGCTCGTGTAACGTTAAGGATATAATAATTCCAAGCCCTTATAAATATTATAAATATATTCTATCTTAGACTGAATGTGAGGAATAGTGGACATAAACAAATATAAAAAACAGTGTATGAAAAAAGAGCACCTTTAGACAATACTAGGACATTTAATACGTTTTAGTTAACGTAGTGGATCTTTAGGTGACTTTAAAAAAAAAAAATGAAAAAAAATGAAAAAAAAAGTACTGTGTAAAATGAAAGATGAAACAGCTAATTTAGTTTTTTGTGAAAGGACGATGTAAAATGGGGTCCAATCGAGTAGCGTGCTTTCGCCGGCTTTTTGTGATTCGTACATATCGCGATAATCTAACAAACAAATTGCCGGTCGTTTTTTTTTTTTTCATAATCCGACAGGTTTTACAGAGAAATTTATTCTGAGCTAAAAATCATCCACCTTCGATACGTCGTGTTAGCACATTTAGTCGTACAGCGTATAATGAAATCAATTTTTTCGTTAAATGCGTTTGAATTTTCCTAGATCTCATGTCATGGCATCAGCCACGTATTTAAGAATGAAGCTTGTAATGATAAAAAGAAAAAAGAAATGCGAGGAACGATAGGAAACTTTTCCTTTCTTACGCTTAGTTGATGCACATAATTCTAAGTAGATTTTCATTTATATATATTATAAATAAATGAGTATATATATAAATATGAACAGAAATATGAGAAAATAAATTGAATGTATAACATGAAACGATAAAAAAAAAAAAAGCTGTATAAGGAAATAGACTTTAATGTAAATGTACTGCCATAATCATATTATATATGAGAGCCTATGCGAATAGTTATATTAATATTAATTCCTGTAAAAAAAATGAACAACCAGAATGACAGCGATAACAAGATAGTTAGCACAAAACTAGGCAACAATCCAATGTAAATAGAGCATATTTTCAATGTGTCTGGAAAAGTATGTTTTGTAATATAAGGATTACAAAGGAAAATAAAATTATTAAAGAATCATTGCTGATGGTGTGTACGCCTTGGTAGAAAATAGTGGTCTAAGTCAGTAAAGGGGAAAGGGTTCCTATAAATTTTAAATAAGTTATTATTGATTCAAGTTCTTTTCCTAAAAAACTTGTAATTAAAATTAGCTAAAGATAGAAAAGACTTGTTGTTTATTCAGCTTATATAAATTTTATGCTACTTTACATAAAATTGTGTTTCAATATTAATTTTAAATTCAAAAGCCTGGAAGCAAATACAAAAACATTCAAAATACTGAAAAACCATACATAATTTGTTTATTATAATAATAATGCTATGCGTTTTCAATTATAGTTTTTTCATCATCTAGTTATTTTAAGGGGATTCCCTTAAATTTTTCACTAAACACTTGTTATTGGCAAACAGAAAATTCCTATTAAGTTTTCACGCATGTGCTCTTGCAAAATATTGCCGATATTTGCAATGACCATTAGCAGTGGTAAAATAGGTTTGAACGATAGAAAAGAATGAATTGTTAACGAAATAGACGGATTTCATTCGTTTTAGAAACATTTTACAACATTAATTTGATATATCACGTATACATTACATTGAAAAAGTATATTTTAATAGTCCTGTTCCGTAACTCAGTGCCGAGCAGTATCCTGCAAAATGAAGCAAGTTATTTGTAGGAAAATAGGGTAAGATTCGTTTACCTTCAATGAAAGAATTCTTAACTTTTCAAAAACTTACAATATACCCATTAAAATCCACAACATTCTCTTAATAAGTGTTTGTGGGTCAATTTTCCGAACTTTCAGGTTAGGTTTTAACACCTTAATAAGGATATAGAAACGTCATTTTTCTCTATTGGCATTCTGTTCTTTCGTAAAGTATTAACACTGTGCCTGATTACTTATTCTTATTTGTATTTACATTAAGAAATATATATGTCCATATTGCTTGCATAACTTTGAAACATTATGTGTTTCTCTTTACAGAGACAGAATTATTCTAGTTTCAAAGACGTCCCGTTATCCTGTACCCATAGTCAGTACGAGAAATTTAATGTCAGGCAGATACAACAGAATTTATCGCCCATTGTTAGCCTCCCCGCATGTACGTTATTTTGGAAATCCTAATCGTACATATGCCATGTTTATTGGACGAGTATTAAGAGGAGCATTGAAGATCCGATATCTTTTATTGGGTGGTGCAGTTGGAGGTGGAGTTACATTGCAAAAGGTAACAAAAACAAGGGTGCAAATATTCAAAACTTTAGTACGTACATAATATTCATATATGTTCTTCTTTTTCTTAAAGAAATATGAACAATTGAAAGAAGTTATGCCTGATATGGGCTGGTTAGATGATATACTTCCTGATGAAAAAAGATGGAAAAATATTCATAACAAACTTCTGTCTGCTAAGGGTATCTTAGCAGAGAAAATGGAATTTGGTAAGTATGAATGTACCTTTGAATATTTAAGCATATGAAAACGTGAGGCAAAAAAGATATTAGAGACATGAAAAATGGACGAACACAAACAGATCCACGTATAAAGGAGTTTGGAGAAGCCAAGTATAGGCAATACAGGGAATGGTTTAATCAAAGGCTGGACGATGCTATTAAGGCAGCAGAAGTGAACCAGAATCAAGCAGTGGATTCTTCTGATAGTGAGTTCAATAGGTTTTTTTTTTTCTTTTATTTTCATATCATTGCATGCTAAAAGATCCCTGCTATAGGTGTTTGCCCTTAACTTATTAATTTGCCTGACGTTTTCTTAACCATGTATATAATTTTCTTAATCCCACCTTTTGTTAACGCTAATTCCACTCATTTCGATGAGCTGGTTAGTAGATGAAGGTAGTATGTTTTATTTTCTTTCATGTAAATTTATAAGTTGTAGTTTATTTAGAAATATATCACGGTCTGTTCTGTTCAGGTATATTTGACGCGACCTCAGCAATATTATACCGACTTTATTCAGGTGTGTAAAATGCAAAAGTATCTGCCTTTTGTTGTCTGTCCATTCAGCATTTTTTTTTTTAATTTTTTTTTTTTTCATTCATAATCTTAGGACAATTCCAATATTTAAAAATGATTTTTATCCATTAACAAATGTAGTATTAGAATGTAAATACTGAATGGAATAGACCTTTATTATTTTATATTACACTCAGAGTTATTTTCTCATTTACCAAATTAAGCCTTCGTACATTGAAATTTTAATATCTTCCCAAACAGAATCAAAAGATCAAATTAGAACCAATTCTGTAGCATTTGCTCGGCCATTGCCCGATGAGAACATTCAAGAGGATCGTAAGAAAGCTCGTATGTACATGTTAGTGTATTATAATCCGGTCTTTCCATTTCTCTGATGCTTATAATTACACGTGTTTCAATTTTTTTTTAAAGAAACTTCCCAAGAAAGAATAAACGCTATGCAGGAAGAAGTGATGCAAACACAGTTGAGGTATCAGCGCGAGCTTGAAAGGCTAGAACGGGAAAACAAAGAACTCCGAAAACAGATGCTTCTACGTGGCAATCAAAAGCTGAATAATAAGAAAATAAAAGTAATCAAATCACTGTGTAACATATTTTTTAACACAATCATTTCAATTATGTCTCTTTTAGAAATCATTGATCGACATGTACAGTGACGTTCTGGACGAACTTAGCGATTATGATAGCACCTATTCTACCACCGATCATTTACCAAGAGTGGTGGTTGTCGGTGATCAAAGTTCTGGCAAAACGTCTGTGCTGGAAATGATCGCCCAAGCAAGGATATTCCCAAGGTATAATAATTTCAAATTTCAATCTTTCCATTTACTACCTCAAATTATTAGTTAATAGCAATGTTATTTAAAATTCAGAGGTGGTGGTGAAATGATGACCAGAGCTCCAGTCAAAGTCACTCTAAGCGAAGGTCCCTATCACATAGCTCAGTTCAAAGACAGTTCTAGAGAATTTGACTTGACGAAAGAGTCGGAATTAGCCGAGCTAAGACGCGAGGTGGAGTTACGTATGAAGAACAGCGTTAAAAATGGTAAAACAGTTAGCCAAGATGTGATTTCAATGACTGTAAAAGGGCCAGGTCTTCAGCGTATGGTCCTGGTCGATCTGCCCGGTATAATTAGCGTAAGTGATGATTCAGATTGTAAATGCATTATACCAAGGATAATTCCAAAAAATAAATTAATCTAGGAATTTTATTTAAATCATTAAAATTTAAATATCCAATAAATATAAGAGAAAAATATTTAATAAAATTGTGACGTTTTTTAACAGACAGTCACAGTTGATATGGCAGAAGATACTCGAGATGCAATTCGACAAATGACTCAGCAACACATGAGCAATCCAAATGCAATTATTCTCTGCATCCAAGATGGATCTGTGGATGCTGAAAGGAGCAACGTAACGGATCTTGTTGCTCAAATGGACCCAACTGGGAAACGTACCATTTTCGTTTTGACAAAGGTACAATGTCACTTAATTTTGACTTAATTTGACTAATTAAAAAGAATCTATTATTATCAACAGGTGGATTTAGCTGAGGAAAACTTGACGAACCCTGATCGCCTCCGTAAAATATTATCTGGTAAATTATTTCCTATGAAAGCGTTAGGATATTTTGCTGTCGTCACTGGTCGTGGCAAACAGGACGACAGTATACAGACGATCAGAGATTACGAAGAACAATTCTTCCGCACCTCCAAGCTTTTTAAGTATGCATTCACTTGTTCCATACAGATTTAACTCTCGTCATTAATTATCAATTATATTATGTTTTTTTCATAGGGATGGTTTAGTAATGTCCGGACAAGTTACCACAAGAAATCTGAGTCTTGCGGTTGCGGAATGTTTCTGGAAGATGGTTCGGGAGACTGTGGAACAGCAGGCAGACGTATTTAAAGCGACCAGGTTTAATCTTGAAACTGAATGGAAAAATAATTTTCCCAGGTAAATTTATTCCTACTGATTCCAGAAAATTGAAATTATATGAAATTCATTTTTTATTCAGACTGAGACAACTGGATCGGGATGAACTCTTTGAGAAAGCTCGAGGAGAGATATTAGACGAGATTGTAAATCTGTCTCAAGTTTCACCGAAACACTGGGAAGAAACTTTATTGAACATTATTTGGGACAAAGTTAGTACGCACGTGTTTGAAAATATTTATTTACCCGCTGCTCAAAGTGGAAATCCAGGTGTGTTACACGGTACTATGATAATATATATTATATATAAATATAATAATATTTGAATCATTTAGGTACGTTTAATACAACTGTTGACATCAAACTACGACAGTGGCCGGAAGAGCATTTGCCAGCTCGAAGCGTCGAGAGTGGCTGGGAATGTTTGCAAATGGAATTTAATCATTTTATGAATCAAGCAAAACTCAGTCCGGATCACGATGACATTTTTGACAATTTAAAGAATGCAGTGGTTACCGAAGCGTTGAAGCGACATACGTGGGAAGAAAAAGTAAATCTCCTCTCTATAAGAAACATACAATCTCAGAAGTCGTAATTAAATGTAAAAATATATTTTTCAGGCCTCTGAGATGTTACGTGTCATACAACTGAATACCGTGGAGGACAAAAGTGTTAATGATAAACGGGAATGGGATCAGGCAGTGCGTTTCTTAGAGACAGCCGTCAAAGAGAAATTACAAAATATAGAATTGATCTTAAGGGAAATGTTAGGTCCAGGCCGCAAAGAACGATGGTTGTATTGGCAGAGTCAAAGCGACGAGCAACGACAGCGTTCGGCAGTGAAAAATGAGCTGGATAAAATTCTTTATGCGGATAAAGTAATAAGAAAACTATGCGCTCTATTAAATTATAAAAAGATTCATTTTATAAAAATTTCTTTATTTAACAGAAACATTCTCCTACTCTCACGCAAGATGAAATTACAACGGTTAGAAAGAATTTGCAACGAAACGGTTTAGAAATTGATAACGAATTTATTCGAGAAACCTGGCATCCAGTTTATAGAAGATACTTCTTGCAGCAAAGTTTAGCGAAAGCGTATGATTGTAAAAAAGGATATTATTTGTACCATACAGGCCACGAAAGCGAAGTGAGATATTATATTAAAATAATTGAAATTTTGTTATAATTATTATTCATTGAAATATTTTAACAGGTGGATTGCAACGACGTTGTATTGTTTTGGAGGATTCAACAGGTGCTGAAGGTGACTGCAAATGCGTTAAGGCAACAAATCATGAATCGTGAAGCTCGTAGGTTAGATAAAGAAATAAAAGAAGTGTTGGAGGATTACAGTCAAGATAATGAAATCAAAAAGCAATTATTGACTGGTAGACGAGTCACGTTGGCTGAGGAACTCGGTAAATATATATTAAGCGCATCAGTCAACTGGTTTGACATAAAAATTTTAATTTTGCCCTGTTAATGATTCATGAAATTATTATTATTTTTATTTCAGAACGTGTTAGACAAATTCAAGAGAAACTTGAAGAATTTATTCAGGCATTAAAGAAGGAGAAATGAACGAAATCTGACTGAGAATTTAGGTATTTAAACAGAGAGGTGCACGGTATGTGTGATATCGCGTAACAGCCATGGCGGCTGTTGCGTGAATACTTAGGTATTATTCTTTTTCTTTTTTCATTGCCGAAGAACACAGCACGTACTGTTATCAGTTTTTACGGGAAAACTGTGCGAACAGGACAAGAAAACCTTTGATATGAAATGCGGTTCGAATTTGTAGCACTAAAATTATAACTAAGCGAACGCGGTAATGGTTGTGCAATTTTATTAATTGCACATCTAGCAAAGTTTTTTGTGACACATTTGTCCAATGGATTAAATACAATATTATTAGCGACTTAGCATAAATCATACCAAAGCAGAGCAATTGAAAAATTAATGGAATAACGCTTGCATAATGATAAACTGAATGAATTGCGTGTATGATGATACATGAAATGTAGATATCTCAAATAAAATACATATTTAATTCTTATACGTTTCATATAAATAAGTGAATAACGCTCATCATATTTTGTATATAATTAAATACAGAATGACTAATAGGAAAATTAAATATAGAAGAACGTCAACAGTTTATGGTTTGAAATAATAAAAATGCAGTGAGTATTTTTTTTTTAATTAATCTCTTAAATATATCTTATTACAATTAACAAAATAAACGTACAATGTTTGAAGCGTGATACAGAAAGTGTAACAAAAGTTTCTCAACACTGTATGTAATAGAAACCTATAGATATTTCCTTTTTTTTTTTTAACGTTTATTTTATCATTTTTGATGTCCTAGGAAGTATGTAATTAACACTTGATAGAATCATTTATTAAGTACTCATGAAATTGAAATATGTTTTTTTTTATGTTTGTTTGTACAAAAGTGGTAGAAGTTATTAAAATACGCAGTCTATGTCTAAGTTCCTTCCTGTGGTACGTAAAAATTTACAGGGTATTTTATTGAAATTTATTCCTGTCTTTCGTTTAATTCATAATTAATAGGTAATTAATATAGTTCCACGTGTATCACAAAGTTACAAATAACGCGGTAGAAACATATTAAAAATATCATTTCCTTTCAGGGGCTTTTAATTGACAATATAAATCGCTAGGACTACCGGTTGTTTCTTCTAATTTCTCATCTGACAAACACTAACTGACATAAACTATATTACTCCATCTTTGGTCCGAATGTCTGTTAAAATATCTCATTACATATAAATACGCTATTTTAGCGAAAATATTTCACAACAAATTTACAATATCTTGAGAAGCGCTTATAAAATTTTGTTAAGAAGATTTTGTCAAACTTATTTGGCTGTACCTAAGGATACAAAAAATTAAAAGGGTTTCTCATACATTATTTCTCTAGAATAATTAACACCACTTATGCACGAGAAATATATGTCGACATGATACGAACGTGTTGTATAAATTAATACATTAACGGCATAAAACGGATACTTTCCGTTTTTTGTTCAATTATAATTATCATTTCCATTGGCGTAACTAGAATTTATTGGGAGGGCGGGCCAGGTGCCTTGAATTTCAAAATTTTTTAGTTTTTGAATTTCAAAATTCTTAGTTTTTAAATTACAAAATTTTTTAGTTTTTAAATTTTAGAATTTTAGAACTTTAGAATCTTCTAATTCTATAATGGCGCGGGGGGGGGGGGGGCCACCCTGGTCCCTAGTTACACCAAATAATCATTTTCCATTTATTTGCATAGTTTTTAACAACGGTCGTTAATGCATTATAATTCTATGCTTCTTTTTTGGAACATGTAAGCTTCCTTCGTACATTTTATAATCAACATAGTTGATATAAAATTAAATATTAATATACATTTGGCAGGAATGATTTTTTCCTCGTTATTTACGGTATATTTAATATCAGATTTAGACATAGCTCTAGTGAGGTTTCAAAGCATTGGACGAGTAATTGCATAGGCGAAAAATACAACAGATAACATTTCAATTTATCTGAACAATATCTATAGTCTGTTATGTATTTTCCTTTTCGGGTTCAGTAACCAACAATAAATAACGTCGTACCTTTTATAAATAGAACTGTACCGATAATATTGTTTTAAATATAAACAGAATATGTATGTGTACATATATATTACAGTAAATGTGTCAATTCAATAAAAATATACACTTACTAGTCAATGTAATTACATGCCAACTTAATTATTAAATTTATTCACAAGCAATTGAAACTTTTTAATATTAGATCAATTGAAACGAACACCATAAATCTGATATGGATTACATTGACTATATAGTATACAAATGTATATATTTATTAAATTATAACCTTCACTGTGACACAGTACATATGTACACATACACGGACAATTATTTGGTAATACATTATTGGTAACGCAAATAAAGGAGGAAAAAAGCGTTTTTGTTAAACAAACACATGGTCTCGTTAAACTGACTTGTATCAAATCCCTTAATTCGTTACGGTGCACGTCGCGGTACCTCCCCCCTTGATGAGCGTACGTCGTTCGACAAACAGGACAATGAGATATTTGTACAAATATTTTTTTGGGAAGGGAGAACGCTTGTTGCAAAATTAGATTTCTCTGCTTAAAGGTAATACTAACGATACAGAGCAAATTCGGACAAAGTGTTCCTGACGAAATTGCTCTCGTTAATCATTCTTCTCAGTTATCAAAGTATTATTTGCTCTTTGATTAACGCACAAGTTACGTTTTCACCGCGTTCGTGGTATCCTGCACATCTGGAACGAGATCGACGGGAGCATCGTTCTGATCAATTTCTCCCGTATTATAAAAGGAACATGCTGGTGCACTCCTGGTCGTAGTCACAGACGCCTCGGGAAGGAGTGACGTACGTTCTGTCGCGCTTCCCCACGCCTGCTGATAGGCACTACGGCCACGTATCCTGCGACTTAACGATGATCCTACTACTCCTAAGTGTTCTTTGATATCGTTGTGAACGTCAGAGACGTCCCACATAGCTCTGGAAAAATGAAAAGAAATTTTGCTTTCATACCATGTATCCACTTTTATATGAAATAATTAATCTTCTCTTTAAAGGAAGGATTTTATAAGTAGTTGAAACTACATGAAGAATTACCTGAACGCATCCCACCATGCTTGACCTTGAGCTAGATTTACAAAAGGTTTATACGTAAAGCTATAGTGGTGAGCCACAGCAGCTAAGAACATTTCGATGCAAATTAAGAAATCTTGTAATTTTGACGATATATTTCTAATGTCATCCATGTCATTTGTATTGAAGATACTCGAGATGACATCAAAGTATACTAATAACGCAACAATTACACCTTGACTGTAAAATAAAGAAACAAAGAAAGAAATATTTTTTTTTTCCTATTTTTTTGAAAGAGGTTAATTCAATGGTGTTTGAAACTTACAAGAAAGAGAAAAATACGACTGCTTTGATACATAAAAATTTGCCAATTGGTTTCATCGGTTTTAAAGCCTCTGCGTTGGCACGGTAGAAAAGCACCAGGCAGTACATAGCAACAAACTGTGATAAATTATTTAAAGCGATCATATATGGAAAAGCTACATCTGTTCTGAATTCACCTTCTCCATATACTCCGTTCAGTTCACAGATACTAGAAACATAATTTGTTACAAGAATTGAAATTTATGTAATTAATATAAAAAGTAACATCTATACGAGACACCATGAAAATATTTTTTAATCGTGTTCAACTTAGATTGATATTTAAATTATATTAATACTGTTTTCAAGAAGCAAGAAAAAAAAAAAAATTGTTAAAAATCATTAATTATTCATTTGTCCTGAACGTTATAAATCTTCTATTAAAAATCCCAAGTTTTTTGTATTTAAAAAAAAAAACTGATAAGTAAAGTTAAGTTGCAAAAAGCTGATTCTTCCCGACAGTACAAATAAACACCCAATCTCTGGAAAAGCAATATAAATAACTGTACCTTCTTGTTATGATTTTCGAATCTAAAGATTTTACATGATACTTACAATGACATCAAGGTTGTTATAGGCCTAACAGCAGTGTATTGTAATATCCCGTGTTTGCACATATGTACAAATTCCCTGCCCATCTCCCAGTCGGGTAAACAACATAAAGGGAACATATGATGAACTTGAGGAGACATTTCAAGCCTATGTTCTAGCTGACGATCAGCATCCAAATAGGCCAATAAATACATCATAAAATTGTATATTACGTATGCTTCATAGCATTCTCTCAAACTGTCCACATATATACTGCCCTCAGGGTACACCAGACCGAGCCACTAAAAGAATTAAAGAAAGGACATTTTATCTATGAAATTGAAACACCAATTTATGCATAATTTGAATAAAAATTAAATGCGTATACCTACAGCATTTACTGCATAAATTGGTACCATCCATAATATCCTGAAACAAATATCGCAACAATATATAAGATGTAAACAATGATATAATAGAAAAGTAAATAGATACAATTTATTTCTGATTGAATAGTACTAGACAGGAACTCTATAAAAAGTGAGTTTATTCACTTATGATCTTTAGCTCTTGACCTTTAGCATGTCAAAGGTAAATCAATAGTTTCTTGACCTTGACCTTATATCCATAAGAAAGAGTGTGTATATTTAATGTATTATTAATAGCAAGTGACTGTAGCTGAATGAAATGTTGAAACCTGATCATATTAAATACAATTTCTTTTCTTAGAACAGTTATCAGTCTAATTTATATTAATTAGTTTTATCTCTGTGGTCAGCTATCGATGAACTTCAATACCTTCAATCAAAATCTTCTGTTGACAAAACAACAGCTAACTCACCTTATAATATATTTCTGTAGCCTCGGCTGTGTATAATATATCATGTGTTGAACGATTTCATAGAAAGCAATGGGTAAGGCAAGCAGTACAAACGCACCGCCCACGAGCGCTCCTTGATCCTGCTTTCTGAAACCATTCTTAATGGAATTCGCCAATAGGATTGGTACCAGAATAATGATTAGAAGCGCGTAGAGACAAGTTAAAACTGGTAAAATCCATAGTCTCCAGCGGCGACAAATAGAAGCCATCACTTTAATGAATTTTAAAGAAATAATATCACATACTGTGCATTTTCCCAATCAATTCCTGCGAACCTCTAAAAATAAAGAAATTATAAATAAACGTTATACACAGTGTGATAATATTTTTTTATTCATCACGCGTATCAGCTTTCTATTGCTTCTTAATACAACAGATAAATGGAAAATTGTGTTGAAACATTTTCGAATTCGATATTTCCATCGCATATAAGAAAAAGATACGATTCTCCGCTGCACTCACTTACGGTTTCGTGATATTTGATATATTAAATACTATAACCGCGTGAACATGGTAAATGGCGTAGTGAAGCGTTAAAAAAACTTATAACAACCTTGTCGGATATGATGAATCAACGATGAACCAAATCAGCTGACAATGACAGCCCAAAAAGGGGGGAAAAAGAAACGAACTCTTAACCCCCTCGTATTCAGTTACGCGATCGAGTAACCGCGTAGATATTAATTATAGTGGATTTACATACATTGATTCAAGCTAGTCAAGAGTGTTACGAGTAGCTTCTTATCGATATACTTGTTAAAAATAACGCGCTCAGTAAATCAACTAAGATTGTCATAGGTACAAAGGTTCTTTCGACAATCCACGATATCCGCATGTTTCGAAAGTTTGAAAAATCTCTGTTATTATCGTAGATTTGTTACAAGCTCTTCGAAATAAGGTCGCATTTAACGCAATATACTTTGTACAGTATCGAGGAATTGCATAATTGCAAATCCTATTTTGACATTTGTCGATAATCGTGCATGAACTTTCTTCCCGGAAGTTGAGCAATTTTGACAAATGAAATCAAAATGAATCTCTCAAGGTTGAACTCAAATTTGAAATTTCAAAGGAGGTGCCCGTGTCGAATATTCATTCTATATTTCGATGAGGAGAAAAGAAAAAGAAGTGGATTGATATTAACGATAATAAAGGAGATTATTTAAAAGGATGGAATATTAGAGGGCTCTAGTTTTCTTTAAGGATTAATGTTGGTATCGATGAGAGATTCGCGTAGGAAGAAAAGGAAGGGTACATCCGTTCTAATGGCGTCAAGAGCCAAGCACTGTTGTCACATTTTGTCATACAGTGTTTCAATATTTTGCTTTGTTTATGTCGCTCAAGTTTCCGAAAAAGGAGTCGATAATTCCGCTCGGACTTGCAAAGGTTGGTAAAGAAAGACGAGAGAAGAGTATTTATTTCGCTAGGACGCGAATCACATCGTGAGAGAAATTTTCTTAGAGCTCCGGGTGCAGTGACCTTGATTCCGCTGTCATCTCTAAACTAAACGAACGCGCGAAATTTAAATCACCAATTCAGCTAACTCGATCGAATGTGTACAATATCAATCATAGTGTCAGTTCGTCTAGTGTATTTTGTAATTTTAAATAAATTATTGAATATTCTAAAGCTTTTATCAGATGATTATGTTAATTATTTTAACGCTTTTATTAAATAATTAGATTTATGATATTTGCTGCAGTTAAACTTGGACTCCAAAGTCAGTGCTTTTCCACTAGACGAACTGATATTGTACATATATCATATAAATTTCAATTTTACATTATTTATTTATTTATTTATATTTCTAGGCACAGATAGCTAGCTTTTACAGATGGAAAAGAAATAATCACAGAAGAAATTTCTCTCTTCCATCAGCAGCTGAAGTAAATAATTATGGAGGTTACAACGGAGGAAGCACAAGCAGTGCTGCTGGAGGGAATGGAGGGTGCACAGTATATTACTATTCAAAGGGCTGATGGGGAACCATTAAGCAAAAGTGTTCCTCTCTTAACTCTCAATGGGGAATTAATCCCTGAAGGAATGGTTGTTGATATGATCAATGCCGGTGTTGGTACAGATTATGGTACAGCAACCCAATATTATGAGGCAGATGATTTATTACAACATGAATTAACAGAGGTAATTACTTCTTGCTTTGCATTTGTATGTTAAAAACTGAATTGAAATTTCACAAACAGGAAGATCGTAGATTGGCAGCTGCTTTGGTTGCTGTTCAGTTGCAGCAACAACAGAAACAACAACAGCTTCACAGTCAATCTCAGCATGAAGATTCGACTTTACCAGACGTTTCTCATTTAGAAACTTTAACACCGGTTAATACGTACTCCATTCAAACTGTACCAGAACCCAATGCTCCGCCTGTATACCCCACCTTGCAACCTTTCAAGCGAATCACGCATAACGTAAAGCAAGAGTTCATAAACGTTAAAAGCGAATATGACGTGGACGTGTCGGCTGAAAGTAGCGAGGATGCGACCCCAAGCTCCGGACCAAAAAGATCCTTACCACATAAAAAGAGGATTCCCCGTAATTTCAAACAGCAAACCAAGAGAAATTCGACGAGGAAAGATAGTAGTAGATTGAATTCAGACGGCATTAATGCTGAATCGTCTACCGATACCCAGGCTCATGTATTTAAGTGTGAGCTATGTAGTTCTAAGTTTAGTAGTCAATTGAAATTTTTTGAACACCTCAAGGTAATTTTGATCACTGTACTCATAACTGTAGTAACAGGGATGGTATTCTTAGAATTTGTTCATGTTTCAGGTGCATTACGAGCCTGTGAAGCAAGAAACCAGGATAGCACAAGCAACAAATACAAATATCACTATATCTGTACCGGAAACTGTTCAGAGTCTTGAAAACACAGTGATAGAAGAGTTCAGTGAACCTGAGGATCTCATGGAAGGCATCAGGGGCGTTGGTAAGTGAAGGAAATATTTTTGAATTTTATTTAAACTAACTATCTGTTTAATATTTGTAGTGGAGGAAACGGGTGCTCATATAGACGACGAAACAGAGTCTCCGTTATCCACTGTAAACAATGAATCGCCATTGTGGACAATTACCGATGTCACGGAGCATGTACATAGGGACCACGTGAAACCGGCGACTGTTAATGAACAAACTCTACACAACAAAGAAAAGACTGACATTCCACAAACAATGAAAAAAAAGAAGATACTGAAAGCAAGGAAATCAAGTATGCTTACATCAGTCTATAAGGGATGCGCGGGTACCCGATATTACGGGCTCGGGGGGGTTCGGAAAAAATCGGGCGGCCTCGGGCGGACGTCCGAGTATTCGGACAATTTCGGGTTCGGTCGGGTACAGTCGGGCTCATGTACTCTCATGTACTTGTTAATACTTGCAATTCGTTACAAGTATTATTTTTCCACATAATAAAAATTACTTTACTCCAAAATTCCATATAAAACCGATTTTGCACGTGCTTATTGCAAGTATTAACAAGTACACGGGAGTTGGATCGCGGGCCGCGGCCGACTCTGCCCGACTGCATCCGACCGAACCCGAAACAGTCGCGCTACCCGACTGCACGCACGTATCGGCCGCCCGCCCGAGCCCGCCCGATGTTTCCCGAACCGACCCGACTAGTCGGGCCGCATATCACTACAGTCTACCCATGTCTGTTATTATTGTACATATTTAACAAAAGCATTTATTTTTTCATAGATGATGAACTGATGTGTTCCCAATGCGATCGGACATTCCACCACAAAAATAGTTTAGTGTATCACATGCGATCTCACAGTGGTGAACGACCGCATCAGTGCGAAGTTTGTGGAAAAAGTTTCTTTGCTCCCAGCGCGTTGAAGGTAAATCGTTTGAAAAATATATTAATTTTCATTATTAATTAAAACCTTTGAAACACAGGTACACAAGCGTCTTCATAGCGGTGACAAGCCGTACAAATGCGAAGAATGCGGACGACATTTTCGTCAATGGGGTGATTTAAAGTATCATTCGACTAGTATCCATTCGGAACAGAAACAATACCAGTGCGAATACTGTGGTAAAGACTTCGCGCGAAAGTATTCTTTGATTGTTCACAGAAGAATACATACCGGTGAAAAGAACTATAGATGTGAATTCTGTAATAAAACATTCAGAGCTAGTAGTTATTTACAGAATCATCGACGTATACATACGGGGGAGAAACCTCATCAGTGCGCGGTGTGTGGAAAACCGTTCAGAGTGCGAAGTGATATGAAGAGGCATATGCATACGCATTCTAGGGGAAGAACCGATAGACCATTGAACAGAGTTATATCAGGGAAGAGTATAGACGATGAAAACGATAAGGGATCGCAGGCAAAAACGATCCAGGATCTCGTTAGAGATTTGAAATTGGAAGTCGAAGCAACAGGTGTGGTGGAAATCGTTCCACCCGATGATAATCCTGAAAGCATTTTACCGCATGCCGGCGGACAGACTTTAGAGTACACAGTTACAGCATCAACGGATGGTAATTCGGACAGAGATCCGTTGGAAGCGGTTGTACGTACAACTGATAACATGTGAGTTAATTGATTTTTCATATAATCTTATTATAGTATTAAACATTTTTCAATGGTTCACTTTCTTCTTTCTTTTCACAGGCAATATTTCTTCATGTAACATCTAATGGAGAAAAGATTGAAAATTGTTGTTTTTGTACTATAACAGTATATGTGAAATTAGAACATTAAATATTTGTTGTACAAAGGTGGTGCTTTGTGGAAACGCTGGCCTTCGCTGTAATATAGTAAATCATTGTTTGCACTGCTCGTATAATGTGCATAGCGTACTTTCCAGTTTCTCTGCAATACTACTTTTGAGGAAACGCCCTGATGGATATAGTGTTTAATACTGTTTTTAAGACTGTCATTAGCAGAAAACTCGGTAAAGTACAAAACAGGATTATGATCCTAAAAACTATATTAATACACGTGTGTATGTATAGGTAAATATATACACACGTAATTGCATATATATATATATAAATATATGTATATATATATACGTATGTATATACGTATATATTGTACTTAAATTAGTTGTTTATATCGCGAATCATGGTTGAAAAATATATTTTTTACGTAAAGACATTTATAGAAACATTGTGGTCCACTTTTATTGCATTCACCAAGGAAACGTTTGTAACCTAATCTTACATAATTGAAGATAACGAAGCTGGTGCAGGCACCGTGTTATTTGTGTTTATGAAAATTTGTAACAGTTGAACCAGATCCCTGGATTCAAGTGCTGCGCTAAGCTTTTCTGCAGCGTCTTTGCTAGTAATTCTGAAAATTTGTATAAAATGTATATATACAAAGAGGTGCAATTTATTTAAGGTTTTTAACTTTTTCAACAGAAAACAATGAATTTTCAAGATAGACTTTGATTTATATTATACATAAACATAAGATAGAGATTAAGAAGTCTTTCAAAGATAATATTAATCTCTGAAGGACGTTAACAAAATTTTGTGTCAATTAGTCTCTTTATATTATATTGTGTTCGTAAAAAAATTTTTCTTATGGTTCATATATTATATCGTTGAGAAATAAATGATTAAAATTTTTAATTAAATTTAGAGCACGAAAATGTTATTTCGAATCGTGAATTCAGAGAAGATAAATGTTTTAAACAGAGATACTGAATATATTCAGTGTTGAAGTACAAAATTTTGTTAATTCACATTACTGTGTCTTGTAAAGTAATAGGTGAAAAGTAACTTTTAATAGCAATATATTGTCCATATATCATATTATTTATATTTATTAATACACACCTACGAGAACGTTTAGCTCTTTCCCAATCGACGTAGAGATCTGTAATTACTGCTTGTAATCTTTCTAAAATTTCACTGTCTTTTGCCATCTGTGACTTGATCTCTGTTTCTTTCTGCATCAATTCTTGATATTCAGAGCACAGATTGTCTTTTGGATTTTCTTTCAGCTCCCATTCCTCAAGGGCGTTCAGAATTTTCACTTTCCTAGTCAATTCATGGGCACCGTTCAATCGTGGAAGAATTAATTCCAATACTTTGGATACGCTCCCTTCTGCAACATCTGTGAAGAACGAAGAAACATAAGTTACACCTTGAAGAATGACAAAATTTTAATTGAAAGCTAGTCAATGGTGCTATAAAAGCAACAGTACCACAGAAGACGTCTAATTTGATTTTTCTTTTTGTTGCTTCTCTCGTTAACACGTCCCTGAGAATTATAATGCTTGATACATTTTCTCCAAGAAAAACGGCGCTTCCTTTCCTGGAAATGAGAATATTTTATCCAACTCAACGTCACAGTGATGTAAGGCTTACTTATATTTGCATTTTAGAACTGTGCCAATAAAGGATGAAATGTATGTTAAAACAGCCTCTCCTTCTTCCAAATGAGGCCTTTCAGGAACATCAAGTAATGCAAGAGAAAGCCAAGCATGCATCTGAAAAATATTGAATCATATTTAAAGATTGATAAATAAAAAAATAAAAAATATGAACTGTTACCTCAGCAATGGTGAAGCTTCCAACTACTTTTAATTCGTTAAAAGGACCTCTTTCATGAACCTCTGTACCATCATTTTCATGTAGCCTTACGTGAAGAGATAAGGCACATACAGGTATTGATATTCTACGGCAACATTTTGGTTGTACCTAAGTAGTCAAGAATGTATACTTTTATTTCATAATTATGTTAACAGAACATACCTGTGAAGTGACATAAATTTGCAGGGTACCAGATTGACCTTCGATAGTTCTTAACTTCATTTCAAGATGATTGGTGTTTACCTTTAATATTACAACCATGTTAATTTTAAGAAGATCAATGTGACCAAAAATTTCTTAAATAAAATACATACTTGGCAGCGATAAGTAGCAAGAACAAAATTGCCTTCTCTAGGATTACAAGTCGAAAGGCTAACAACCGCACTGTTACTTTCCACATCCAATAACTCTATCGGTGTGTCTGATTGTATCAAAATGTTATCAATCGGTGTGTCCAGTTCTACTGAAAGTGAATACGATGCGTCTTCTCTATTTAAAATTATCCTGCAAGTAATTTATGATTTAGCATCGTAGAGAAGAATATTGGATTATAATTCATACCTATGATTCACTGATAGAATCAGTGGTGCTAAAGGATCAACAGTGAAATTAGTTGCTTCTTTTTCCTCGTTAAGCTTTTCCTGTAAAAGTTGTATCTCTGCTTTCAGCTTCATCAAACCATCATTTTGATCAGCTTCCAACAATCCAGGCGGTCTAGTAGTCAAACCAAATATTTTTCCTGAGTACGTTGTGACTAGTACTTCAGGATATCCTGCAGCTCCTATTATTCCACCTCTTACTGAAGTTATGCTTTCATTAGCGTTCTACAAAATTAACATCAATAGTAGTTTCTTTATATTTAATTAAGATAATGTACCTACGCAACGATACCGAAGTAAGGATAACGTGTCCTCCTCAGGGAAGGTATATACTTCAATGGTACCATCCTGTCGACCAATAAGTATATCTAATCCATCTTGCAATTCGTAGGTATCCAAGGAAGTCACTTCTGAGCCTGTCATGTTTAATATCCAACTGATTCTCAGAGTTTTATTGCTTTCAAGAATCAGCAAGCCCACTTTACCATCCATGGTTCCAACCAACATATGTTCTTTAGATTCAGCATCGCGTTCTCTGTGAAAATGAAAGAAAATACTTCCAACTATCATTGGAAGAACGATTGATCAAATAAAATTTCTATGACAATACCTGCACATTGATAATACTGTAGGCACACTTGGAAGTCTGAGAACTGCTGGAGTTTTTGTACCATGAAGAACTCTTATCTGGAAAAGACAGATTTTTTAAAACACAGAATATATTCAGTTTATGATTTTCGATTTTTACAGCACAATCTCCGCAAGCAAGTATAGCGTAGATGAAGGTGGCATCAGCAGGCAGGAGTATCACATCGTATAAAATTTCACCAGCTAAGTAAGAGTCAGCATCTTTACAATCATGGTATCTGTGATAAAGATCTCTGGCACATGCTGCAAGATTTGGACCAAGCACATATCTGGAATTAATAATAGCAATAATAAACTTATTATTGGAAGAAATTTTTTTAATCTATTAAGGAAACAGTGTTCCCTTTACAGTAATATATTTTAAATGTATTACAGAGATGTAATAGGATCTATGAGATTTGTGTCGAATTCCAAGAACAATTTTCCTTTCTTGGTATAACCCTTTACAGTACTGTCTTGGGCAATGAAAATCCTATCACGCGTTGGACCACCAAGAACCACCTTATTAATCCTTGGTCCTGGCAATGATTTAAATGACAGTTGCAATTCTCCTTTCTTTATACCTGGATTGAAGAAATAAAGGTTTAATATCTGCCTTTAATTTTGTCCATTGAAAATTTACCATAGACATATAGTATCCCATCGTGATCAGCAACAGCAAACTTTTGCGTTTGTCTGTGTTCACTTGCAGGGAAAATCTTCATTGTACCTCGAGATGTGACACCCACAGTTGTATAATCTATCCTTGACAATGGCAAAGTCATTTTGACTAGAAGAGTTTAGATGATGAAAAGTAGGTTTTTAATTCTATTTCTGTTCAATTTGATTTTGCATAGTTCTGTTGATTTTAAATGAAGAATATGTTAGATTTGTACATTGTGGATTTTATTAGATCTTGTAAGGTATTAAGAAATTGTAATTATTGTACTATCCAGTAAACTGAGCAATCTAGTAGAGCATTGCTTCCATTTCAACGCACGTGCGCGACGATCAATTTAACCATAGCGACAAATGATCACAACAAACTATTCTTCAACTGTAATATCATTTTCAGGTGAAGATAAACTGTTAGAGATAGAAGAAGATATATATAAAAAGAACAGGATATTATCAAGAGAATATTTTCTTCATTTCTTAAAGAAGAAGAAATGCTATTAATTAGAAGGACAAGAAGTAGGAAAGGTGATGGTATCTTTGGAAGAAAGAAGATATATTTATACATTTCAAAAATGAATTTATTCAGATCAGTTGTTAATACAAAATCTTGAGTATTTTCTTGGCTCTTTTTATAATACATTAGAATCATTAGTCAGAAGTAGGTTTGGCAGGATGGATGGTATATTGTAAAGAAGAGTATTGTACTCTTTGAATTTACAACATATAAGAAATATTCAAAGAATTTTTAAACGACAGTTAACATTTTCTATTTCTTGTACTGATAGTTCATCAACATACTAGCAATACGTGATTGCAAAGTGTTAGTATCTTTTTCTTCAATGTTCTTAAACTAAAATTAGTGCTACAAGTTAGTTCTTAGCTTCTACTTCATGCTTCAGAAAGGAATACACTTTGACTGTATTAATTTTTTTTTCATTTTATTTTCTCCTATATCCATGTCCATTGGACACATCTAATTGAAGAATAATATATACTCTGGTCTAAGATCTTTTGTTACTTATAACTAGAATTTACACTGGCTGGGAATATCAAATAAGTGCCATCTGCGGTTTAAACATTTCTGATTTAACAAAATTCCTTTCATTCATTTTTAATGAACAAAATTATAAAGATAGTGCTAATTTTCTTCTTTCTCAAGTTCTCTTCGTGCTCAAAGTTTCTTCTTTTCTCATCAAATCATATTTTTCTCAGTGTGAAGAAAAGCTCTGTAGTCTCAACTAGCATCACCTTTGAATTTAAACAAACAATGACCTGAAATGACACCAAGAGGAAGAACTCTCAATGATCCAGATGACAATTCAACTAGTTAGCGGCAACAAATGGAGGCAGAGGGACAGCACGGTGAACAACTAACAATAAGTATCGCAAGACAAACGTGTGGTAAGATCGTTCGCAACCCCTCGATCTCGGCACCACGTTTAATAACCCGCGAAGTTGCTGGTCGGCCGAGGAACGTCGAAACGGGGATTCCCGTCGTAGGAGACCTGCGCGCTGAAACCGTGCTTCCAGTCGGCTGTGTAACGAACTATCTGTAACCTTCCATCTGGAAGCTGAACTCTGTACTCCCCACGTACGATGTCGCCATCGCTTATAGCGTTATGGGAGTAGTCGTTGCCGAATGCGTCTTCCTTCACGGCATAGTTGAAGTCGAACGGCATGCCTGGTTCATGATGGTGATGATCATGCTGGAATTAAATCAATCAATTTATGTGTCCTACTTTTGAAATTATTTCATTCTGTTTAATCGTCACTCACTCCGCTAGGTGTTATGGTGTTGCCTGTGGGCCTGGTCGACGAGCCATAATCAGGGAACTCTGGAGTGGGCCTAGGACCTGGAGGTGGATACCCTTCGCTGGGAGTTGGTCTAGGTGGGAACTTTGTGGTCGGCTTAGGACTAGGGTAACGTTGTGTGGAGGAGAAGGGTGGTCTCGTTGTAGAAGGCCTGGGGAAAGGTATCGAAGGTGTGTCATAATTGTAGCCCTTCGTTGGCTCTGGTGGCAAGTACGTATTGCGTCTCGTGCCTGGTGGTAGGTCGCAAATCACGTGGACCATTGCCATGCATAGTATCGTTATCTGAAATAGAAAATTTCAGAAATTAGCCGAGCTTATTTTCTAATCTTGTTCTTTTACAGGTCACCCTGAAGAACTACTGGTATTAATTTCATCTAATGCCAGAAGAGACTCCACTTCAGAAGAAAGCGATCCTAACGAAGAAACATTGGAAAGTGGAATGATAAATGGAGAGACTGACTTAGAATTCATTAACAAATAGAAGTAGTAAAAATGAGAGCTGTTTCTAAGTGTCTTTTTGAAGAAATATCTCTTCCTACTCCGTACACCTACTCCCATTTACACAACCACGTTCAATGATGATGCAGTAATCAGTTATCATGCAACTGTTAATGATGCCTCACTGAAGGAACTCTTGTTTCCTTTTACTGTAATATCTTAGCACTGTAAATTAGTTTAACACTTGGAAGCTTAAGAAGAGATTAGTTATTGAATATCGAAGACGAATATGTAAACAGTCATCAGTAGACTTAATAGAAAAAAGAAGGAGGGAAGAACTTAAATCGCGAGATAATTGCGAGGAGTATTTCACTGTGCGTATCTGTCGCTTATTTGCAGCTGTTTCGCAACGATTTAATTATACGTCTTTCGCCTCATTTCTACTCATCTTTTTGTTGACCTCGCTGCAACGAATACGTGCGAAATTGTTTCTTTTGAATGCATCCCTGTTGCTGATTACAAAATTAATATGACCGGAAGTAAAGCAAATAGAATGAACACTTTTGTTCAAGCTAAGTGCCATTCAGCTTAGTACACTTTCACAAGTGTGTATATACATTGTAACAGGTATAAGTTCAACATCAGTTATTTATAATTATGTTTCATCATTCGAATACTTGCAAGAACGTTTTATACAGATTTGAAATATCATTTTTGATCACTCTAGGCAATGATGAAAGTATCAAGAGGGATACTTTGCTGCAAGTTTACATTCTTCTTGTATAAACTGTCAATACCCTCAGAATACCTGTTCGACTTAATCATCCAGCCCAGTGGCGCAACAAGTGCAGTTCAAATGTCTGGAAAAAATTCCAGGAGGAAGGCAATTAGCTACTCATTTACAGTTCAATTACCTGCATCGACGTTTCACCGAATAAAAAATTCAAAGTGCATGCCAGCCGTTTGCAACGCTTGGCTAGTGGAAATATCAATCAATTGAGAGGTGTACAGTGGTGGAGGTATCAATTCAGAGATCCCTTCATGCACTAAGTTAGAGAAACATTGAGTCCTCTGATGCTTGAATCATCTGTTCAGGAATGATTTATCAGGTACAAGTCTTACTGTAGCTTTACACGTGTAGGCAATTTGAATAAATCAGAGGGCGTAATCCTTCTAGCTATTACAGAGATAGAAAAGCAATTAAATATGTTAACCGAGCTCTCTTCTAGCATTTGTCTGTGAATGTCTCAACTTAGAACCTCAGGAAGAATATTAATTAGAAGGGAAAGGAAAAACTGAGTGAAGCAGAGAAAGTTTCCAGTTAAATGAAAAGTAGATAACTAAGTTTCATTAGGATAGAAGTCAGCCAAAATGCTGATGGAATAAAGAAAATTGAATTACAAAATGAAGAATGTGAAGTAGCCTCTCTAACTAGTGGCGTTCCTTATTTAAATTTACCAGCTGAAAAAGAAAAAGTTGGTTAACATCAGAGCTACACCATTGTTTTCAGTAGTTATTGTTTAGCGTTCATTGTCACAGCGACAGTGATGCAATCATTTTCAGATCTCGATTCAAAGATTGCAATTACTATGCAAATACGTCATGTAGTTAGAGGCTCGTAGAGAATGAAAAGAGAGCAGTGTTAAATGTACATAGGTATGATGAATCATAAAAGAAACTTGATGATTTTCATAAATTCAGATGATGATTTAATTTGAAGCTAACAATTGGATGTAAATTATGTTCAATTTTATCCTGTCAATTGGTTTCTTTATTTCATCATTACTAAATAAGGATCCTTTTACAAGCATGATGATCAATCAATCGCAGGGAACAAACGAAAACTTTCACGTGTATGTACTGCACGCTACTCAAAGGATCTTTAAAAGTGACCCATTGGCACAATCACTGGTAATAAAAAATTCACCGACATTCATAAATCTATCAAGGCTCGTTCGAGTCGTTTATGGTCTGTTGCATAAAAGAATCCTCCAACTTCCAGTATCATATATCTTGAATATTTAAAGCAAAAAGAGGTGGACAATTTTCATGAATTCAGTGGTGAAGAATAAGTATTTTGAAGAAGATATAGGAAGAAAGAGTACTATGAGCAATTTTCTATTATTTTCTATTATAAATAATTGCCCAAAGTCATTCAAATTTAATGTAAAGTAAAATTAATCAAAGAATCTTTTTCCAAAATAATTTTGTTTCAAAGTCAGAAACCTGTTGAGAAGAATTACTGAGAAAGATATCGACGATCCAGCTTACTGGAGATTCAAGGAAATTGCTATTCCTTATTCAGAAGTGATTTAGATTCTGAGGTAGATAACGAATGTGCAGCTTTTCCTATCCAGCTCTTCCTAACACCTGGAGGCAAACGCATACATATCGATAAATCAATTACGAGAGACTCTGTGTGATTCACCTCTGCAGATTAATCGGAGGGAATCAGGGAAGATCGTGTGGGATACACTCGATAATTTGTTGACACCTCTCCCACTCTATGGAGCACGTGAATTGAGATTTATGAGCCTCGAGGTTTATTGGCCTCGATGCTGTAATTAATTATATTAATTAGACAGACGTTTAATCCTTTTAAATTGTTGCTTCTACGATATTCTATGCCAATATCTTTCTGCATCAATTTTAATCAATTCTTTAATATAACAATGAAGTTTTTTAACGTGGAAGAAATAGAAGAATTGATTTAGTTTTATGGTAAGTTTTATTTAAAAATATAATATAATTAAAAATAGTTTTCTGCATCAATTTTAATCAATTCTTCAATATAACAATGAAGTTTTTTAATGTGGAAAAAATAGAAGAATTGATTTAGTTTTATGGTAAGTTTTATTTAAAAATATAATATAATTAAAAATAGTTTTCTGCATCAATTTTAATCAATTCTTCAATATAACAATGAAGTTTTTTAACGTGGAAGAAATAGAAGAATTGATTTAGTTTTATGGTAAGTTTTATTCAAAAATATAATATAATTAAAAATAGTTGAATTGATAGAAATTTAGTTTCAGATAAGGGTACCTGTATGATTTTGAAATAAATTGCAATTGATTGATTGGAGAGAAATAGATGAACGTTGTGAAGAAATGTACTCACTTGAAGATAAAACATGTTGTGAGGATAACAGGTTCACCAGCTAGGTGTGCCTCAAATAAAGTCGCACCTTTTTGAAAGTACACTGTGGAAAGACATGGAAAATCAACCCTTTACATAAGGAGCACACGTTTTTCAACCTTTTCTAATCATTAACAGTTGAAATTCTCTTTGGGTAATAATTGAATAGAATTCCGATCGTACAATCGATTCGCGCGAATGCATCATGAGAAGCACGATTTTATCCTTAAACCTAGATTCTCGAGGCTTAATGCCATCAGGAGCACAATTTACTCCATTTCGTAATACTCTGATGGTACAAATAGAAATGAACTTTAATCTTCAATATAAATTGAAAAAATTATTGAAACCCTTGTAACTTGTCGAAATTTACAAATATTAAGATTGTCAAAGTTTCAAATTTAATTGATTGAACTTCACAATTTGTAGCTAGGAATCTTAGGTAATTGTTAACATTTGTAAATTTCATTTAACAGGAATTCCATTGTTCCTCTTTTCAAAGTCATTTCATGATTGCAAGGTACCAGATGAAATATAGGAAGAGCATCAAGAGTATAAAGTCATTGTGCTGGCTGAAGGAACATGAAGAAATGAAGAAAAGGTTGTACAAAATTATAGTGTCCAAGAGATTCCATTTGTGGTGGAAGTATAGATCATCGCAGTTTCAATTTAATGCGTGCTTTGCAACATAAAGGGTTGAATAGACCTCGACGACATTTCACGGTTAACCACACCCTGACTTCGATTGTTCTTAGCATTGCATGCATACACACCACTCCCTGTTCGTACATCCTCTTTACAGAAGAAACAATTTCTTTCTTCTACACATTCTTTACTTTTCATTCACTTGGAATCAAAATGAAAATAATAATTCAAACAAGAGAATGTTTATCATTATTAATTCACAGTTTCAACTGTTTCAGTTGGACCATTGTATTAATCTTCAATTAAAATTGAAGAAAATAATATTTGAACTTATTAGAAAATTTGCAAAGATTTCATTCACTATTTTCTCTGAGCTATCACAGATTTTTAATATTCTGAAATTATTTCAAATCAAAAGCAATGAATCCTTAACACCATTTATCACCATTGCAGGTCTACAATGAAAGCATTATTGGAATACTCTCCCCATAATGAAGCAATGACAACCTCCAACATGAAACAGCAAAATAACACATATGTAGATGAATATCACTCGACAGATAGAAGAACTGCTAATCCAAATTTCATGGGAACAAACAGAAGGCACCGTGGTTTCACCAGGGGTTGGTTGAACAACGGAACGTCACCGAGGTCATGAAGATTAAAACGTCTCTGAGCGTGCCACCCTTACGGATACCCGCGTATCAATATATCTGCCCACGTGTGTACCGTCGAATACGATATCGTTGCACTCCGCCACGGCTGTGAATAAAGTCAGTACGTAACTGCTCGGCATGCTGGCAGGTTGGGTTTATATAGCGTGGGTCTAATAAGAGATGATACTTGAACGCCACAGTTGGGACCGGGCCCCCAAGAAGAAAAGAAGAGGGGACCGCGTTGCCTTGTTTCACCTTACCTTGCCTCACCTTGCCTTAGAACCTTGTTCAGATCAAACTGGGCAAGATGAATCTTGCACCACTTTCATACTCTGTGCGCGCAAACTTCATCTCTTATGCCCTCCAGGTATTTTTCATAATTAGAAGTCTTCAGAGATAGCTGGAGAAGAATATTGGAATATCGAAGAATCATCCAAAAGACTTCTGAACCGCCGCTTTATATGGTGTAACTTTCATTAACTATCCCAGCAGTAAGAAACATCATTATGGATCCAATCGCTGCTTCATCAAGTACAGAAGCTAATGGTAGATAAAATCAGTCCAACAGGTGTATCCAACAAGGAACATGAATCATTCTGATGATCAGCTTGGGCACCAAGTGTTAGAGAGAGAGAATAGAAATTGCGGAACTGTTGGTTGTAGTAATTTCCTTGATTCGTTGCTACAGGTCCATTCAAAAAGCAGGACAGTGCGAATGATTTAGTCAGCCATCGTGGGAAGGCTAATACGGATCAAAGCGAACCAAATGATCTTTCCAGCCACGTGAGCTGACTCTTCTACGCCTGAAGGGTGCAGCATGAAGAAGTCATTCCATCGACTATCGTGCTACGAATCGACAAGGATTTGATATTTCATATAGGTGCTCGAAACCCAACCGAACAGGCTCGATGCTCTATTGATATATTGGCTCTCATAACTCCTGCCTTTTTCTGGTCATTGTTACACCATGAAAATGGATAACTGCAAATGTTCCTCTGATGGAAGATTAATGGAAAGCTGATGGTGAGGTATGATCTAACAGGGATCAGTGAAGTTTGAGTTATGACCGTTTAAGTCTTACTAATTGAGGACTCAACACTGTCCTGAATGTTTCAAATTCACTGACTCAATGCTCTTTGGTAACTTTACATTTTTCTTTTTCAGGGATGTTTATATTCTTTGGAGTTTCATTTCTAAGCAAATGATTACTGGATGGAAAGGATTTATGTTAAGATAGTAAGCTTTCTTCTGAAGATGAAGATTCTCTAATTCTTCATGTACTCCTTTCAAATTTGAGTTAAGTGCAAAGAGCTGTTCGAGGAGTCAGGGAGTAACAAGAATCCAAGAAACATTTTCCTTCGAAGGAATCCATTTTCACCGAAGGTACATCCTTGGTGCATAGCTTTAGCAAACCAGAGAAAGGCACGCACGCTCGGAATTGCTCGGCGAGCAATCCGCCTTCTGCCCCGTATTTACCTGCATCCAGCAACACTGAGCGGAGACCAGGTCAGGGCAGAACACGAGGGGCACGCTTGAGACGTTCCTTCAGCCCTTTCAAGGCCGAGGAGATGTCTTCTCTTCTCTGTTTACATTGGGAACCTTAATCTTTGCTTTGAACATTATTTAAATCCAAATAACTGTTAATTTAATGCTACACTTAATATTATTAGGTGTACAAGTTAATTCGGTGTCTTTGCTTTAATTAATGGCTTATTTTTAAGAAGTTATAGTCGATATCATATTCTCGCGCCATTTTTCAAATTCACCAAAGCGCGGAAAAATATTCGAATTTAAAATAGTAACTAAGAGCGCCATTGTTCAAATTCGCAATAGCGCGGGAAAATATTCGAATTTAAAATAGTAACTAAGAAAGTGTAATATTAAAGATACCGAATTTGTACACCTAATATAATAGTTTCATTTTTCAATTTAATCCCCAATGCTTCCTAACCTGTTAAATATTCTTCTATTAATTTAAAAAATAATATTTCTTAATTAATATCTTCTTCTGCTTAGGAGGACTCGTTCGAAATGAATTAAAATACAATGGACAGCGAATGATCTATGGTGATGTTTGAAAATTATAGAACATCCTCCTCCACCATTGAGTTGGAGGGATATGCATCGTTGGCTCGTGGGAAGTGGTGCGAAAATTGTTGCGAAATCTCTGCACTTTGTGCCTGTATACAAGAGGAGGACGTCCATCTCGAGTGGGTTGTATCTTACCTTGCGAAATCTACGCTAGAACGGGTGTTGCACGAATTATTTGACGATTACGAGTCGCGGTTTTACGCCCACGCTGAAAGATGTTCATTAATGGATTCGTCATAATTTTAGTACAAAGCATTTCTTCAGAATGACGAGCGCTTCTTTGCACAGCGTGATGCAAACAGATCCTATATATTTGTTAAGAAAGGATTTCTAAGAATTTGTATGTAACATAATTATTATATAGACATTAGCAGTTAATATTTGAAAGAAGAAATTTATTTTGAAGAATTTAAATGTACGACCTATGCACAAAGGTTAATATCAAACATAGATCAATAATTGAATTTATTTTTATAAATAATAACGCGACGTAAGAGAAAATTATTTTGTATAACCCGAGATACCTTCAGATTTCACGATCGTAAAATGAACTAATTGCTTCAACGATCATTTTATGAGAATGTTTTCTCTTTCAGTTTCATTTTTCCACGGTCCTCTCTGGCAAAATCTTGCGTATCGATGGGAACCCTGAGAAATCGACGTGAATTTTTTTCAGCAAGGAATTTTATGCAAGTATATACAAAATCTATTCCCAGAAGTTCTTCCTATAATGAAATATTTCTTATTGATCTTTGCATGTTTCAGGTAAGAACCAAGGTGTTCAAAATAACATTAAGGTAATCTTGAAGCAACCATCATTGAATTACCTCTGATTAGATTGCATTAAGTGTTTTATAAAATTGGTCATCAAACATTTATATTTATCAAAATAATTTTTGGAACCTTTTTTGTACAAGGAATCAAAATACTGTTGAAAATTAATATTGGAACGCTCTGTATGATCCTGTAATTAAACAAGGATACTGCTACTGATTTTAAGAAGAGATGATGAAGATTGTTCATTATGAAAGCACAGAGCATTGCGTTAGAATCAGCAGCATGAGAACGTCCATTTACTCATCGACAGGAGCAAAAGAATCAGAAACGATTAGAAGTTACATCGAGCGTTACACGTTTTCATTGAGGCTACCGAGTCGAATCAAAGCTGACGCGCGGTAAACTCTTCTGGAAATCTATCAATTATATCAAAGAGATATTCGTGTCAAATTGAAACGGTGCTTAGAGATGACGGTTGTGCATCAAACAGGCTTCAGGCCGTTCCTTCTAACCAGTTCCAAGCTATTACAAAATTGAAACTGAAGCCTTCAGAGAATGTTTCATCCGAGGCCTACTTCAATTGGAACAATGGCAATCTACTCGGCTCTACTTGTCTTCTAAAACAACGACCGATGAATTATGACCATGACTGTTGGGCGTAACAGAGGTCGGCTTGAAAACGGGAGGATCCTGATTTTAACGCGGATCCTCTGTTGGGGGGAGGAGTCCAAGCGGAACGGGGTTGAGTTCGCACGTGTGCCGCGAATTCAATGGAAGGTTATGAAGAATATCCGCGCCTCTGTCGAAGTTGCGTGTCATACGTTGAACGGCTTCTTTTTCGCCTTTGTCTGGCTTGCATCTAACTAGGCATTCCCTCGGTCAGGATGAAAGTGAAAATCTACTGGTCGTGGATGACCTACTGGTTGCCAAGAATCTAGGTGCCCCGTCGCATCACGCTGCCGTGTACACCTCTTCTTGGCTTTTGAACACCTTTGTGGGGTAGATTGATGAAATTGAATTGCATTTCTCTGGGTATAAATTATTTGGTACTTTTGATATTACACTTTCCTAGTTACTATTTTAAATTCGACTACTTTTCCCGCGCTTTTGTGAATTTTAAAAATGGCGCGAGAATATGATAATTGTATAACTTCGCAAAAAGAAGGCAATTAATTTGTACATCTAATAATTGGTGCCATGCAGCATTTCAGTTTTCTTTAGTCATCTGAGAAAGAGAAATTACTTCAATAAGTGTTTTTGAAAGGAAATTGAACTTCAAGTATGGGTAACATAATGAATGTAATAAGATTCATTTTTAGTAGAGAATAATAATTCAATATGATTTATTTTGAAATTTCAGGATACTTTCTGAAGATATGATATATTTTTTCTCTGGATGATACAATATTTCTGCACATGAGAATTTATGTAAGAATATCAAAGTGTAATCATTGAAAATGAAATATGAGAATTATAAGATTTACGAGATTATGTGAACGCAGCAGGGTATATTATTTAAACGGAGAAATTAGCAATTGCAATGGTGATCGGTAAATGTCAATGTCAAAATACTCGGCTGATTATCGTGTACGAAAAAGGAAACCGGTGATTTTCATGGAACACCATGTTGAAACGAGGACAGGAGGCTCGTTAAATGCGTCACGGGTCATTATAGAATCGTAGTACAGTTTACAGTACCCTTTATACCATCAATGATGGAGATACCGTTTAATGATACACAGTAAGCTTTTATGAACTGTGAAAAGTTACACGGATACATGTAGAATTCTACCATTGGATATTCTAAAATTTAGAGTTTCTAAGCTTCAAGTTCTAAGCTTGAAAGCTTTAAGCTCACAAATTTCAGAATTTTCAAAATTGAAGGTCATAAATCTTAGGGTTTTTAATTTAGAATCCTAAGATTTCAGAATTTTTACAAATGAAATCCATAAATCTTAGGATTTTTTTAATTTAGAATCCTAAGATTTCAGATCCTCAATTAAAGCTCTGATATCTGCAAAATTGATAAGTATCCCATCATATCACAATTCTTCATCACCTAGCATAAATAGCATTTAAACGTCAATTAGAACAAGAAAGGACGGTAATCCTTGGATCCAATCTTCCTAAGATTTCATCATTTGAAGAGGATGGTCTCTCCCTTCTGCCAAAACCATGGAACGAGTTCACCACGCTCTTCCAACCGCGTAGAAGCGTGTAAAACACGCCCTATTATCGTTCTCTTTTTTTCTTTCAACGTATTTTCATCCTCGTGAATACGTATCTTCTCATTCTCTTGGATCATTCGAAACGTTCCTGACATTTCGGTCGCCTCAACCTTAAAGTCTTGCCACCCGAGACCGTGGCTGATCGCTTGCGTGATCTCTCTTATATAAGTGAGCCTGATCTAAATCTTGAAATGTGAGGGACTCAAATGACAAGCAAGGACTAACGTGATTGGAAATGGAGGAACGTTTGGGTTACTTTGGAGGATAGTTAGATCTTCAGAGTACTCAAAGATATCTCTTTTATTAATTTACCTAACTTTATAGGGGTTTCTTCACTGAAGAAATAAGTTATGCTTTTGTTTATTATATTATAGAGGGTGAAGATATTTCTTTTATTATTTTACTTAATTTTTTAAGGATTTCTTCACTGAAGAAATAAGTTGTGCTTTTGTTTATTATATTATAGAGGGTGAAGATATTTCTTTTATTAATTTACTTAATTTTTAAGGGTTTCTTCACTGAAGAAATAACTTGTGCTTTTGTTTATTATATTATAGAGGGTGAAGACATTTCTTTTATTAATTTACTTAATTTTTAAGGGTTTCTTCACTGAAGAAATAAATTGTGTTCTTGTTTATTATATTATAGAGGGTGAAGAGATACTTGAAGATATTTCTTTTATTAATTTACTTAATTTTTAAGGGTTTCTTCACTGAAGAAATAAGTTGTGCTCTTGTTTATTATATTATAGAGGGTGAAGAGGTACTTGAAGATACTTCTTTTATTAATTTACTTAATTTTTCCATGGTTTCTTCACTTGTGGTTAAGGAAATTGTAAGAGTATTTAACAAAATTTAAAAAGTAAGTATTATATATTGATATTAATTTTCTGTGTTACAATATTCTACATAAATCTATTTATTATTTTACAGGAATCAACTAGAATTGCTTCCTTCTGGAATATATAAATTGAAACACACTGAAGAAAATACAATTTTCCTTATCTACTCGACAAAATTTAATAAAACACACAATTGGTATGGTAAAATTTATACAAAAATTGTTTCTAACTCCATAAAAAACAACGTATCCTAATGGTCGTTATTTTATCTTTCAGGTGGAATGAACATTGTTGCTGTCGAATTTTTCTTCCCATACCGATCTCGTTTGTCGAAGTAAAGGACGCCATGGTGAACTTTTACTTCGCCTTAAACTTTAAACACATCACGGTGCAACCTAACGACCGTCCTCTTTTGTTTGTTCTCATAAAGGAGACGAACAGAGGAATGCTATTATAGTTCACCGGGTTATCGTCAATCAGTCATGCTCAGGGGATAATTAAACGACTTAAATGCTCGTCCCATGAAATCTCGATTCTAAAGTCCATTTTTTTTTTTTCTCTCCTTTACATCAAGAAGAACCGTAAACGAAGGATATTTTCCTGATAAAAGTAACCCGTTACCTGTTTTGCTCGTATTTATTCTTTTATAACCAGACAGGAACGGGAACTTTCTACGTCTTATGTAAAAATAATATGAAAAGAAGAAAATTAAACGTAAGCATAAAAGTAACGACGAAGGTGTTTTTTTGCTTGTTTTATTGTGCACCAATGCGCGTAATTTTCTTTGAGGAATCCGTGAATGATCGAAACGTCCGATCTCGCTTGGTAATAAAGTCGGTACCCTTCTTCTTTTCTTCTTCATTTTCAAAACAACGATTGCGTAAACAGGATCTGAATTTATACGACCGTTTAATTTTACCGAACGATCAAGGAAATGACGTAAAAGTTTGTTTTACGAACGTCCCCCGGTGGTCTGTGCCGTACGGTTAATGAGACTTTTTGAATTGGGAACAATGAAAGGAGCATTCGCGTTTAAAACGAATTCGTACGATTTAATGGTAATAAAAAGAAAAGAAGAATGTTCAATGTTATACAATCGTTCCTTCTTTTCCTTTTATTATCATTTATGTAGACCAACTTTCTTCTTATTTTGTACCTTCATCTTCTTTAATTAATTTTCATTTTCTTCACCTTTGTTATAATTAGCTGTTCTTTTTCTCCTTTAATGTATTTATTATTCTCAGCTTATTCTTAAGATTATGTTTAATTATTTATACAATCAGTTGTCTATAAAATTAAACATTTCCTCGGTATTTCCAAGTTTGTAAAATGCTCGTTCACGCGTCACGCACCGGTGCATCATCCTCGTCGCTTGAATCGCTTTACGAGCCGCGCTAACACGCGCATCGGTCAGCCCCCCATGAATTTATCCCGGTGAATTTATCGGCACGTGGACGCCCGAGAATTTATGGGAAACAGAGGTGAAACTGAATACGAGGATATTCGACGTTCTGTGCAAGCGTCGACGCAGTCAGATTTATTAAATATCCAATTTCACAGGGGACGAAGGATCAATGATGGTCACCAATTTTCTTCTCTTTCTTTTCATCTTCAATCACTTGTATATTGAAAACAAAAATGTGCATCACATTTCAAAATGGTAAAAGACTTTTCAATTTCTTCTCATAATCTTCATTGAAGAAAGAATAATGACATTAAAATTGTATGTTTTCTTCTCAGGGTAGATGTTCTCTAGTTATGTCCAAGAATTCTCCTCCATAGGAAAGAAAATATATTAAAAATAAAACTTCAGATTGCAAATGGTAAAAGATTCTTTATTTCTTCTCATAGTCTTCATTGAAGAAAGAATAATGACATTAAAATTGTATGTTTTCTTCTCAGGGTAGATGTTCTCCAGTTATGTCCAAGAATTCTCCTCCATAGGAAAGAAAATATATTAAAAATAAAACTTCAGATTGCAAATGGTAAAAGATTCTTTATTTCTTCTCATAGTCTTCATTGAAGAAAGAATAATGGCATTAAAATTGTATGTTTTCTTCTCAGGGTAGCTGTTCTCCAGTTATGCCCAAGAATTCTCCTCCATAGGAAAGAAAATATATTAAAAATAAAACTTCAGATTGCAAATGGTAAAACATTCTTTATTTCTTCTCATAGTCTTCATTGAAGAAAGAATAATGGCATTAAAATTGTATGTTTTCTTCTCAGGGTAGCTGTTCTCCAGTTATGTCCAAGAATTCTCCTCCATAGGAAAGAAAATATATTAAAAATAAAACTTCAGATTGCAAAATGGTAAAAGTTTCTTTATTTCTTCTCATAGTCTTCATTGAAGAAAGAATAATGACATTAAAATTGTATGTTTTCTTCTCAGGGTAGATGTTCTCCAGTTATGTCCAAGAATTCTCCTCCATAGGAAAGAAAATATATTAAAAATAAAACTTCAGATTGCAAATGATAAAAGATTCTTTATTTCTTCTTATAGTCTTCATTGAAGAAAGAATAATTACATCTTCAGGGTAGCTGCTGACCAGTTACATCCAAGGATCCTCTTCCACAGGAAGATAATTTTACAAAAATTCCATGTTTCAAGCTCAACACTATTGTAGAAGCAAAGCGGTCGATTACGGATCACGTAACCCGCTTAAGAACGATCTCTTAGCATAGCACTTTAAGATCGAGGAGGATGAAATGTCACGAATGTCTCGAACACAATGTGCACCGAAGAGAGGGAAGGACAACGGGGCAGAGTACGGCCGTGGAGATGGAAGAGAAGAATGCTGGCATCCATTGAGGAGAGCATCGAGCTCGATCCAGAAGCGAGGTGTTAATGTCACGCACTTCGAAATCAGATGGAATCTAATTCAACGAACCTTGATCTTTACTGCCCTCTTTTCTTCTTCTGTGAAACAACGTTTTCTTCTTTTTAATGAAGATTTTGGATGGGGTGGTAGAGATTCCTTAGTTCTATTAACAGTGTCAAGTATTAAAATTTTGATATTCTGGGATTTTAAAACCTTAGAATCTTAAGATTTTATAATTTTAGAATCTGAGAACCTTAGGAAGCCAAATTCACAGAATTTTAGGACCTTAGAATATTAGAAGTTCATCACTTTAAGATTCAGAATTTTAAGTCTTCAACTTCTACCGGTTACTGAAGCTTTGAAATCTCAAATTCTGAAATAAGTAGTTTTCTTAATTATAAACAATTTATCAAGCTGATCTCAAATTGCAGTTACACAATCATTCCATTACAGCAACCCTTGGTACTTAATGATATACTCTTCTTAAGGTTGTGTAATAAACGGAGACAGTGCGTGAGAATTAATTAGCTGACTTTCTATACAGGTCTGCACTTGGGTATAATGATGTTGTGAGGCTTAATTGATTTCAACCAAAATTCGTCAATTCTTTGATCACCTGAAGAGCATACAAAATGTGTACATTGTTGCTAATGAAGCGTTTAATTTCTTTTCTGTGGATGTAATTTATTTATGAACCAGGAAGTCATTTCAGAATCTCTACAATACAATGTATTAACTTTTTTAATCGATAAAAATTCTGTAGAAACTTCTTTAACAGGTAACTGAAATTGATTCTGAAAGGAAACGTCTTCAGGTTTGTTAATAGCAGCGTGTAAAACTTATTACTGTTCCAGGTGCTGAAGATGGGATCGCATTCCTCGCGCCACTTAATAACAATGAAAGAACGTGTAATCGTCCTATTCGGTAGACGTCTTCGTGTTTCTGCGGCTACCTCTTGCAGCCTGGAATTGTATGGTAATCAAGCGATTCAAAATAGCACCGCTCGTCGTCGCGTTGCTTCTTTTCAACGATAGAATCAATTTCAATAATGGCGAGCAATTGTAACGCATTATTATTCGATCACCTTTACCAGTACTAAAATTAGTTTCATTTTAATTCAACGCATATTAGTATTCTCTAAGTAAATGTTAAAATATTTCAATATTAGAAAATGAAAATTTATATTAGTTTGAAAACCGCGCCACCTAATTTGAAACAAAGATGGCGGCGTTTTCGTAATCCTTCGTGCTGCGTGAGACGTATCGTTTAAAAGGATCTATCATGGCGAACGCGAGGGCAGAAGACTGAAACTGAAATGGCATCATTTACAGGGTAACAATGAGATTATAACCGGTATACCGTGACGGATATACCACGTATGAAGTCGAATGAAAAATATCAAATCGTTCCCATCGCCAACGGACGAAGAAGGGCCGAACAAATACATCCGGTGAATTTCGTGGCTATCTGCTATTAATATTCAGTGGGATCACAGGGATTTCATCGATGATAAGTATATTGCAACACTTGATCGTTTTAAGAACAATACATTCACTGTCTTAACCCTTCATGGCTTTATTCTTCCAGAGAATTATTTTATAAATGAGTAGGTTAGGTAAGAATATTTGAAATGGAAAAAACTGGCGAGTTCAAGTGCGCATGCTCAGATCTAACCTAAGTCATTCGAAAGAGCGCACTGAATATTTGGCGCCAAATAAACTTATCTACTTTTTAAAATTAAATATCAGAATATTGAATTGATGACTTCTTTTCTTTTTCATATAAAGTTTATAAATGCCGCAGTTTAAAACTGTATTAATCTCTGAGAAATTTGCTTGGCATCAGAAGAGTAATTACTGTAAATACTATAGAGAAGTTAAAGTAAACAGAAAGAAAAGAAATAAAATATGGAATAGAGGTGCATCGAATGCCTCTAAATTATCCTATTTAAAGCACCTTTCACCGTGAAGAACGTGGACGGATAGGAAGATGATTTCTGCTACGCGCATTTTTCCCAGGAAAATTATACGCGTTCGATGGAACTTGGACAACGTTTAACGATGTTGGTACTATGAAACAAAATTACGAAAAGCGGTAATTTATTATTCGTCTCTGTTACGGCACTATCGGCCGTCCAATCGCGAACCATGTAATCGCAAGTGATAAAAAGATGGATAATGAGTGTTAATGTCATAGGTAAGGAACATGTGGTCAAGCAAAGGCCAATTTAAAGGGCAGACACGGGCCAGTTGTTCCAAAAGAAAATTATGGCGGCGCTTTAAACGTTGAACCCTGTAAAATAATTAACCTAGGTTTGATAATGATAAGCTACTAGATCTGGAGGTTGCTTCAATAGCGAATAGATTTGTTTTCAAATTTCTTAGGAAAAATGAACAGATTTAAATCGGATAAGGAGTTTCCACGTTTCCATTCTGAACGTTTACATATGTAAATTTGAATAACAATGATTTATGGCGGTAATCATATCAAGAATCGGGTTTAATGAGCTCAAACGTCAGAATGAGAAGTCTTAATGAGGTCTTGTTTGAGAAGATCTAATATCCAGAGATAATACTGTTGCGTATTATTCTAATGCAGTGTTTCTCAACCACCATAATTGTGAATCATTTTTTATTATCACAAAATACAATGTCGATGCAATTACATATATTTTTATTTTTAAATGTTACTATTTGCAAGTGGTGCATATCAATATTTCTATGTTTCTGCTGCTTTCTAGTAGTATATATCAATATTTTGGCCACCAGAATATGAAATACAAGATGGCTGCATTAATATTTATATTTGAGATGAGTAAATCATGATATTTGTAACTTTAAAATTCTAAAGCTTCAGAATTTTGTTAAAATTTCTATTTTTTCAATGACAACCAGTCAGCAGTCATCAATGATAACGATAAGGATATCAGATCGAGTATACACGTGTTTGGGAGACACTGTTTTAATGCTTTCCCGTTAAAGTACTCGTCAGCCAACTTTATCGTGTATGCGTCCCTTAAATTTACGACTCACGCGAAGCATAAACATCCTGCCATTATGCGAGGTTCGTTCAAGTATCACGTAGCTGGTATTCAAGGCATTGTATTCCCTTATCGAAATCTATCTAATATACTCTATCTAATTTCGCACGAACTTGACACTTTTTCTCGCAACGGAATATGTACATTTATCCATTCCATTCTGTACACAATTTGACTTAAAAAAAAAAGTTTGAAGTAAATAATATTTTTAAAAAAAGCGAAATCCATGAAAATTCTGAATTCTACGTGAAAAAATAAAACGAAAAGTCTTTTACCATTTTTCAATCAGACGCTTCGTTCGCGAGTTATCAGCGATTAAAAATTGGGGCGCTCCACTTCCGGGGCGCTCTGCATATGGCGGACGCGCCCCGGAAGTGGAGCGCCCCAATTTTTAATCGCTGATAACTCGCGAACGAAGCCTCTGATTGAAAAATGGTAAAAGACTTTTCGTTTTATTTTTTCACGTAGAATTCGGAATCATGGTAAACAATGTTTTCGAGACACAAGGTATATTCGTTATTTACTGAACCGACTCAACGAATTCTAAGATCCTTTATAAGATTTCTGTTTCGTGAACAAATTGGCTAAGACAACGGTGTTCTAACGATGCCACATCGAATGTGTGTGTGTGTAGGTATCTTCGCTGTGCAGAAATGGTCCCGCTGAAATCTGATTGCCTTTCGCGCGTTAAAATTGTTATCATGTGATCTCGCGTCAAAGAACACAATGCCGAACAACAATCGTTACGAAACGGGATTTCGATGGCTGTGAACCGTGACCTGTATCGTTTTTACCTTTCAACCCCTCCTTTGCTTTCTCTTTCGCTCGTCGTAAATACTGTTCTCAAGAACAAGCCAATTTTCAACCGAGTTTCTTTGGATCTATGTAAACATCTGTCTTGCATAAATGAATTCCAAATAGAAAGGACACTTTTGTTAAGGAATCTTGAAAGGGTGAAAATGAACTTTGTTAAAAATTCAATATCTAATATTTAAAGAAACAGTGTAAAATTTAGAAATTGAAAATGATCAAAACATCAGTCTCCCTCTGTAATATTATAAACCTAATTGAAGAAATGGAACTGATCAGTATCTTTCTTTCAGAATCTTCAAAGACATAAGGATCTATGTCTGGAGGAGCAGCACGGTTTGAAAAGGCCTGTCGAAGGAGCAGCAGTCCAGGTCAATGAAACATTAACTAACAAACGATTCTCGAAAGGACGTGGAATGTAAGTATATATATATACCTTATATGTGTACAGAGTAGCCGAGGCTAATTTGATCTTTGTACGATGGGAATAAAATTTACAGTGCACCACGAACGAACGAGATACGTGTATTACCCGGATCGTGTATTGGCGGCAAAGCAAGACCTCGGTCTGTCGAAGCACATGTTAGCTTTACTGTACCTGATTCGACCTCGCGCTCGCTTCGGTACTCTTATATGCAAATCGCTCTAGCACACTACTTACCGTCCCGGTGGAATGATGAGCGGCTGGCTAAGGTCATCAAAGAGGAAGGTTAGAGAACAGGATCGGACTTTTACCCCCGTCGATCCAAGTGTCAGGATTAATCTTCTTTAATGAATCGAACCGGCACACATTTCTGTTCGTGCAATTTCAACATGGAATTTTTTTTTTTCCCCTACTTGTTTAAGATATTGCTAGTTTGCTAAGGATGATATACCTATCATTGAGCAATAGATGAGAACTCTGAATGAGTATAATCATTAATTGATAAGGGCAGCAGAGATGAGTATAGTCGTTCAATCTTGACCTTCTACTGACAAGGGGAACTACCCAAGTGTTACACTCACTTATTAATGAAACTTTGCCAGCTTGTAGAGCTCGTCGAGCTGAACACGCCTATACCCCGTTTTGTGGGCAGACGACTAATTGTTTAAAAGATATTAATAATTAAAGTTAGTTACTACTTACATTGAGAAGTATGACAGACTTGCACATACAACTCGCAATTTAGAGATCCACGGTTCAAATCCTTGATTCCCAACATTTTTTTTTTTTTTTTTAATGATAATTTGTCTCTTTTTGAATAACTATTACATAAAAATTATCAGAAAAAAGAAAAAAATTTTTTTGTGAACCAAGGATTTGAACCGAGGACCTTCAAATTGCAAGCCACGGATCTGCTCCGTGGTTAACCACATGACTCGTAATATAAAGGTCCTCGGTTCAAATCCTGCGTTACCGTTTTTTTTTTTTTTTTCTATAATGATGATTTTTAGGTAATAGTTATTCAAAAAGAGACAAATTATCATTAAAAAAAAAATGTTGGAACCAAGGATTTGAACCGTGGATCTCTAGATTGCAAATTGTATATGTGAGTTTGTCATACTTCACAATGTAAGGAGTAACTAACTGTAATTGTTAATATCTTTTAAACAATTAGCCGTCTGCCCACAAAACGGGGTATAGGCGTGTTCAGCTCGACGAGCTCTACAAGCTGGCAAAGTTTCATTAATAAGTGAGTGTAACACTTGGGTAGTTCTCCTTGTGAATGCTAAAGGTGTCTATAATTAGTCCTGTTAACCATACCAAGGGTAAGTGGAGTCGACGATTGCTCAGCAATCATTGGGTGCTAAGGAGAACTATTATTACTCATTACTAAGCATTCAAAGTGGTTAAGGAGATTACAGTGCTGAGCATTGGGCCCTGAGGATGATTATAGTCACCACCAGTTTGTACTAAGGAGAATAGTCACCAGTTCCTGAACGTTCATTGACTGCTGAGGATAATTATTATTACTTAATATTCGTTGTGTAAAGCAGAACTGGGGTATAGTCATCTATTTCTAAATATTTATTAGGGATAACTGTAGTCAATTGGTTTACTTGTTTTTCCATTAATATAACTGATGGAGAACAGCAGTGCAGTTCCAGCCAATTAACCAGGCGAGCTTACAAAAACCCCAACGGACCGTATAACCATTTAATTATGCGAAATTGAGTCGAAGCGGCCGCTATTGGATTCTCACTGTATTTCAAACGGCGGAAGAGGAATGTCGTGTGTCGTTAGCAACGAGATTTACTGGCGTGATTAATTAAGGCTCACGCTAATTAATAATACCAGCGGCAACGTAACATGATTATTCAATAGCGATATTCATTTCAGATACGTATATAGTTATATCATTAATAACATAAAAAATTTAATGAAAAAGAAAGTTGCTGTAATAATAATTGTTTTGGATTATCCTGATCGCAGGGTCTAAAGAACAGGACACAGTGGAACGTTATGATATACCAATCGATGGCAAAGTTGCAAATAAAAATAGAGGATTATTGTAATAAAACAATGGCCATCCTAGAGTGTATCAGGACTCTCCCCCAATCTAACGAATCATGTGATTCGACATCAGCGATACTTAAAGGTAACTCCTTCCGTGACATTAAAAAGGCACTCCCAGGCTCTTGTTGCATCGGTCCCTTTTGCTTTGCAGTTTCACACGGTACGTCGGATGTAGAAACAGTGTACCGGCAACGCCGTTCCTTTTGTACACCTCTCCATGGGGATCGGGAACCGATCTTCCTGTCACCTCTGAATGAAAAAACCAATTTCTCTTTTTTCTGCTTTCATTTAGGTATTTATGGTACACGCCTGATATTGGCAATCCTCGATTATCTGATCCCTGAAATTCCTGTTGGAAGAAACTGGACCACCTATGGCTTACATAAATGTATAAGAACAATATTGGAGGAAGATATACGTTTTGGTAAAACCCAGAGGGTGGCAGAAGAGGCAGGAGATGAGAAATGAAAGATGTGTTATATAAACTGAAATTAATATTAAAATAATGCAAGGTAATCTATATTTAATATAAACTGTAATTTATATTTGGTAAATGCATTTCTTTATGTCATCTTGTTATGGGGTAATGGAAGTTAAGTTTTGTATGTATTTGTATCTTTAATTGTTTAAAATATGAATATTTATTTAAATTTCAATTAGGTTAGTTACACTGCCATCTAACAGTCAGGAGATGAACTAATGAAAGTAGAAAGGAAGCTATACCTTCATGTGATAACATCGCATCCTGCCTTATCGACGGTAGGTAAAGTTTTCTGTTTGAATTCCTACCACCTAAAGCGCTGTGATAGAATACTAATCTTGCAATAAATAGGATATGACTCAACAACGATAAGGGCTCTAGAGCAGGAAACGATAAACTTTTTTATAAAGAGCCACGTATCAAATATGTTTAGAGTTCACCTTTCTTTTCTATTAAATAACATTTCAATTATTCTCAATTGGGTATTTGCTGTATTAAGTTCAATTTAAACGCAATAAACAATACCCAAATACATTTTTCATAAGGGCAGCTTTTATTTTCAGTGTCTGATTAAAATATTGACTGACAATAAAAGCAGCTACAGTAGAGTCATCAATATTATTTATTGTTTTTATAATTTATGATTTATAACAGAGAACACTTACATTTATTCCTGCTAGAATTTTGAATGAAAAACTGACTGAATCCAATGTACAATGAACCGAAAGTTGGGGGCTGGGGGTACGTACCCCTATATTATCTGGTCGTCCGCCAGATGGATATTTCGTGTACCTTATTCTCGCTAGAGATTTCTTCATGCAGAACCCTTATAATAGCAGAAAAATAAGGCAAAGGCATCGCTTCTCGGCCCACAAGGCTAAGATCAAAGTGTAGTATCTGTTCTTATCAGCTTAATATCTGATATACTCCCCATAGGGGAGTCAGAATATTAAACTATTTTTTTTAAAGAGCAGGTCCCCGGAGCTCGCTCCGAGTCCTGCACGGGTCGTATCTGCATTGCAGCTCGCAGAACGCGGCCCACATAATACAATTCAAACAAAAATGCCTGTTTATTCTTCTTTCTATTTAAAATAATTTTATTTAATAAAATTCGCTTTTATATAAATTTATCATTAAAATTTTAGACTAACCCCCCACTTCTGTACGATGCGCTCCGTGCCGCAGCGCGGGAAACACTGAAGCGTTCAAACAAGTGGTACTTGTTAATATGGAAGGGAATATGATGCGCGCGCAGCGGTAATGGACGTTCAACGCAGTAAGGTTTTATAAAACAATTTAAAATATGGAAATTAAATAGAAAGAGTATTTAATTCATGTATTACAATAAAGCTTGTATAAATACGTATACAAATATATAAGTTCGACGATCGCTTAGCGGAAAGTAAAAGCGTACGTGTTTGATAATAAAACAAAAAAGTTACCATGTACAAAATTAACGTATACATATAATAGTTACGCATATTTATAAATACACGTAGAAAATCATTAAATTATCTTAATCAGTATATATATATCGTTAAATACCAGTGAGTGATTATACATAAATGTGCATGTGACTGAATGGTGTAAGTGTTATTTGAGTGGTAAAAAAGTAAAAAAAAAAAAAAAGAGCTGTATAAACGAGGGAGGTCCGTGACGGTTGTCGCCCAACATCAGGGAGATATGTCAGGTTTTGATGACGATGCGTGATGTAGCCGATTATTTCCGATAATTGTTACGGGGTGGTAAATATTGATTGCTTCCTGCATCAGCAGGAGCTCCATAGACGCCTCTACCTGCTGTAAAATATATATGTGTCATTAGTTATTCAGAAAGACTGGCATAAAAAATAGATTTTCAATTTTTATTATTGACAACAAATTTTTGGTATGCTAAATTAATCTTTATTTATTTTAAATTATTGTGACTGTATATTGTTGTACAATATTAATGTTATGCTTACCACCACCTTGATAGCCTCCTGCGCCTCCTGCGCCTCCTGCGCCTCCTTGGTACCCACCAGCCCCACCTGGATACCCACCAGCCCCACCTGGGTACCCACCACCTCCGGCTCCTCCTCGAGAAAATTGGGCCTGTCCTTCATACTGTACATCAGCGGTGTAACCATTCGCATCATCAGCCATGTATTTTACAATTTGTGTCCTCGAATCAGGTAACAGCACTCTGTATTCTCCTTGAACCACATTGCCATCACTGCTCTCCCTTTGAGAATAATCATTGCCACTTGGGGGATCATATACTTCATATTGGAAACTATAGGGTTGAGGCTGAAACATTGAAGTTTTTCAGTCAATTAATTAATATCAAATTAATGTAGTTTGCTAATGTAAAGAATGCTATATTTTTAGGAGCTGGAGTAGAAGAGCTGAAGAATCATCAAACTTACTCTTCCATTGTCGCCACCGTAACCACCGCCTGAACCACCTTGGTATCCACCACCGCCACCGCCACCTCCAAATTGTCCAGGAGCTCCATAAGCAGTGGAGGGGCGTCCACCGAATCCACCGTCACCCCCAGCTCCCGGTGCACCGTACAACGCGTTTGGCCTTCCTCTCAAACTTCCTCCAAAATCACCGCCTCTTCCACCGCTCAAGTCTCCGGGCAATCCTCCAGGGCCACCGAAACCACCTCCACCTGGTCTGTTGTATTGGTAACCACTTCCACCGGCGCTGCCACCCGGCAGCAATCCAGCAAGTGCATTGCTAGCGAGACACGATAGCACCAATAGCGCTTTCATTAACTGAAACATCATTGTTTAACAGAATAATTATCGATGTATCAATAGCTGGAACATTTATCAAAGGGAATTCAAGATTTATCAGATAAAGTGTTTAAATGGATCTGGCAAAACTTATTGTCTTCGTGATTTATGTTAAACATTGCGTTTAATAGCTGTTAAATCATTTTTCGTATTAATCTATCTTGATTTAAATTAGAATATCAGAGAATAGCTATTAATTGATTGTATCTGTGAAATGATATTAACAAATCTTCAGGTATTTTTTTGCAAGAAGATGAACCGATTGCCCGATTTCTTCATCTAACGTCATTAATATCATCAGCAAAAAAAGGGTCATGGGAAATGCTAATGTTGAATTTAATAGAAAGCTTCAACTGAGTCTTATAACGTGTCTTCGTCTTGGAAGATCTCTATTTTTTTTTATTTTATTATTATTAATTGCGCTAATTTTCCAAGATTCTAACTTCAAACTTCATTTTATTCTTCTTTCTATCAATTTTCCAAGATTCACTAAATTTTACAAATGATTTCAGGTAACTGAAGTATCACTGCAAGCTTTATAAAGGACCTGAATTAAACACTATCAATTATTATCTTTATGTACAAGAAGAAGAAGAAATGTTGAAAATCAAAGAAGAAAAGGAAGGTAGATATCAAACTGTTTCAATTTCCCTCAAATAGAGGATGGAATCTGTTGCAGACCATAACGCAACCACTATCGCTATTGCTCGCGTTAGTGGAACGTCTATTGGTAAGCATACTCCGGAGGATAGCCTACCTGATGGTAATTCATATTGCTGTTATGAGCGAAGACGCGAAGCGAACTGAGAAGATGATCCACGGACGAGTTTATATACCATCCGGACCCTTTGTTACAGTTTATCCTTAGCGCTGCATATCCATGTATTAACCGGTACGTATTAGAATGACCGTCTGTGGGTGTGGGAGGTGGAGAGGAGCGCATCTTCCCTTCACTCTCGGTGATGCATCATGGGAAGAGATATCCCGTTGATGATGACTGAAATAGCTTTAAATTTTAATTGGATCCACGCACGTGACTGGCTCGATAGATTGGGTTGTCCCAAGAAAAGAGAGAGCCACAAAGGAACAGGAGATGACTGGAGGACCATCTATTGATCCTTCTGCACAGCTTCAAGTATCTCTTCAATTTCGTTTTGATTTTGCTACATTTTATAAAGATTTCTAAATCATTGAAAATTAACCCAACCCCCTTAATTTACCCCTTTCTTCTTTCTGCTTCCCAGCATTTCTTCACACTTCTCAAATGAATCTGATTTCTTCTTTGCCTGAAATTTCAGGTACCTAAGGTGAATTTTCAAGACAGAAGCTTCAGTGAAGAAATAAAGAAGAGATGCTTTATGAATTATCATGTATTAAAGAACAATAGATTATTAATATTGAATCAGCAACTATATTAAGATATCAACGCATTGAATTTCAATCTCAACTGTTGCCTGAACGTCCTGAACGAATTACTAACTTGTAGTACGAATGAAAGGTAAATGAAGAAATACATGGGCTCGTCAGCGATCGAACGAGCAGGAAGACTCATTTTAGTGCGTACATAAAACATCCAACCTATACATTTATGCATACTTAAAACAAAGTCCTAGGCATTGAAGGTAATTGCAATCAGAGCTAGAAATGACTCAATACAATAACTGGTGTTCTTCTTTTTTCTCTCTTTCTCTCTCTGATTTCAGAAATCGTATGGAGGGTTCCTGGAAGCACCAAGGTTCATCCCATAAACGTTCACCGCTTAACAAGCTACCCTGTACTTTCACCTAAATGGAGTGTGACCCTGTTTTAATATTTAGCAATAGAAACTCTTGCTACTTTCTGAGGTCATGGTATCAAAGGCTTATGGAGATGAGAATTACTTTTAACACGTTGAATGCCATGGGGCTCACCGGTGGACCAGCACCGTAAATTACACATGCCTGAATAATTAAAAGAAATAGAAGAACATTATTTTAAATAATAAATAATATCAAATAGAATATATGAAATTTGAAATTTGAAAATTAACTATTCCTATTCTTTCAATGTGGCAGTCAACGTGTTAAAATAAGTAGTATAAGTATATTATTATATCATACTATATTTAATTTTTTTTTAATTCATTTAATATGTTAACAGGAAGACTATACAACGTTTAAAACTGTTGACAAGATAAAAAATACTCTTTCAAAGAAGCCACCATAGAATTATTCGTCCAGAAAATTGTCAACGACCAGTTAAGCGGATTTTCCAACAGAATTGCAAATGTAATTGCACTCTCACGACACGTAATGAATTCTTCTGTCGCACGTTAGTCCATCGTTATTGAAAATTCTTTTATCCAATGGATTAGCCTGTCCCCGTGCTTCCACGACTTCAGAAGTTACTTAATGTAGCATACAAACGATCGAATGCTTTCTTAATTGCGTTTCTTCTTCTTGAGCAAGGCGTTTCTCTCGCGTTGCTTCAGTTTAATGATTCAATTAAAGACATCGCTGGATATTTTACTCGTGTACAAGGTATGTTCGATCTTGTACGATCTGCCGCAAATGCGATCCTGTAATCTGTAACGCCATTAATCCAGCAGAGAATTTGCAATCGGTGGTAACATCTGCGATCGATCTCTCAGTGAACTTTAGCTTGTTCCAATGTAACAGATAGCAACTTATTCTGTTGTTTCAGTGGTTCGGTATTTAATTTGTAAATACTTCAGTTTCTGTTTCATTTGATCAGAGTATTAGTACTAATTTAAGTATTTTAGTACTATTAGTATTAATTTAAGTATTTTAGTACTATTAGTACTAATTTAAGTATTAGTACTATTAGTGCTAAGTATAGTACTAATTTAAGTATTTTAGTACTATGAGTACTAATTTAAGTATTAGTACTATGAGTACTAATTTAAGTATTAGTACTATGAGTACTAATTTAAGTATTAGTACTATTAGTGCTAAGTGTAGTACTAATTTAAGTATTTTAGTACCATTAGTACTAATTTAAGTATTTCAGTACTATTAGTACTAAGTATAGTACTAAGTATAGTACTAATTAAGTATTAGTACTATTTTATTTTAATTTATTTTATTTTATTTTATTGTATTTTATTTTATTTTATTTTATTTTAGTTTATTTTATTTTATTGTATTTTATTTTATTTTAATTTATTTTATTTTATTTTATTTTATTTTATTTTAATTTATTTTATTTTAATAGACAGGCCAAATCCCATTAGTGTACATAAATGAATTTTACAAAATTATACGAAATATTGAAGCAATCACGTTTGAATGTTTCTTCTGTTATCGAGAAGGTTGTTAGCTAAAATTGTTACTTGCTAATTGAAGAAGCAACTATTTTGCCGTTTCAATCAATTGTACAAAAGTATATAATCATTAAGCCGTGTAGTTGCAGAAGAAGAGAAACTAAATTTGTCACCGATCATTATATTTCAAGTTAATACCCTGACCCAAAGGTGGAAGCGTTCACGAACACGCTAGCTGGTGAAATTACGTGCCTCGGGTGAAAGATAATTACTGAAAAATTATTACAATTACAATTATTATAATTCATGGCTGTACGGGTAAGGAAGAGATAACCACATAGGTATTCTTCGTCAGAAGGAATCAATGAAAAAAATGACATGACACGTTGTAAAATGCCATGAGTTACGGAGAAAGAGTATAATGATGTTACAGATGGAAAGGTATCCCCCCATGATACGTGAAATGATCCATAAAAGAAATGATTCAGGTATAATGGATGTGTTAATTGATACAAATAATCGCTAGGTTAAGCAAACGAGCATTATATGACTACTGATGGTAGCAATTATTATAGCCACTGATATAACAGTGGCTATTAAAAAAAAAAAGAAGAAGGAAGAGATACTGTTCTATTTTCACTGAGGTAACAGTTCATTTAATAAAGAGTTTATTAACTAGCTTTCTGCTGCGTCTAGTTACGAAAATGAGTCGTATTTTTTTTTACTTCAAGGTGCCAAGATTAATTGCCAACCAGGTGGAACTGGCTCGAAGAGGTATCTGGAGTGTTTCTATTCAGAAAGTTGACTGATGTACATGGTACTGTTCGCCTGTTAGCTGGTCTAAAAGCATTAATTCATCTTTAGTCAACTTCTTTATGGTTTTATTCAAATATTTCTCCCATCGTTTGATGCTGTCTTTGAGTTTTAATATGCTCCTTGGGTCATGAATTATGAAGATGAAGGATTTCATTGAAGATAGAACAAGTGTATCATTCTTAAATTTATCTTTGAACAATTTACAAGCAACTTTTCTAACAAAGGGAAAACTTTTCAATGGGATTTTCTAATTATTTTTTATCTCTTCTTTACAGATCAAGGTTGAAAGAACTTACAAAAATGAAAATGAAGGATTTCATTGAAGATAGAACAAGTGTATCATTCTTAAATTTATCTTTGAACAATTTACAAGCAGTTTTTCTAACAAAGGGAAAGTTTTCAATGGGATTTTCTAATTATTTTTTATTTCTTCTTTACAGATCAAGGTTGAAAGAACTTATGCAAATGAAAATGGAGGATTTCATTGAAGATAGAACAAGTGTATCATTCTTAAATTTATTTTTGAACAATTTACAAGCAACTTTTCTAATTATTTTCTATTTCTTCTTTATAGATCATCATTGAACGAACTTACAAAATCAAGGTGTATGGCAAGTAATCGTACGAGCAAAATGACACGATCGTAGTCCAACTCTACCATTATATTCGTTTCGTAAAACGTACTAGAAGTAGAATTACCAGAAGTTACTTAAATCGCCAAACGTAGGCGATTCTTACAACACGCCGCATCATCGCCGCCGCATCTTGGGAATCACTTTCCCTGCAACCCCTTGTAAATCATTAATCTTTCCTTTCCCGGCAGGCTGACCGTTATTTCATCAAAATTTTAATCAGAGATACATCAGATTCTTCGAATCCTTCCACTTCTGGAATTGAAATTTTCTGAATAACTGAAGAAAAAATGTAAGCCTTTTTCTTCAGCTGAGAGGATTGAACTGTACCTCCTAAAAATCAGTGGAATTTCTTCTGAAGGCGACGAAGACCGAAACAAAATATGCGATCGATTGGTAATTAACGAGTTATGCAAAGAGGCAATTTATTATAATTGTTTGCCCATGGCGTATTTACAATCGCTAATTCGTTTCTTAATCCGATTTTGTAATCCTCTCCGTTGCGTTATTTTCGAGAGGATCCGATACTAGGTTAGGACGCTTAATTAATCCCGACATAATTAACGCTAATTACAACTGACACTATGTGTACAGGTTGAAGTTGTATTGGAGCTGATGGCACGTCGTAGAACGCCCAGGCAGATTCTCTCCTGGCTACAGAATCATGAGTGAACGTTTTTGATGCGCTGTGTACACCGTAATCGGGATAAACGGCGATTACGTAATCGTTGCGATGCGGAAGACCTGCGCTGTCTTCCACACACGTACCTACATGCTCGACGTTTCTTCTTCTTCTCTCCTGCTGGATACCTGGAGATGATCCTTTGATCGACAGCTCTGCTCCCTGATGTAATTTTTTGGAACAGGAGTAAGGGTTGTCTGAATTCTGAAGATTGACCTGGATTTGTGGTATGATTTTGAAAGATTTCAATTGTAAATGATGGATAAAGAGCATTGAAGCCTTGTATGTTAATACATTGGACAGTTTTAGGAATTCCAAGTGGTTCAAAATAATATATATGAGACAAGAGGATTCATAAGCATGGATGATTGAAAACTGAATTGATGCAATAAAATATCATTTACCACTATGATCATCTTGCAAAATAGCTGTTTAGATCAGTGAGGCTTGGCAGTTTCAATAAAGAAGTTAAAAATAAAAAAGCAGTCATAGGTTGAAATAGATCATTATTGTTCTATTCAGAGGAAAGAATATTTCTTCTTTAATAAGAAGTAAGCTCACTGTTCATGGGTAATATTAGGTGTACAAATTAATTCGGTACTTTTAATATTACACTTTCCTAGTTACTATTTTAAATTCGAATATTTTCCCGCGCTTTTGTGAATTTGAAAAATGGCGCGAGAATAAATTCAATAATTTTAATTACTATAACTCTTTGAAAATAAGCCATTAATTAAAAAAAGAAAAGGCACCGAATTAATTTAAAGATTCTAAAAAATTGACTGTCCTCATTAAGGAAGTTAAAAATAAAAAAAGGAGTCATAGATTGAAATAGATCATTATTGTTCTATTCAGAGGAAACAATATTTCTTCTTTAATAAGAAGTAAGTGATGAAATTAATTTAAAGATTCTACAAAATATTTTCTTGAAAGATTCTGAAGAGAAGAATGCATGATACTGAAGAATTCGAGATTCTCTGAGATGATGGATGCTTCACGATGATTTTTCACCACAAATTCAGAGCATTACCAACTTATTCTCGTCATTATCCGCGTTCCTCCGCAACGACTAACGTCTTTCGTGTCGAACCACCGTGCAAGATGCACGTATGTACGTTCAGTCGAACGCATTACCGATTACGCCATCATTCTACGAAACCTTTTTCGCAACTTTATCCCATCGGTGCTCACCCTCGCAATAAAGCACGTTTGAATTCTAAACTAAGCTATCGATACATTAAGGAACACGCTCTTAGTTGATTGCAATTTAAAAATAATATATGAAGGAGATGGTCTTAGAAGCATTAATGTAATGCATGTAATATAAATATTATTAGGTCATTAAGTTAATCGGTGAAAGATAAGACTTTATAGTCCAAGATAAGTTAACTAAATGAATGTTGAATCAAACCATGAAGTCCCAATGGTTATTTTAATCATTTCTTCATAATCTTAAATTTTCAATCAGCTAATGCTCTATTAAGAAGTAAGAAGCTTCACTGTACTCTATGAAATTCTAATTATAAATGAAAATTATTGTAGCGTTCCATTGAAATTTAAGTAAACCACTGTGTCTCTTACAGATCCTGCAGTCCTACAGGATCCAATTCTGTCATCAATCTACCACGTTCATCCTGGAATCAGGGATATACGTAACACGTCTCGCGGATCCTTCTCGACTGACCGTTCTCCATCAGTTTAAACGAAGTCAAGGAAATTATCTATAAATGGAGCGGCATCGCAGGGCTCGCAGAAAGCACTTTCAAAACTGTTGTAGCATCGATTAAACCGGCAACTCATCTTTCATGTCGGGTAATCTTAGACCACTAGGCAGACGCATCATATATTGATTACGTCAGGTTGTTTTCGTAAGGTACGACCGGGTACGCGTTTCAACAAAGAGACTTTTTCATCACCGATCCATTCACCTTCACCTTTGCTTTCGTTTAGGCATTCCCTGTTGACAGAAGGGACTAAAGGAATGGTATCTGTCCTTCCTACTTGCTCGTCCGTTCACCATGGTATATTCTATGACACAAGGTAGCTGTTCAACCATTGAAATTAGAAGAAGAAATTGAATAAAAAGGTGTATAGATTATCTACAAAGGAGGAAGTTAGCTTAATTGGTTAAGGTGTTTCTGTATTGCCTGCTCGAAGCAAGGATTACATATTTCTTCTTTTCTAAAATTTCAATCTTAACCATTAATAGTGATGGTGATTAAAAAGGAGGCCCTCGTTATGTGGACAGAACAGATTTCACGTTATATAAAATGATTAATTGATCACCCTTAAAACGAATCTGACAAACAGCACAGAAACTGCCATTACTTTTACCTAATTAGAATAGAAGCATTCACTGTTCATGGGTAATATTAAGTGTACAAATTAATTCGGTACCTTTGATATTACACTTACCCTAGTTACTATTTTAAATTCGAATATTTTCCCGCGCTTTAGTGAATTTGAAAAATGGCGGGAGACAAATTAATTTTCTTAGTTACTATTTTAAATTCGAATATTTTCCCGCACTTCTATGATTTTGAAAAATGGCGCGAGAATACGATATCGATAACAGTAAATTGAATAATTGTAATTACTATAACTTCTTGTAAATAAGCCATTAATTAAAAAAAGAAAAGGCACCAAATTAATTTGTACAGCTAATACTTTCTCTTCTCCTTTTCCAAAGTGAGGTAATTGAAACAGTATAATTGTGTAATACTTAAAGTCTCATAAACAATTTGAAATATTTCAAACAGGGTCCAATTATAATTCTGTTTTTCAGGAAATTCTTGAATACATAAACGAGATGGTGATCTGTCAAGTACACTTGACAATTTTTATGCCTGCTAAAGCTTCGTCTGGAACGTAATTCAGATGTTACAGTATCAGAGAAAGTGTCCCCTCGAGCTGGAAACTGGGCTTCCTGGTGGCATAACGTAACACAACATACTTGAAAACTAAGCCTCCATCACAAGCTGCGACATGTTTGAAATTTATTATTTATCTTCGCCAAGTACATAGAATTTTTCACGCCTAGATTCATCCTTCCCACTCGATGCATCAACCTGATACCCGCTCCATTAATGATCGATTTCACCAGCTATGGGAAAATTCATAATTATACAGCTTGTCACGATAAAGTACTGTTATTTATGTAATGAACGAACCTCTGGGATACACGCGGAGGCATTTCTGTTTCCTGCATTGATCCCATCTATTATTTCGAATTCAAGCAGAAACGAACCTTCTATTAATCTTTGTTACCAATAGTTAGGATTATATTGTGGAAAAAATCACAAGACACAGGTAAAAATTAAAGAATTGTTTTATTACAAAATAGCTAATCTTATAGGAGATTTCTTATTCTACGCTGATTAGAATTGTACTAAGGTCACTTAAAAGCTGGTCCGTATGTCGTCGATGGAACTCGCGTGTTATAGTTGTTACGATTGTTGTAATTGTTGTCCAAAGAATTAGAACCGAACTGGTATTGGTAATTGTTACCACTGTTGAAGTTACCACTGGGTGGCTGGTAGTTGTATCCTCCATTATTTCCTGAAACAATATACCGTACAATAGTTAATTATTTATTACTCCTAAGTAAGATTAGAAAGATTAAATTCCCTTCAATTACCTCCGTTGTACACAGCAGGAGCATTATTATTATTATTATTACCCTGGTAGCCAAAATTCTGACCTCCAGCCTGATTGTTATTATTGTAAGCATTATTGTTGTTGTAACCATTGTTCTGTGTGTTGTACTGATCAGGATAAGTTGCTGTGCCTTCATATCTCACATCTGCATGGAAACCTGTCCTCCAGTCAGCAGTGTAAGTCACTATTTGCGTCCTACCATCAGGCAGTTGGACTCTGTATTCTCCACGCACAGTTTCACCATCACTGGTCTCACGTCTGCCAAAATCATTACCTGTTGCCTGGTCCTTCACTGCGTAACCAAATTCATAGGACATTGGCTGAAACAATTTGTAAGTACGTACAATATTAATAACTCTGTAATTACATTGTATAACAATAGTTATTGTTTTAGGTACAGAAGAAGGATGCAGGAGAGTCTGAAATGGAGGGGTCATAATTACTTAAGGAAGAATGTTAAACGATCCAGGTGCTCTCCTGGCAGAGCTTATAAGAAGAAGAAATGAAGAGATGGCGTTATGCGATTGAACTTTCTTCCACAAAGAAGTGGAGCAGATGGAGGCTGTGATTTAATCTAGCTCGCGCTAGGTCAGTCGAGCCGCAGGCGAATGCACATAACCAGACCGTTTAGATTCTCTCAGAACGATTAGCTAATCGGCAATAACGATTCGCCGTGGATGATGCCTGCGGTCGCTGGTTCACCCTATTAATATTGTTGCGTAATTAACCGCGTTTACAACACAGACCGACGCGATGAATGTGTTACATTTCGATAATGGATCTGGGATTCCGGTGCCCACGCGGTTTCTGGATCTCAGATCCGTGTCACGGACAGGTTAGAGGTTGCTCAGTATTGTTAATTGCATATCAGGGTTAATAATAACACCTTGGTCTCATTGTTCTACCTATAAATGATTCTGGAAGTATATTTGTAAATAAATATTCCCAGATTAAAATAATCTCACCTACAATGTTGCAAAGTTAATGGTGAAGCTAGACTGAATCTTCACCTTCCCCTTGCTTAAATGAATTCATTTGTAAATAAATATTCCCAGATGAATTCATTTAAGCAAAAAGAAGATGAAGATTCAGTCTAGCTTCACCATTAACTTTGCAACATTGTAGGTGAGATTGTCTTTATCTGGGAATATTTATTTACAAATATACTTCCAGAATCATTTATAACAAAAACGGTGGGACCAAGGTGTTCTCCTTGGTTAAATTAATTCATTTGTAAATAAATATTCCCAAATGAATTCATTTAAGCAAAAAGAAGATGAAGATTCAGTCTAGCTTCACCATTAACTTTGCTACATTGTAGGTGAGATTGTCTTAATCTGGGAATATTTATTTACAAATATACTTTCAGAATCATTTATAACCAGAATGATGGGACCAAGGTGTTCTCCTTGGTTAAATGAATTTATTTAAGCAGAAAGAAGATGAAGATTCAGTCTAGCTTCACCATTAACTTTGCAACATTGTAGGTGAGATTGTCTTAATCTGGGAATATTTATTTACAAATATACTTCCAGAATCATTTATAACCAGAACGATAGGACCAAGGTATTCTCCTTGGTTAAATGAATTCATTTGTAAATAAATATTCTCAGATGAATTCATTTCACCATCAACTTTGCAACATTGTAAGCGAGCACGTTAATGTAATTTCATCGTAGTTGCAGCATCAAAGGAGTGGTTATTGTTACCTGTCGCAACCACCTTAGGGTAGTTATGAAGTACATAAATTTACTTAATAGCTGTATAAAACGCCCAGTTAATTCGTGGACTATTTTAAACGATCCTCTTCGTTTTTCCTTTCAGGTGTTCAACAGATTTCCATCTTCAACACCTTCGGTTATATAATAAATCTTCTAGAGAACAGCCGAGGTACTTTACTTTCAAAATATTTCAGACTTGTCAGTCTAAAAGTCATTGGGAGATGTAGAAAAAGAAAAGAAGAGATGGAATTAACAGGAAAGTGAAGAAAGGAAGTTCTAGATCGGCCATGCCTCGCTCGACAAAGTTCAATGTTACTTGTACAATCGGCGTTAACCCAGATCTATTCGTTTGCCTCAACCTTTGCCTCTGCTATGAAAGATCACGACGGAAATGCGAGTAGAATGAATCAATGGGCATGATCTTGAAACTGTCCAAAGATCAATTGAATTAATCAACATTCATAGGATACGTATTTTGTTAAATTAATTTTAAGGTTTCTCTGCTCATTTAAAGCTCGTTTCCAAAACAAATTTTCCAGAGTTATGATGCATCGTTAGGAGAGAACGCATCCGTAATTCAGTTTCTATTGCGACAGTGAATTGTTCGTGGCACTCAAACGGCAATTAAGTTTAAGCAATCGTGATCGTTAAACGCACAAAAGAAGCAGCCTCGAATGGCAGGTAATAAATAAATTATACTTAACACAGCTTCAGAATTTCATGGAGGGCTTTTGATAAATGATTTCAATTCCTTTTAGAAATACCAGCGATTTATTTCAGATCGTTTACCTGGTCGACGTAATCATTGTCACCTCCGTTGTCATAATGATGATTGCCAAAGTCATTTGTACCAGTTGAACCATGATTATTGTTGTCGTTGTTGTTATTGTTGTTGTTATTGCTGCCAGCATAATTTCCTGGGACACCATACTGAGTGTTCAATGGGGGATCACATTGCACGATTCCTATGGTCACCATTACAGCGAGCACTAACTGTAAATTAAAATTTCTTTGTACTGTTCAAGGTAATATGTTAAAAGTAATTAAATATGAAATTTAGAAAGTCTTTTGTGGAGCATTTATATTAGGATTTTGAAATTTATAAAATAATAATAATTAACAAAGTGAATTATTAATTATTTATTTATTAAAATTAATAAATTAATAAACTAAAGTGTTATGTAAATAAATCAGTGTTATAAGGATCTTCCTGTATCTTGTGATCAAACAATTAATCATCCAAGACTTTCTATTATTGGTACATGAAATTCTAAGTTGAAGAAAATCATTTTGTTGCAGTTCAATAATCCCACTGAGATTTATAAGAATTTAAAGGAAGAGGATCTTTGAAGCGGAGCCAGCTGATGTTCCCTTGCTGATGAGTGTAATGGTATCAGAATGAAACGGTAATTTAAGATCAGATGGATTCCCAAGCATGCGAGTGGAAGCGCGAGATGATCAAGCAGCTCTCGTTGCGTAGGCGAGAAATTAGAGCCGGTGTTTTCCTCCTGATTTCTGTCGTGAGAAAGCGTCGAGCGTTGCGTCATCGTCCACGTTCAAAATCAGGTGGGGAAAAAGGAAAGAAAGGATTAGACGGTTCCGGCTGACGGTAACCCAGTCCTCGTTAAGGAAACTCGTTAGCCACCTTTTGACGGGCAAATATATATATATATATCTTCATTTAATGTTCAGGCACCGGTGACAGAAGTCACGTTCACTTTTTCTGCAATTGTCTTATGTGGAATCGAGCACGAAACTTTCATTCATAAATAAACCATAGGATTTAATTTTTCTAATAATATACTGTGGTTATTCTCGTTTAAATGAAGAGTTAATTTTAGTATAATATACTAGGTGTACAAATTAATTCGGTACCTTTATTACACTTTCCTAGTTACTATTTTAAATTCGAATATTTTCCCGCGCTTTTGTGAATTTGAAAAATGGCGCGAGAATATGATATCAATAATAATAATTTAAATAATTGTAATTACTATAACTTCTTGAAAATAAGCCATTAATTAAAAAAAGAAAAGGCACCGAATTAGGTTGTACACCTAATATATTGCACTCTGCTCTAAATATCTTGATGTTAATTAAGATCCATTTTCAAGAATTATCTTTGAATTTTATTATTTTAACAAAAGCGATTCTACGTCCACCTCTACTGATGCACAGGTATGACCCAATGGCACAGTCAGGTGATTTTCACAATTACTTGAAAGAAAAATTGAAAATTCCTCTGAATGAGAGAAATGAATTAAATTCCTTTCCGGTTGATCAGTCAGGATACGAAAGATTTCTTCAATCATATTTTAACTCGTTTCTTCTTGTTTTTCAGCACAGAAGAATCTTTCCATTTTCAAGGAATCCGATGATTCAAGTAATCGTTAAGCAATTTCCTCTTGGAAGGATTTCGTTTAAAACTGTTGCAAGATTTGTACAACGTAAACGGTGAGAATCAGCTGCGGATGATCTGAATTATGTTATATAGCAGAGAATAATATAGAGTTTCGTTGTAGAAAGTGGAGATTTAGAGATGAAGTAAAAGCACATTTGAAATTAAGAAATCAAGATTGACAATAACGTATGCAAGGAAGGGTGCTATTGTTTATCTTATACCATGAGAGATTCTAGTCTCTAATTATGAGAGTTGATTGCTCGTAATTTATTCAGACCAGGAGTGAAGTTGTTAATACTAATTGTAAGAAAACTAACCCAGATTTATGGAGCACGTAAAACAAAATATTAAAAATTATGTTAACAGTCTTAACATTTCAGAATTTTTCATATTACTCTGTTAATATTTGGAAAAATTGAAATGAGAGATTTAAAAAAAGAAGTCACCATAAAAACGAAGAGATGCCCTGAAGATAACGTCAAGATTTTCGTAACAATTTACTCCGAAGCGTGCATGATGTCATTTAACGCGACGTTAGAATAGTTTCACGTAGCAACTTGCGAAATGTTTATGTTATTATTTATATTCTCGTGTAAAGCATACGTGCCTGGGCCGCATTAACGGAGATGATTACACAGGACCAAGTGTACTTACATAATGAAATGCAACAACCTACTGTGTATCTACAAAATGAGCTGTGCAATATCTAACTGCGCCTGGAAGTTGAAACGTGTGCACTTCATCTATTGAAGGATAGTGATTGTGCAGTTAATCTACCATTCCAGGAGAAACGTTAATAATTTTCTTCTATTTTACAGCTTCTGAAGCGGTTGTAAATTGACAACCAGTAAATTTATTTCTTCTTTACAATTTGTTAAATTAGATTAATTCGGTACCTTAAATATTACACTTTCTTAATTACTATTTTAAATTCGAATATTTTCCCGCGCTTTAGTGAATTTGAAAAATGGCGCGAGACAAATTAATTTTCTTAGTTACTATTTTAAATTCAAATATTTTCCCACGCTTTAGTGAATTTGAAAAATGGCGCGAGACAAATTAATTTTCTTAGTTACTATTTTAAATTCGAATATTTTCCCACGCTTTAGTGAATTTGAAAAATGGCGCGAGAATAAATTCAATAATTGTAGTTACTATAACTTCTTGAAAATAATCCATTAATTAAAAAATGAAAAGGCACCGAATTAATTTGTACACCTAATAAATAAAAATAATAATAACCGCAATGAATAATAGAATCTTTTTCATTTTCAGATGTTAAGAACATAGACAATGATGTGAAAGAAATCATTAGTGCTAAGGAATTTCAGATTTGAGCAAACAAGAAGCATTTTATAATTTACAATTTATAAGTGCAATCTCGTGTATCAGCTAATATTAGTTTCACATGCAATGTACCAATCTGAGGTTTGAATAACGACCCAGAAACATTATTGATTGATCTCGTCAATTCTTATTAATGGAGGTAAGTGTTAATACTTCAAACTGGATTTGAAACACTCCATCATCTTCTGTATCCTTAAAGATACAATTAGAGGATCTTCAAAAGAAAATTATCTGGGTAAATATTCGACCATGCTCCAAACTATGATGGCAACCAAAGGATACCTCTGCCTTTAACAATATGTACTCTTCCTTCAACAGGTCACCCGAAATCACTGCTCACAGATAAACAAATGAACCGAATCACGTGTCAGGAATCATGGTGAAGGATAATAGCGCCAGCACCGATGGTAGAGCTTTCAACGAACACTTATCAGACTCCTGATTACCTGTCGCACCACTCTATCCATACTCAAGAAGACTCAGAAACCGGAGCACCGTGTGTAAAGTTGAATTATGGTGACGTTTTGCTGCCTAGCTGGCTTATATAGAGAGCCCGTGTAACGCCTACAAAGATTCATTTCCTGTCGGCCACGGATCCAGCTGGAGGAGTGGATCCGTGTGGATCCATGTATAAAACTGGGGGGGTTACCCCTTATACTCTAGTTCACATAGGTACGCGAGACGTGTGGAAAGCCCGCGCTTTATTTCCCATTGTTCTGCCCGAGGCATGTGCGATTTTGGGGCGGCGCGTGTATGAGAGGAACGCCGAGCGTCTTCTAGAGCGGAGAAAGCTGATTACCTCATCGCGTGGGACAGCCTGCCGGCGAATCTGGCTGAAGACTCTTGCTGCTCGAACCTCTTAATTAGCCAATAAGGGGCTTAATTAACACCAAGGACCATTGTCCATCTCTTGATTCATTGGAGGATTTTGCAACCATCCTTTAGGTTTCCTCCGTCTCCCCTGACCTCTTGGGCTGCTCTTGGACAAGCTGGAAATTTAATTGTACAACTAACCTATGTTTGGTAAATTGAAGGCATTGCGCAGTCTGGAATGGAATACAGTACGTATTAGGATAAGTTCAAGTCAGGTCTAGGTTAAAGCGAACTTGATTTAATCTGTCTGAATTCCCTAGGCACTCTTGATTGTGTGATGATCAGAGACAAAGATATGATTATGATCTTAATGACTGAGAGATTAAAGCAAATGTACTTCCTTGGGATCTTTTAAATAATTTGGAAACAAATTTATGCTGATTTAGACACCTGGCATGATATACGTGTGTTTAATTGATGGCAATTCATTGAAATTTGTATCCATCCCGCTGGAGGGTGTACTACATCCTAAAACACAATCGTAGTTGCATAATAGGAATGAAAGATCCATTCGTTTCGTCGGCGTCAGACCGCAACGCATCAAGGATCTTCCATCTCAACACGAGTTTGTTGGCATGTAACGAGCAACGACGCGTGACAAGAAACGGCACGAGCTGAGCACAATGTGTAACGCAAATGAATGCTGAATCCGACGAGATTGGCACGCGGACCGATTTAGAAAGTACATTTGAACGGCGTTAAAATTGCTTTTCGACTTGGTCATTCTTCTTAACCACCGTTGTTATATTATTACGGATAATCTTGTTTCGCAATCGGTGCCATCTCAGAGTTGTTCAGCTTCATTCAGAAGATATATAATTTTAACATAATTGTAAGTTTAGATACTCGTATTATCTCTTCATCAATTTAACAAAGATTTAATGAATTACAATAAAATTGATAAGTTTCCCTCAATATTGCAGGAAACTGGGAAGCTCTGATCAATTAAACGATCAACCATTAAGATGACTGAGAACCGTTCTTGGTGTCCTAGGACTTGTACCTAGTTAGGAGGTGCAACGAGATGAATAATTGCTGATCTGGTTTAGGACAATGGCCACTATCAGAACGGTCGATCTAATCTCTTTGATCAATTAGTTAAAATGAAAACCTAATCAAGAGGGGCTTTATTGTTTATTTAGTGTGCGAATTCTCACTTTCGATTCCTTTCGTAACCTTTCCCTGATTGTTCACCGTTACGTGAACGGAAACCATTGCGTTACGATAAGCACATGGCTCCACCGTTGGACGTTTAACAATGATGCCGTCGGTTTTCGGTAGTTTGCTCCCTATTGTTCGGCCAAAAATTCATTTCGCAACGGGCCAACTTATCTTAACGTACAGTTTAAAAATACAGAAACAAACGAGACACGGATTTATGGTTCTAAGTAGATCATTTTGTATTTTTCTCAACATCTATTATAATAATCTTGATCTTAATTTATTTCCCCCAAGGGGTTACAATAGCTTTCCCCTTGAGGGTGTCGCATAATAATTAAATACTGAATTACTTTTTCAATATATTCCAGATGAAGCGTTGCTCGACGTTGGATTGGAAGAAGGTCGACCTACAAAGTGAAGAAGAAAATTGAAATCAGCATAAAATGTAAAGAAGAGAAAATCAAACAATGCTTCTAGATCTCGGTACAGTTTCTTCGTGATAATTGAAAGGATCTTCGCAATAACCTCTCTTTATAATCTCTCCCCTGCTCGCAGGCGTGCTAGCATGATAGACAAGGTCGTTACGTGTTCAAAGGATGCTCTAAATTCGTCCCAATTCTTATTGCGCAAGCATCCTACGGATGATTTTGTACTTGTCTGCTTTGATGTATTTAGATTTGTTGTGAAATTTCATGGGAATAATGAATCGAGCCAGGGAAGATCAGGCGTCTAATAAAAAACTTCATTATTTCATCATCTTTGGCAGACTCTTCGATCAGCCATCAGTATCGAAGGTGAATCAAGGATATGGTTTTTAACGTGAGATTAATGAAACATCATTTTGGATCATTATTGTGGATGATTAAACTGAATTGGATCTCTGGGAACTGATGCTAGAAAAAACACCTCATTCAAATACAGATTGAATGGTTTAACGTTTGAACTGATGGATTTTAGAAATAAGCAGGGGTAATTATTTAAAAAATCACTGTTCTACTTTCAGATCATAGTTACGTAAAGGGAGATCGAATCGTATTGAAGAAATTTTCAGAAAGAAATCTTCAAAGGAAAGAAGAGATATATTAATTTTTATATTAATTGTAGAAGAGATGGATTTCACAAGCAAGCAGAGTAGTATTTAAATAATATTTAATGCATGAATTCTTTCATAATATTCAGGAAGTTTACGCGCGAGATTGCTCTGCCTCTTTTCTTCGAGGAATTGTCAATAATGGACGTTACGAAAGTAGGCTGCGCGAATAATGAAGGACAGCCAGTGCGAAAAGAAACAATATAATGTCAATATCAAGTCCGCTGTAACCTGTGATTAATCTTTTAATTTGTAGTATTAGGTGTACAAATTAATTCGGTACTTTTATTATTATACTTTCCTAGTTACTATTTTAAATTCGAATATTTTTCCGCGCTTTTGTGAATTTGAAAAATGGCGCGAGAATATGATATAACCCCTTGAAAATAAGCCATTAATTAAAAAAAGAAAAGGCACCGAATTAATTTATAACTAATAACTTACATTGTTGTGCATTGACATACAGTTTTATGCTTGGCATTATTTTTCATTTAAATGAACTATAATAATAACAATAAATATTATTATATTTCTGAATTATAGTTAGATTTTTTTTTAGACTGATTGAAGAAATAATTGCTATACGTTTATTAATGCAATGAAAGCATGTGTTTGGTTGAAGTACATGCAATTTAAACTCGACACCATAATTGTTTCCTAGTCGATAGAGTAACAGCAATTGAACTGAATATATTAGCATCTTATTGACCGATTGGGTATAAGGCCGATTGTTTCTCCTATTATGCTCCCTCAACTATTGTTTACCAGGGTGCGTCCAAACAAATATTATGTAACTTGAAATACTTTTATTTTTGTACTTAGTATGATACATTTCTCTCTTTTTTTTTTTTTTTTTTTTTTTTTACAAAAAGATGACTACAAAAAATCATTGTACAATTTTTATTTTTTAGCAAAAAGCTAGCATCAAAGTGTATATTTAATTAGCTATTATTGTTTCAGCTGGCGATCTCTTTTGAATTTACTAATCGGCCGAGTGTCCTTCGCTGTCTTCGAAGCATCGGTTGTAGGTGCTGCTGTATCCCTCTCCTTAATATCTTTTACCACCTGAAGGTAACAAAATTATTTCCATTAGTAGAATGTACAGTGAAGCATAGGAAGAATACATGTAACATAGTATTCTTACGGTTTCGTATGCTGAAGGTTTATTTGATTCTTCCTCTTCTTCTTCATCCTCTTCTGTACTATAATCAGGAGGAGCAGCTTGTACAGGAATAACATCGTTTGGTGATCTTTTTAAAATGGACTTAGGCTTGGCAAATATCTTATAAATATCTGCTGGCGATTCTATCGAATCTCCATCCGATTTTATAACTGGGTTACTTGATGAATGACTAAATTCTATGTGAAGAATATCTTCTTCTGAACCTTCTACATCTTCACTCTTTGTATCTTCTGCTTTTTCTAATTTTTCATTCTTTTTTATACTACTATCTGTTTCTGCAAATGAAACTGACTTTACTGTTCCACTTTTAACATTTTGCTTACTCTCCTTCACAGATTGTAAGATATGTTCATCTTTCTCTCTGGAACTATCCTGTTCACTTTCTGAGGAATTTTCTGTTTCATATTCATATTCCCCTTCTCCTAATTCTTCTCCAAAAAGTTCATACCCTTCCTCTTCTAATCTATAAATCAAAATATTTTTTATTTGAAAAATTAGAAAAAAAATGAAGCTAATGTTGGAAGTATACCGATCGAGTTCATCTGCTAACTCTTCTTCAATTTCAAGCTGATCAAGTCTGTTAAAGAGATCTTCTTCTGTTTCAATCTTTTTTCTTTCTTCTTGCCGAACTTTGCTTAATTTCTGATGATACTCCTTCTCTTTTTCTCTATGTTTTTCTATAAATAAAATTAGGGATTGTTTAACTATTTGTGCATGTCTGAAAAAGACAATCATAGAATATAAATAACTACTTCTCCATTCATCAATTTGTTCTTCATTCCAATGCTCAACAATTTCTGTACCAGCACAATCTTCAAAGAGATCACCTTCCAATACCATCATCCTAGTTTCATATAAATCTCTTTCTGTGCTTAGATTTTTTAGCATTTCCTCTGCTTCTAATGTAAAAAATTTATTATTTTATAGTTACTATTAATTAAATTCAATATTACTTTATAATCCATTAGTTATACTTTGTATTCTTCTTTGACAGAGAGCTGCTGCTCCTGTAGCACTATATTTTGCAAAGTATCCATCACCCAAGAAAGTAAGGACTTCATTAGTGTGAATTAATCTTCCTTTCATTAATGCTCTTTTACCAATTGGTACCATACAATTGACATGTAAATCTTTTTGAAAAGTTTGCAATGTTTCTGCAACTTTTTCGTGACCCTTTTTATAAGATCTCCATACTTTGCACTGTTCTTCATTTCTTTGAATGCCCTTGAACAAATAATATCCAGTGTTAAGAAAAGAATATTTATATTATATAAAAAAGTTTAATAACTGTTTACAATACTTTATTCTTAACTCTGGACTGATTACAAAATTTGTCATTGTTTTTATTCAACAATCTACCTTTAAAAGAGCATCATCCAACAAAGCCTGTTGAAATTTTCGTACATCAGTTTCATAATTCATTGTTAACATAAAACGATTAATCAAATAACAGTTTACAAAAGGATAAAAGTACAATTCAAGTCATTTGTTATATTTATTTTCTTCTTATACTTCAAAACATAGTGAACATCTTTTATATGAACGTTCTTTTAAGACAATTAATATTTGACATAAAAATATTCGTCAGATTGTATAAACTAGTTCATAAAATTATATCATTATTTTAATTGTGACTGTCGTATTAATTTTTCTAATTGTTATTTCAAAATTTGTATTCGCTTAAATCTAACCTCAAAAATGACATTCAAATTTAGAGGTTATCTGGAAAGATGGCGTTAGAGGAGGATGATCTGATGATACTTTATTCATTGACCATATAATAAATATATGTTATTTATTTAACAATTTGTAAATTTATAATAAATTGACTATTTTTCTGGTAAAAAAGCCTAAAATTTGTTATTTATTAGAAATACAATTATTATCATTCGAACTTCATTTCTTCTTTTAATTGTTAGATGGCGCTGATTCAATGAAGATTGTGAGGAAGATTCTTGTCTATACTTTTCATTAATCCGTGATTTTCTTTCTTATTTCTTTTTCCGTGGAAGAGGATAAACGCCAAGATGGTTAGTGAACGAATAAAAATCTATTTTTATTTAAAACATCCTTATTAATCGTTTTGCGGAAGTATAATTATTACGTTTTTAATAAAAATATGAATTAAGATATGTCTAAATTTTTGTCAGCCTGATGAACCTTAAAAAGACAATCATACACATAACCTCTCTTTTTGTACATGTTAACAAGATGTTTAACCTCATCTTTCAACCTAAACATTATTTATTTTCGTTAATATTTTCCTGTATTAATCCTGAATCATATCATTTACATTTTTTAAATGTTCAATAATTAAATTAGAATTACCTCAACTTAAAAATTTGTATCACAAAGTAGTTGTTAAAAGTGACAAAATCCTAAGTGGTTATACGACATGGTCCAGAATGATAAAAGTGATTTATTTTTAGGGCAAGATTAAATGTACTGAACTGAGGACAAAAGACAAGAAGGAGCTGATAAAGCAGCTTGAGGAGCTCAAAACAGAGCTGACAAATCTTCGTGTTGCTAAAGTGACTGGTGGTGCTGCCTCTAAGTTATCAAAGATGTATGTATAAATTTGGGATATCGCAAGCAATCTATTAAATGAAATGTATTGTATAAAATGAAGAACTTGGATTTAATTTGTTTCATTTTCACGAATCTAAAAATTCTGTATATCTTTCAGCCGTGTAGTGAGAAAGGCGATAGCTAGAGTATACATTATTATGCATCAAAAGCAGAAAGAAAATCTGCGTTTGTTGTATAAAAACAAAAAGTACAAGCCTCTGGATTTGAGGCCAAAGAAGACAAGGGCAATCAGGAGAGCGTTGACGCCTTATCAAGCCAACAGAAAGACCCTTAAAGAAGTACGCAAACGATCTGCCTTTCCACCAAGGAAATATGCTATAAAGGTGTAAGCTGCAAGGTACTGATAAGGGATAAAATAAATGTTTTTTAAAAATTCGACGCTGTGTTACTCTTTAAAAGGACAATGATATAAATTTCGAAAGTATTGGCAAATGCTTTTTATTTTGTATAGAAAAGGTGTACAAAAGTTTAAAATTAGAGACAGTTTCTACTTGATGTAAAATCTAACGTAATTCTTGATCATTTAATATCCGATACTGTTTGGATATTATGGCAGATCTATCAGTATCTAAAAATATAAAAGGCGCTTTATAAATTAAAATTAGACTTTTAGATACAAACGATGAAAGTTAATTTAGAATCAAATTACAATTAAATCAATTAACTTTTCTCTTAAACAATCTCAGATATTAAATATTCAAGAATCGCAGAAAACTGGTGAGTAAAGTTTAAAGGCGTATGCCAGGGTTTCTAGAGAGGACGAAGTTCAGAAGTTCATCACTGTCTTCGCACACAAACGGTTTCCGGTGATGACAAGCCACGTCGTGCCATTTGATACCATCATTGTAGAAGTTGTTTAGGATAGATAGACAAGACTCGTCGTTGCCCTGGAACACAAACATTTTATCATACATTAAATACAAGAAACTCAGAGAAATAAATTTTTAAAATGAAAATTAATTTACCTGAGCAGCTTCGCGATTGTCAGGTTGCGGTTGACCGTATCCACCAGTGTTACTCCAGTCACCGGAGTTGCGCTGTGTAGTGGGGCCGATTTTAGCCCCAGAACCTGACCAGAACCATCCATTTATATTCTGGGGCTGAAGATCCGGTCGGTCGCAGCCATTGAAGTTGCATTTGCGTCCCGATGTCCAAATGAATCTCACATTTCCTATGTAAACGTAACAAAGTGAGGTACATTCCTTGATATAAAAATGTAATTAGATCTTGTTTTGTAGCCAACCTCGAGCGAGTCTCTGTTTGATAAACTCATTTTCTTGCGGCGTTTCAAGAGAGACTGCATCCATACAGTGTCTGCGACAAATGTTACGAGCATCGAGCCAGTCTACCTCAAGACTTCTAGTAGGCTGATGCTCCCAACTGAAGAAGTATGAATGTGCAACACCTCTAGCATCCCTGTAGGTAGCATGTCGTACTCCTGAAACAATTTGATTTCATTTTTTATTTTATTTTTTTTCATCCTCAAAGAACATTTAATCACAACTATATTTTTATAAACCAGTTCGCTTACTATTTGCACAACTGCGTGGATCAGGAAGAGCGAGTCGACGTTGAGCGTGTACAGCGACACCGACAAAAAGTAACATCAACCATATCGTCCTCATATTTATAGTTCTTTAAAAAAGAAAGACAAGTTGAGTTTTATTTAAATAGTTCTAAGGTTGAACAAATAATTTGATAATTATTTCTTAATCTCCTTTGAGAGAAAACAGGCGCTCGCAAATGTTTCAGGAAAACGTTATTTTCCATTCTAAATGTATGCCCTAGTAAAAGTGTCTTGGGAACGAATCTTTGTCCAGGGTGAAAGGAGAGTTTTCAACGGTGAATTATCATTTGAGAAAGAGAGATGCTGCCACCGATGATGGTTCTCTCGCGTCGACGACAAGGAAAGGTGCGAGGGGATTTTGCAACAGGTCGTCGTGGTTTTTTTTCGTCCCGCTAACTTTCCTTGGAGGCTCCATAGGCTTGCAACTTTCTAAATCAGCTCCACGATACCGGTGGATGATACTCACAATTAAGGAGCAAAGTGCGCCTCTGAATAGTAATCACAATTACACTACAACATTCTATAATGCAAGAAAGTAAGGAAAATGATAGTAGAACACAAAGTGTTATATTGTAGAGAACAATTTCAAGGAAATTATGAATGTGTCATTGCAAAAGAGTTATGACATTTCAAGATATGAAAAAATATTAGAAGCAACGATTTTTAGTTTCCTGTACTGCATGAAAAACTTGACAAGGTAATGAAAAGGAAGCTGTTTATTTTTTCATCTTCTACAACATTGTCGACATTAAATTAACCCTTTTGTGTCTGATTCCTGTACAGAATGACAATGAATTTGTATTTAAAATTCCACTCTGCTATAGAGTTAATTAAGTCCCACTTTTAATGGCGCTGCTTTCGCTAAAAATCAGTGTCAGCGGTCGTTCACCTGGATTGAAGAAATGCTAGTACCATCGCGGAAGAGGTGAATCAATTATCAAACAAACGATTTAAAAAAAATCTCGTTTACCAAACAACTTAAACACCCCGAGCAAAGTTCAGTACACCATCCTGTGTAATTTGCCTAGTATTCTTGCGGTTGAAGCAATACGTCCATTAATTAAATTATAGTAAGGTTGTTTTTCAATTATCGGTTGACGCAACCGCGAACTGCGAGTCTCGATGGAAGAAGAATTTCTTCCGCTTCTAGTATCCACAGATTTAATTAACCGAAATGATGCTTATGGTATTTTATTGATTGTAATTCAAGATACAACATTTTGTCTACTTTTTACTAGGGAATTCAAAGGAAGAGAGGATGTTCATAGAATTCCTTATATGGACAGTCGTCGACCGGATGAGACTTTCGACACAATATTGTTTTATGAATTTCGTAACAGTTATTATCTAATTATGAAGTGTTAAGAAATTGGAAGTTCTCAATGACACTTTTCCAAGCCTATCTATGATCAAATTTTTTATTGTCACTGAGCCTGAGACTTTTATTTCATAATAAAATGTATAGAAGAGTTTCCTATTTATATTATGAAATTCAGAAATAGTTTCATAATTTCAAATTTGAATTTCGCGGAAAATGCAACGTCATCAAATTTTCTAGCGCCATCTTGAATTTCACTCTAGTATTATTTATCATCAGAAGGTAATAATAAGTTAAATTTTTTTCTAATTTCGTAGTTTAAAAAATATACGCAATATCAATCTTTATTGTACAGAGTTTCAGGATGTTACAGTAAGTTTAAATTTTATAAATGAAAGAGTTCCATTTTTTTAATATCGCTACTCAATCGTTTGTCCTTATTTGTAGGGTTAAAAGTGTATTGGCAAAAGAATAAGAAAAAGGGGAGAGATCGGTGGCTTTATTTCGTATCCGTGTATGTGCTCGTGAAACCGTTATCTGGCCGGCTTTATATCGTCCGGTTAAGCACTTGGCTGTCGCTTCTTCGTCTTTCTTAACGGCTCCCCGTCCGTAAGCCCGCCGCGCATGCGTATTCGGGACGAGTACGACGATACAAAAAGGAGGCAGGTGTGTGCCGATGCGTTCAATGAAATAAAAAAAAATCGCTACCGGTTCAATTTCGACTTTTACTCGTTTCAGATTGATCAAGGATCATTACCTCATCCGTATTCTATCTTTATCGACACCTCATACGCGCATTCTGGACAGGGTCGGCCCTGAGATTTCGGAGTTCCGGGCTTCACGTAAAAAAAGTACCTCAAATAAAATTTATAAAATTAACATTAAAGCTTGTATAACTAATTTACATTAATATTGAAGTAAACACTACTCTTGCATTCTTAGACGCAAAATCGTCTTATGGGGACCCTGGACCTTGGGGATCCTAGGCGGCCGCCTAGTCTGACTGGGCCCAGGACCGGCTCTACTTCTGGAGGCACCTCTATTATACCCAAACGCTTCAACAATTTTTAGCGATGATAACACTGAATTAAAATGCAAGATATAAGGTCAGTACGAATGTTGGTGAATGGCTCGTTTTCCTATGCAAATTTGTTTGTAACGACATGTGGGTCATGGCACCTGTTGCCTCGCCAAAATTAGATACATTTCTTTTTTTTCGAATGTTAACAAGTTCAGCTAACAGTAGCGACAAGAATTCTGTACGATCTAAGGATAAAGCGTAGCCGGGTACTTTTAAGATTTCAAATTCAGGAAACAATTTGATTCTCTAACAGGAATTAGACGTCCGCTTTAGGAAACGCGTAATCTTTAATTCAATACTTTTACTTGAATACCGTGACACGCTTAACGAGGAGGAGAGTTTCTCTCTATTGCTTTACCAAGCAGTTTTCAAATGATGAACGGAGGGGAAAAAGCGGGTTTGCTTTTTTTTTTCTTTCCCCCCTTTTCGCGGAGGAGATCGTTAACTGGAGATGCAATGAATTCTCGGCCGAAGTAATGCTTCACGTGTGTTACAAGCTGCATCGTTGCGTACACGTGTGCCGATATTACGCAAGGAAAGTACCTTCGCGAAGATAAACCCCGTCGCCTCTCGCGAATCGAAGAGAAAGTGAGCCGTCGTCAAAACAATCGTGTTTACCTAAAAAACTAGAATAAAGAAAATTGGCGATTTTTCTATACTATTATTATTATTTAAAATTATTTTTTTCAAAAATATCAGAATTAGTGTAATTAACATTCGTCGACTATGAACAGAGATAATTCTCATGGTGTGAATTCGATGAAAGTTAATTGGGCACGAGCTGTTAATTAAAGGTAAATGAGAGAACTTAGCTAATTAAGGGACCGACAGTTACACGTTCTTTTGTTTTCCTTAAACAAAGGCTCTTTGACTAACACCGGGGTAATTTGAATGAACAATAGCGCACGAAATTTCAGTCAAAATTTTCTCAATAGTATTACAAATATTGTGTATAAAAATTTCTAAAAGAAAATTATTTTATTGACTGAAATGTTATTTTGATGAAGATCAACTGAAATTCTTTTGTCAGAGACGCCATTGACGAGTACTAAAGTAACGCGCCAAAACGGCTGCAGGAAAAGGATCGATAAAGAGAAAGCTCTGTAGCCCCTGTGCGGGTCATGCGACACGATCGTTCGTTCATCGGGTCGTCGCTTTCGATTTCTCCAGGTGCACTTACCTAGAGAAGCTTCCTTCTGGATTGTCGAATGCTCCTAAATCGTCGGGGAATTTTCCGTTTAATCGATCGATAGATCGATTGGTAACGAGACACGAAAAACGGTTTTTCGTTGCCTTCTGATAGATCCAATGTTAAACTGTTAGCTCGTCCACGAGTTGTCGATCGCGACGAGAAAGAAGAATGAACTGTGGTGTACGAGCAGGCAACCGGTATATAGCCGGCCCACATTCCCTTCTGGCTCGAGTAACCCAGATTCTTCCCACCCAAGTGTCTGGGGAACATCTTCGGGGGCCTGAAAGGGGCCCTGGATAATTCCCATCTTGCCCCGGCACCTCTCACTGGTCACCTTCCCTCACCCGTTACCTTCGAGCTTCCCCGAAGTAATCATCTTTCGGTGCTAGAATTCGTTTTTCTCGTGTTGGACATCCATGATTGTAATTGATTCTTCTAAAGGAATTGTTCTTCCTCTACACCGTTCTTCCTTGGTTCTCGTTAGAGCAATTGATTTATGGTATCGGTTAATTGTTTAGTTTGAGAAAGAATAAAATCCAATGATGATATATAAATTATAATTTATTGATACAAAAATGTATGGCATTATGCCACCATCAGCATTGATAAAATCAAATTTTATATTAATTTATAATTAATTACTACAGTGTTCTGAAACATTTAATTGGTGTTTAACGTCGAGCCTCTGTGTTTATAAATAATTCATTCTTTAAAAAGTACTTTACGTATTAGAACATAGTCTAAATCAATTAAATTATTTAATGAATTATACAAAAATAACTCGTACACTACAGTATAACCCATGCACCATAAAAATCTAGTCTTTCATTCTTCTTCTTGGATACATTTTTCTACTAGTTCTCTTAAATTAGGATTCTCCATGGCAGCTGCAATTCTCTCTTTGTCATTTATTTGTTTATTTACTGAAATGTAGAATATTTGTAATTAGTTATAGTAATTGATTCGTGCTATGTAACTAATTATACTTACTTTCTTGTTCTGTTGAGTGTGCACCTTGCTTAATGTATATGTCTAATTTAAATAGAGCTACCAAATGACGCTCTAGCTTTACCCTAATGCAAAGACCGATCAATGTTGCTAAAGAACAATGTGGTACAGTCGGATTAAATTCAATCCGTATCACAGATATTCCTTTTGGGGTATGCCTTGAAATTTCAACACAGTCTTCATAGACGACATCCAGTTGTTCTAATGTTTGTGGTTTCTCGGGGTCCTTGATTGTTCTTAATAGATCTATGTTAATTTTAACCTATGTAAGCTTTGATAAAAATAATTTAGAAATGAACTGTTTTGGTAAAAGTATTTGTTAATTGATGTATGATTTTCATTTCATTTGTCAATTGATAAAATGCATTGTCATTAACTATTTATCAAATAACAAACTCAATAAGAAGGGCTCATACGTTTTTGGTTAATCAAATCTATCAATTAAAGGTGCTAATTAAGTAATTTCTGATCATTTTGCAGCATTAACTTGCCATAAACAGATTCCTTAAGCTCCGTGTCGGATTGCGAGACAAGAGTTTGCTCTCTCGCATCTGGGCAGCCTTCTGTAACCTCCATTTCGTCGCCTGTTGGCAAACCATCCTTTATCTTCCCCCCGATTGATATTTTTCGAAAAAATGACAACATGCTTGCCCCGTTCCCCCCTGGCCACTTGATATGATCAATGATACATCATTAAGAATTGTTTATGTTATGGCTGACAAGTGCAATCATCCTAACCTCTATCAGTGCAATGTCGAGCAACGTATGGTAATTGCGCCATCATGGCGCGAAAATGAAACGTTCATTAATCTTTCTAGTTGAATTAATTTTATGAAGTACTGAATTCAAAAGACAGACTTTATTATTCATTCGTTTATTATAATCACTATTAAATATTGAATAAGTACTTCGTGAGTTAAAAACAATGCTTTTTGAAAAGCAAAATAATTAAAGTTTTAATTTATCAAAAGTAGTGGCAAATTTGAAAAATTTAAAAATGATATCGTTTATTGTATAAATCGATACTGATTTATGCGCTACCTATCGACACTTCAAATAACTAGAATTAGTGATCGTTTCTCGTTCAATTGTTTTAAATGATAATTTTTGATTGCAAATCATGGATGAAGTATTATTTGTACTGAATACGTAATGACGCCGGTAAATTTGAATTTTAAATATGCAAATAACATTTTTGATTGAAGAGAAAGGTAAAGGTAATTTATTATATATTTTATGACTGCTATCAAAATAATTTGTTCGTTTTATAATTAACACCTAGTGTAGGTTATAACTATAAATATACAAGAAAGGAAAGAATTCGATGTTTAAATCCATATTAATTTATTTACTTTCACTTGTATAAGGATATACAAAATTAGCGTTAATTTATACATGCATAATTATGACATTTATTTATTACAAGTGTTTTTATATACTAAACTGCTCATAAATTATCAAAAAATTCCAATAAATTCTATTTTAATAACTTTCTGGTAGATTTGCACAAAAAAGAGATTTCGCTTTCTCATTAACGCTCAATTCATGCGTTTCATTCACTTCCGTTTCTATTAATAATACAAGAGGCTATCATATATTATACATCATGAGTCTTACTTTTTATACGGAATATATTGGAAGATAGAATTTTTATTCAAATAAAATCAATTTATGGATATCACTAGAGTTCTAAAGGTCGGTTATTTTAAATGTGCCATTACATTTCTTACCCTATATAAAATGGCGATCACTTTTGAGAGCAGTTCAGTGACCTACGCGCAAGATCATTCAAGGTCACGAAGACTGAATGACGTGACCCTGAAAGCAGATACCCAATTAAAGGTAAATGTAAAAATTAAAAAATTCTTTTATGACCTTGAACGATCTTGCATAATAGCTTATCAAAGTTTTTAACGTTTTATTACTGTATAACCTAAACAATAATTGGTATATGATATTTTTAACAAGTCAAACTAACATACACCAATTACGGCGGTAATTTAAATACAGAAAAAGGAAAGAATATTAATAAAAATTATTTTATTATGCATAAATATAATATAAAAACAATCTACATCTACAATCATTCTATTTGATGTCACGAGAGTCCATAATTGCGAAAAGACCAGTTTTCGTTCTTTTCTGCGCATCGACGCTCTGATTGGCGATACTCCCAGACGAACTGGAAAGCGATTGGCGGAGAGCTCGCTGCGTTCCCCCACCATCCTCCAACCTGCGCGTCGTTAGTTACGGACTCTCGTGGCATCAAGTATGACATCAACAAGGAAACTATTTATTTTCTTTCCATTTTTTAATTATCGTGTCCCAGTAATATTTAAATGTTACATAACATATTTGAGACTTTTCAAATATTTCCATCCACGAGGAAAACAAAATGTTGTCTGACTGGATGATGTTTCGACACCCGCCATCCCTCGTCCTGACCGATGTAAGTACGAGTACCTTGCGACAGCATTTCTATCCAGCGCAGCAAGAACGTACCCGCGAGCGTCACGAATTGCGAAACGCGTTTATCTAATATTATTTATCGATTCATCGTTGAAAGAAAATTTTATTTCTCGGATGATTTTTCGTTTCCAAACAAAACAAAGTGCTCGACCAGGAGGCGAGAGGAGCACGGAACGAAGAAAGTTCATAGTACAGAGATCGCGACCCTGCTGCATGCCTAAAACAAATAACAGATGATCCAATTCGTCTCCGGGAGTAAGAGTCGTCTTGGGTGTTGCATCTTGCGCACGCCCGGTTCCGCAGCGACAGCGTTCCAGAGACGTACGACAGTGTCTCTCGCCCGTAGGAAACACTGGCGAATTCCTGGAAGCTAACGGCGAACACGTCCAGGCCCTCCGTGAAACTGATAAACGCATTCATTCTGGCCCCGTCGAATGAGGTTTTAAGGTGAGCGAACGGTGCAACGCGAGCGAAGAATGCGAAAGAAAGCTTTCTAGAGGACCTCCGGACTGCTTCTCTGTTTAATCTACCGGCTAACTCTATGAGACATTACACGAAAACTTAAACGCCTTTTATGTATTCACCGCGTCGCGATACGATTTTCATGGAGCTTAGAACGCGTCTCTGTATGCAGGAGAGAGCCGGAGACCGTCCCTGAACGACCGGAGACCAGCTGCTTGTGCAACGATACAATCTTGGCTGTTTAAGCTCCATGGTGAGTGCAATGGAATCCTCTTTCTTTTAATTTAACAACCGACGCTTCTGCAGCATCGAATAAACAAATAAAATAAAAAGTATCATTTTAAATCTCGTCATTGTAAATTATACGTTATTGCTGGGTTGTAAACACTTTGGTACACGTGTCTTGTATTTGTGCGTTACGTGATTCACCGTCAGGTGCGACCAACAAGGTACATAAATCGTAATCTTTCTTACTGTGCAATTGCACAGGAAATTGTTCGAGGGAACGGAGGTGTTCAAATCTTTCACAATGGAACGTAGAGTATAACTGTAGTTAAAGATATTCCGGAGAAAGTACAAGCAGACGCTTTGACAAGATAGACATCGAAATTAGTGTTAATTAATACGGCAACTTCGTTCGCGTGAAAGTTTGTAAGGGAACGATGGAAGAGTCATAAAAATTTGCAAGATTCACTCTGGCTTATCGCTGGACTATCGATCGACTTACTCCTTCCTCCCAATTACATAAGTATGGTACCATATATTGGGAATTACTGTTCTTTGGATTTGAAAACTATGTAAATGTAAATAGAAAGTATTTCAAACGTCTAATTGTTGTTCGATGGTGTTTTTTTTTTTTTGGTTACTCTACTTTCTATTTATTTTTGCAATTACCAAGTTTGGTTTTCTTGGAGTGATGTAACGCGTTTGCTCTTATTTCTGGTGAATGTAATTTGTTAACCTCGTTGTCAAGGATATGGTAAAGTGAAATTGTATCGTTCGAGTATCGTCGGTGACCTTGAAAATTTGGAATGATCGCGGTGTTCGTAGTCGAAAACCGGTTCAACTGTCTTTGAATTTAAATCAGACTTTCGACCGCTTTCGGATTCACGTGACTCATCCTGCATAAATAGCGAACACACGCGAGTAAGGATTTGTTGAAAAAGATCAAGGTCATCGATCAGCTTAAAGCGAATATTTAAATTTCGCTGGAAGTCAAATAAGTAACCGCAAGAAATATATTCATAGTTCTAAAATAAAATGTAAACTTAACCTCTGAACTCTGTCGGTAAAGAAGTATTCTTATCACAAAATAAATCATTATACTTGAAACGACGTAAATAGAGGTATATGTTTGACAAGCTGATAAGAATTATCTAACTGAACGCGTTGCCAGAACGTTTCTTTTTTTTTCATATCATTGACGAAATTCAAAATGTCTAAATTAGCGCAACGTATTATCAAAAATGTACTAATAATATTTATATATTTTGTTTCTAAGATTAATTCTTGGTACATTTCCATATTTTGTGTAAATTTCCTTTTAGATACTTGATACTTTTCCTGAAAGAAAAATTTACATACTAATTGTATTTTATGATTTGTAGAAATGACATAAAATGGCTATTGCGCCTACAATTTGCATGCAAACTGTTTCATAATTACGACTAAGCGCGCAGATAATTAAATCAGCACGCGGCTTTAATGCACCGTAGCAGACTTGATCTCTTAATTTATTAGCAATTGCAGGGTTTTTTTGCAGGTTCGTTATCTACCGAGAATTCCAATTACCGCGTTCCTTACGTTGCTTCGGTAGAGAAATCTTAATTGGATTAAAATGTCAGATGTCGCTCCGATTACATTCTTGTGCAAATAATTGTTTGAAAAAAAAAACTAATCAATAATTAAAAAATAAGATAAATCATCAGTAGGTATTATAGTTTCTTTCATGAGACTGCATTCCTGTACATCGTCTCTACTATTATAAAGCTCCTATTTTCATCCTAGGGACGTCATTGCCCCCATTATTACAAACTTTTCTTCCCTATCGCGACTGCGCGAGAATCTCGCCGAGATTCGATTCTAAATTCGATTAACAGGTGTTCGGGTAATCGAAATTTACTATAAGTTGTATAACCTCGTCCGTTCGACATCTTGACCGCAACTACGAGCGAGACATTCGTAAAGAAACAACAAGTAGATTCCCAGTTCAGGTAGCTTCAAGTTTTTACTTTTTCAAAAATCTGATTACATAACCCATACCGTATTATGTTCAACCACCGGCGTGTATATACATTACGTATATACGTGTCGACGGAATACTCACAGGTATATCGTCTTTCAGTCACTATATACGCGCCCGCCATTACTGCTTGCAGAGTACCGCGCATGCGCACGAGTCCCTGTAAATCACCGAACGAATTACCGGCACCATCCGCTAACTGATTGTACTGGTTGGTAAAGAGAGGATCCGCGAGATTGATACGATGCCGCAGGCACGATGGTGGAACCCTGTTATCGGGAGCGGTCGGCTTAGGACGTGGGAACGGCTGTCCACGTACGCGGGGTCAGGGACGACGGGAGGTAGAACATCCGCACGTCTGACGGTTACACGGCCGGTAGTCCAGCGGTCGGCTGTCGACAGAACGCTCCGTCGTGGTATGGCGAACAGTGCACCCGGAAGGAAGGTCCTCACCGAGGACAATGTCTTCACGAACCTGCGGAAAATGGAGTATGCGGTACGCGGGCCCCTTCTCCTGCGTGCCTTGGAAATCGAAAAGGAACTGCAGAAGGTAGGGAACCGAATTAATAAGCGGTCGGAGGAAAGTCAATGCACCTTTTATCGACAACTGAAATTGGCGTCGTACCGTGCAAATAATCGAATACTTTCCTCGAAATGAATCGATATTTAAATGGAACACTAGATGATATTCAATGTTCATAACCATTTAGATATTCTAGGAAGGATAAAAATGACAGTTGTATTTTTGGAATTCACACGATGAGATAATTGGTTTTTATCAACTCCCACGTAGCGTGGATGATGTAAATATAATTAAGGAAACAGGAACGATCCAATTATTTGCAATTTTATCTATGAAGGTTGTGTATACGAGGAATTAGCGCAGGAGAAAAGGTTAGGTTTCAATTCCATTACATCTTGTAAATTAGCAGCGTACATTTTTAATTTTACTTTAATCCCTAGGGAAAGATAACATCGTATGACACCGTTTTATCGCTGTTCCCTATAATATTGGATAAAGCGACTTACACGCACAGAAAAATAAACGTATTTTTTTTTATCTTGTATAAGACGATTAATGTTATTATCATTTACATTTTTTTGTATGAAAAATTAATTAAATCCTATGAGAAAGAATACTTCAGTTATAATTTCGCGATTACTTGAAGTAGATAAAAAATTTTTTTTAATGCAAGTTTGATCGATTGCAATGATGGTGGCGTCGAAACCACCTGTCGCGGAGCTCGGGCGTCAAGGTATTTTCGACTAAAAATAGGACTTCAATTGACGTCTATTGGTACAAACGAACCTTGCAAAATATTTTGCCATTTTCTAAAAAAAAACTTCCCATTTTTCAACATTAATTAATTCTAACTCAACCAGGACCGGCCTTGAGATTTCGGGGGCCCGAGGGGAGCTCCGAATAAGGACCCCTTCGCATATATAAAATAAAAAAAAGTAGCTCAAATAAAATTTATAAAATTAATATTAAAGCTTGTATAACTAATTTAAATTAATATTCAAATAAACATTACTCTTGCATTTTTAGTCGCAAAATCGTCTTATGGGGTCCCTGGACCTTGGGGGCCCTAGCCGGCCGCCTAGTTTGCCTAGGCCCAGGGCCGGCCCTGAACTCAACATTAGTCGTGAAATAATTTCAATAATAAATTTTTTTTCTCTTACAGATCACACATACAGTAAAAAAAAATAAATTTAAATGGTATGATATTTAAAATAATTTTGATTATGCCTAATGGAGAATTTTATTGAACCATTGAATGGAATTCACGAGAAATCTAGGGTCAAATAACCACATCCAAAACGAATTGTTCGATTGGTAACAATAGCCGTTTATGGGGTCTATCATGCGCCTGCGCGATTCGACACCATAAACAAGTGGGAAAAAAAATATAAACTCGTTAGAATAACCTTCATACGATACACCAGTATAGTCACGTACACGTGGTAATATGTAACGCATGTTTCTTTGTGGACATGCACACAGAATCAAGGCTGACTATAAAGAAACACTGATTATCTCAAGTGGTCCTTGTATGAATATGTTTCAGCATGAACAATATTCATTTAAAATGAAGGTTAAAGCTCCTTAACACTAAAACTACCCATGTATCATGCACACTTATCTTTAAGTTAAAAATAATGTAGATTACTAAATAGATATACATAATTTAATTTATACATTCATCCTTTAACTCGATAACAGCCGACAAACATTTCAACAAAAATACCTTTTAAATTTATAATTTAAGATAAGAAACTGGAAACCAGTCATCTTGACTCCTTTGGTAGTCTAGTAACGCCATGGGGGTCACCGATGACCGGCTCCTCAATTTACACACGTCTGAATAATTAAAAGAAAATAGAAAAACGTTATTTTAAATAATATTGCTATGGTACAAATAATGTGAAATGGCAAATAGAAAGCTTGAAATTTGAAAATTAATTATTACTATTCTTAATAATTAGAGCTTCAACGTGTTAAATAAATTATTATAAAAAAGCAGTAAATAATAAGATGCAATTTAATTATATATTTGTAACGCAATGTTATTTAAGGCAAAGAAAATAATTGCAATAATTTGACGTTTTAAATAACAATCAATCTTATGTTGTTTTGATGGTTGAAAATTTTGATAATCAGTTGATAAAAAGATTGTGCGATAAAGAATTTAATCTACGTGACTTTTTCGGTTTACCGCGAAGGTTGTGTCATTTGTCATATGGTATATAATGAGTCATAAATGTAAAAGTAAACGATGCTTGTCGTCGTAACATCTGTTGTAACAAAACATTGTTAAAAAGAACTGAATTAATCAGAGGAATAACATTAAAAAATAACTGTTATACTTTTTCTTATAATTTTGCATAATTGATTCAGTTCTACATTCTTTATACATCACTTAAGTAGTTAATACCATTCACCGTATGCGTATTATGAATCACTCTGCGTTATGCAATCGTTTCTTTTTTACGTTAATTAGAGTTATGGAAGCTTTTGTAATACATAGTGAAGAATTTTTTATCCCCTCGTAAAATGATGACGAATTGTCTTTAAGTTCCTTTTTTAAATTCATCGCGAATTGCGTTTATTTATTTTGCAATAAGAAAAAAAAAAAACGTTTAGTTTTGAAATCTTATTGAAAGATTAATTTCCAAGATCCTTATTGAGTGATGACTCACATTGTCAATAATTTTTATTTGCAAATGATGTAGGCAATTTAAAATGCAGGATGATGATATTTAATAATAATTTTTTGTTAATAAAATAGAAATTTATTGGATCCAATACTTGGATACTAAAAATATCTTGTAACAAAGCAAGGGAATTCTTGGTGTTATTAAAATAATTATGCACTTAATTATTATTATGCATAATAATTAATTGGGGTATAATTAATTATAAATATCTATTAGTGATCCATTAAAAATATTTTACAAATTTTTCATGTGCATAATTATTTTAATAACACCAAGAATTCCCTAGCTTTGTTACAGGATATTTTTAGTTGGGGTATAATTAATTATAGTGTTAATAATTAATTATGCCACCCCTCTCCCCAAATGTAGACTGGTCCCCAGATTTTATAATTCAAGAAATCTACAATTCTAAGATTCCATTGTATTGCTTAATTATTCATACTAATTTAATTGTTATTTTTTCAGGGAGCCAAGAAACCGTTCAAGGAAGTGATAAAGGCTAATGTGGGAGATGCACACGCCATGGGTCAGCGACCAATAACCTTCTTGAGACAAGTACTGACTTTGACAGTGTCACCGAATCTCCTGGACGATCCCACTTACCCAGAGGACGTCAAGGAACGAGCTAGAACACTGTTGTGCGGCTGTAAAGGAGGCAGCGTTGGCTCGTACTCAGAATCAGCCGGGATTGAGATCGTCCGCAGACACGTGGCTGAATACATCCAGAATCGTGATGGACTTCCTTCTGACTACCGCAACATCATCCTCTCAAACGGAGCCTCAGATGGAATCAAAGTGTGCAGATTCTTTCTCTTATATTATTCTTTAATACTTAAAGTATTTTCCTCCCTTTGATCCTTAAACCTTGACTGCCATGTCATTCCTATAGTGCTGGGATAAAACATTGGCACACCGTTTAAAACAGCATACCTCATTTAAAATTGGACCAAATGACTTGAGGTTTTTTGAGAGGTTATACAAATTTAATTTCCCTAGGAGTAAGGTTAAGAATAAAAATACTAAACAGCATGGCAATCAAGGTATTATGAAAAATATTCCTAAGAAAAATCTTTTGTAATGACTTGTATTAAATTTTGTTACAGTCATTCCTGAAGCTGTTCAATGAAAGACTGGATGGAAAACCATCGGGGGTGATGATCCCTATCCCACAATATCCTCTGTATTCTGCCACACTGGCAGAATTTGGGCTAGCCCAGGTAGGCTACTATTTGAACGAGGAGAATAAATGGGGATTGGATATCTCTGAGCTAGACAGAGCGTTGAACGAGTCAAGAAGAACCTGTAATCCTCGCGTATTGGTTGTAATAAACCCTGGTAATCCGACTGGCCAGGTTCTTACGCGCAGCAATATCGAGGATATCATTCAATTCGCTTATAAGAATCATCTGTTCTTACTGGCGGATGAAGTGTACCAAGACAATGTCTACGACAAGGACAGTGCCTTCCATTCGTTCAAAAAAGTGATGTTAGAAATGGGTGAACCGTACTCTCAAATGGAACTGGCGTCTTACATGTCTGTGTCTAAAGGTACTGCCCTCCCCTCATCATTTAAAAATTCTGAAGTTCTAATATCCTAATTCTAATGAAGATTTATATCAATTTCATTAGTCTTTAGAGTATCAAATGAATTATTTATATTGTAGGATACATGGGTGAGTGTGGAATCCGCGGCGGGTACGCGGAGATCATCAACATGGACCCCAAAGTTATGGCAATTTTACTGAAGTCCATCTCAGCGATGCTGTGTCCAACTGTCCTTGGCCAGGTGGTGATGGACGTTGTAGTAAATCCACCGAAACCGAAGGAGCCGTCGTATCCGTTATTCATAAAAGAAAAAGAGGAGACATTGCGCTCATTGGCAGAGAGATCCCAGCTGGTGGTTGACACATTGAACAGCATTCCAGGATTTAAGGTACTTTGTCATAGTTTTCAAGGTACAGAGTTCCTGGATTAATCTTCTGATTTTCTCCCAGGTGAATCCGGCCATGGGTGCTATGTATGTGTTTCCACAAATTGATCTCCCCAAAAAAGCCATAGAGGCAGCTAAAGCAAAAGGTCAACACCCTGATGTCTTCTACGCCTTCAAACTCTTAGAGACCACTGGAATATGTGTGATACCTGGCTCTGGGTTTGGACAGCGACCGGGAACATACCACTTCAGGACCACAATTTTACCACAAAAGGATACAATTAAAGCCATGCTCGATAGTCTGAAACAGTTCCACTTAAGGTTCCTGGAAGAGTACAAATAATCATAAAATTGTTAGTTGTTGCATTTTATGCTGTCCTTGAAGTGCCAGTCACCATGTGCAGGTTACATGTATCTTAAAAGAAACAGTATTATGTTCACACGAAAGCTATAAAGAATTTTACTTAAAATATTAAATTTCGCATTTTATAATGAACAGGTTTGAGGGAAGAGCATTTTAAATTTTTTAGCCAAGGAAATTAGACTTAATATTACCACATGTTTGCGCCACTGGGTACATCAATTGTTTGCACAAGTTTTGGCACGGAAAGGAAAGAGATTCTTTTTTCTGAGTGCATTATTTACAAGAACAAAATTCATCGAATATTTGTATATAGTATAAAATAATTATGTTAAGAAATTGAGTGGTATACTAATCGATGAAGTTTCTTTCAGAATGTATGGTGGGTGTTTGCGAGTGTGTCTCAGTAATTTGTGATAGTAGCAGTCGTAATGATGTTTTTATAATACTCACAACAATGTTTCCAGGTCAGATATATACGTTCAGTCAAGCATCTAACTTACCTTTGTTACAGGCAATTTATCTATGTAACAAAGAACACGTAGGAAAATGAAAAATCAATTCTAGTATTTATATTATGTATGCGATATAAAATTCACCCACCAGGAGACTTAAGTGTTCACGTTAGTCCAAGATCCTCATTAACTTAATAACATTTCAGAGAAAGTTTCAGAATGGAACTAGATTCAAGTATCCTATATAAAATGACAATATGATCAATTGTATGCCCTATTTGAAAAGACACTGTTTTTATGTGGATTTTGAAAACAAATGAGCTTTCAAAAGGAATACGAATCAGAAAATAAACCAACCACACTGTACTCTACTAATTAACTTATCATTATTAAAAAAATATTTTTTTGAGAGCTTCTGTTGTTAACAAAAATGCTCTGTGTTATTTATTACATTCCCTCGGCGGAATCTAACTGAAAATATTTTTCTCACAAACAATGCTACTATGATATATGAATTATTTCTATAAGTCGTTGGCGAGTCTCTCGATCTCCTCCGCGAAGAATCTCATGTCACCTTCCGTCAGTCCAGAGTTTTGCAGAACCAGCCTAAAGAAGTTAGGTAATTCACGGAGCGGTTGGTAAGTGATCAGCATCGATCCCCTCTTCACCATACGCTCTTTCACAGTTGGCCCAGTTTTCTGGAGAACCTTCGACAACTCCTCGCCCTGTAAGTGACGTTTTGAAGGTGGCACGTACCAGAAGCACACGTTCGTGCATTCAGGTTCAAGGACCAACTCGAAGCCCTCTCTGTGTCTTATATATTCAGTGAAGTACCCTGCCAAATCGAACACACGATCCACGTGTTTCTCGAGGCCCCGTGTGCCTTTCGCCTTCCACATGAACCAAAATTTAAACACGTCTGCCCTACGACCGCACTGCACGTGTTTGTCACCGCTGTCGAAGGAGGTGTCATAGAATTTGTCCGGCTGGAAGAGGTAACTAGCCTTCAAGCCATGCGCAGCCTGCAGGAGATCCTCATGGCGCAGTAACAGTGTTGAGCATTGCTGTGGTGCAGCAAGTAGCTTGTGAGGATTCCAGGTAACAGAGTCAGCCAATTCAATACCGTCCAAAAGGTACCTGTGCCTTCTGGACATTAAAGCCCCACCTCCCCAAGCTGCGTCAACATGAAACCATAGATTGTACTTTTTACAGATGCTGGCTAAGTCTCTCAGAGGATCATAGGCACCCAAGACGGTTGTCCCTGCCGTGGCAGAGACCATTAATGGAGTTGCTCCTTCATCGAAAGCTCTTCTGATCTGCTCCTCCAAGTCTGACACGCACATCTTCCCTCTGCTATCTGTTTTCACTTCGTAGACATTACTGGTACCTATACCCAGGAATGCGCTCAGTTTCTTTACTGAGTAATGAGCATCCTGGGACGTGAAGACTATTAATTTGCCACCACTGCACAGACCCAGTTCCTTCAGTTGAGGGAACCTGTAGATCATAGCGTTAGAACAGATTTCAGATTATTTAATGAATTTTAGTTACCTGTGATGACGTGCCAGGTTGATAGCGTAACCATTAGCAATGGAACCGCCTGGACAAAATATCCCTTCACCTCTGCCATCTTTCCAGCCAACTATCTTTCTCATCTCTCGCAGCAACTCTTCCTCCATCAAAGAGAACACTGGAGAGACCTCATAAGTGTATACTGATGGATTCAAGGCATCTGTTAACCACTGTCCAAGTAGACCGTACGGATCCACACTGGAGTACAGTTGATTTACAAATCGTGGGTGGCCTGTTTTTACACTGTACTTGATCACGTTGCTAGCAAGGCTGAGGAGATCCTTCTGAGAGACTCCTTGATCAGAGAGCTTCAAGTCGATGGCTGATTGAAGTGCAGCTGGCTCCATCCACTCCACCACTTGATTCTCTCTTGAGGTACCCTGAAAGACCGTTCAAGGTAATTTTATATTACATCAAATTACAGTAACTATGTGTGTTATTTTTTATTACAGTTCTATGATTCGATATGGTTAATATGATGAAACGATTCAAGAGATTGTTGGAATGCGATTGGCATTGGGACAAGGTAAAAGTTATCTAATAAGAGCAGTAATCGCTCATCGAGGTCTTCTGGTATTTCTCAAGCCTTCCAGAGGTTTTTTCTTCCAAGGTAATTACAATTCAATTGTAAGCACTCTCTTCAATTATACGTTGAAATACTTCTTTTTTTTTTCAGAATCTTTGAAACTAACAGTGAAATTTGTTAACAAGTTTCATGATTGAAAGCAGGATATTCTCTAGAATTTCACCTTGAAAATAGAAATTAGATGTCCTTTTTTTTTGTGACACAGAACTCAATTGCAACGTAATTCTTTGTCCATGAATTGATGGAGTAGCTCGTTAATGGACGCAAAAAGCGTGCATAACGAACGCTTGAATCACGTTTCGATGCCCGGGAGGAAAAGGAAATCGAGTTTTTAGTTGATAGATGAAATTAGTTGTTAGTGCAAGTATTTCATGGAAACACTGAGATTAGCATTTTGATTTAATTCAGCGACATTGATTGTACGGTTTCAAAAGGATTTTGCATCAATCTACTTGGAGACAATTTTTTTAAATTTATAAATGCAATATGTGTGTTTGTTTTAATAATGATCATTGTTGAAGAGAACCTTCCAAGTCTTGTAAGATTTTTTGCAATGTCATAATTGTATTCTTGAAATCCATTCACTTCCAGGTAAAAAAGGGGTATTTGTCAGCATTTATAGTACATAGTATCTAATATTAAAATGATAATTTAAATTTAAAGTGCAGTTTGCAATGTTCTCTGACACAGATCATTTAGGAAAAAGAAGAAAGTTTCCTTATGAAGCATACTTCTCAGTAATTTGCTTCACTAAACTTATCCTTAACCACGGTAATAACAGGATGTACTTAAAAATGGAAATACCATTGCAACTTTTCAAATGCCATTGTTATTAGAACATGTCACAATTGAACTTGGTATTGTCCTTGAATCAACGTTTCTTTAATCGCTATTGGATTTAAGTGATAACGTGGGATAAAATTGGACACGTGAATGACCTACAATTATAACATACACAGTATGAATACATGAGTCACTTTTAATTAGTAAACAATTCAATTAATGAGAATTTGAAATGCAATGAATAACTGAAAAGGCATATCAATTTTCAAATATTTTCAAATTATTCAATGACCAGTTTAGTAATAAAATATTTAATTATTTTACTTTGCTTACCTTAAAAATTGCCTCTTCCAGAAGTAGATCAACAAAACTCTTCATGAACTTCTCATGGAGCTGCCTGACTGGCAAACTTTGGTAATAGAAATCTTCCTGAACGTCCCCATTGCTGATGGAATTTGGACAACCGTTCTGGCAATCCTCATCACCGAGGGACGAACGAGCAAGATTGTTCTGCAGACCACTGTCACAGACTTTCCTCAGAAAATTGTTCCTGATCTGTGACACTGCCTGTTCAGGGGATTCGGTCAAAGTATCCTCGTTAGCCGGCATAGTTGCGCATTGAGGTTCTCTTCTGTCTGGTCCCGAGGTGCTCCTACAGTTTCCTTTATATGTATTAATCTCCTCCGACCAAGGACAAGATCGTTGCGTGTTAACTACCTTCGGCTCAATTGTTCACTGAGATTTCTCGGTACGCGACTGGTTTTCCTTTCTTGCCTCCTTGTCTTAACAGATCTCGCCAGCAGGACCTTGATGAAATTAGGAAACTTCCTCCTGAGTCGATGAATCATGTAATCTAGGAGGAAAGTTGAAATTGTATTCTTGAAATTTTGTAAGCTCATTTATTCTATTCTTTTTTGAGAATGAGGAAAGAGATTGACAATTAACCCATTTGCTACCACGACACCCAAATGAGGATTTGAATTTTTTTTATCACTTGCAATAGGATTATATTAAATAAAATGTTAAATAAAAATATCAAAAATAAACATTTGGCAGTTAATGGGTTAAACTAGCATTATATTTCTTATTTTGAAATTTAATTGTAATAGTAAACTGTATTTGTTATTGATATCATGATGATCTGTATTTATATTGGAAATGTGCATTTTTCTATTTCTTAACTTCAGAGAAGATTGTATATTGGTGAAATTAAGTAATAATTGATAGGTAATATTAAATGATAAAATTCACTAGTTCATAATCTATTTTTATTTTATTTTCATAATGTACATATTTGTTTTAATCTGTTTTAGAAATTTATAAATATGCAGATTATGTTGAACCTAATAACGCATAAAAAGAATACTAGAAACGTATATGCATAAATGAATATGCATAGAGAAGACTGCAAAAGTGGGAGAGATCATTCATGTATCGCGTGTACGGTGTGAAATATCATTAAGATGAATCTATCTTGAATTACAATCAACCAGCAGTACCAAATTTCAGTTACAGATTAATCGTCTATAATTTATAGATAGGAATTCCAACAATTGAAATAGTTAAATACATTGAGCCGCCTTAAAAATTATTAGCACTTTGACTGAGGATTTAAATTCTCAAACATAGTTCTATTGGTGATATATTAGGAATAAAAATGGAACTTGAAATTGCAAGATTCAAAGATTCCACGAAATGGGTGGTCATAACATTTAACAAATCTTACTTAATATTTATTTATATAAGTATTTCATACTTGTATTAAATTTTAAATTAAAATGTAGTTTAAAATTAACAACAGGTGAACCATTTTTAGTATTATTGGTGTAACTAGCTAGAGGCTAGGGTGGATATTACCCTCCAAAAAATGTGCACTGGTCTGCCATTTGAATTTTTTAAACTTCTAAGGTTCTGGAAATCTGAAATTCAAAAATTCTAGGATACTGAACCTAACCCACCTTAGAAGAAAATTGTAATTACGCCAATGCTTACCAGACAGTACTATTATGTAAGTTTTAGAAGTTTCATTATTTTGAAGGTTCAAAAATTCATTAAAAATTAATAACAATGATAATTCAATAAATTTTAATAACAGTTTCTTACAGGAATATGTTTCTAGACAAGCATATCTTCTCTTACAGATGCATAGCAATGCTTTTAATTAGAAAAATATTATATATTTTCAGGTACTTAGTGTTTTAGATGCCTTTAAGTAATCTCCAACATCTTTATCCCTTTCGTTTGAACCTGGGTAGCGTAATGATTTTTTAAAACTATTCATTAAAAATAACATTTCCCAAGCTTAATTGTTTAAAAGTGAATCATTTGAAAATTTTTACAACTTTTTCTTTACATTAAATAAAATCATGGCATATAAAAATATAATGCACTTCATAGTAACAATTTATACAAATAGGTTTCATCATCAAATTGGTCCCAATATCCTTCAATACTGTTTTTTTTATAAAAATACAAATTGCTGTTTTACACTCATCCTTTCACACTATTATACAGCCTACTAACGCTTCCCCTGAGATTCAAACCTATACACTTTGTGAAATCATTCCACTATAAGTTATGCACCAAGAAACATTAATATAAAACAATGGTAAGAACATTGTTATATGTGTCAATTATTTCATTGAATTAATGAAATCATATATGCAAAGCAACTTGAATGAATTATTTAAAGCAAGAACTTACTGGAATATAAATTAAGCTCCAATGAAATCTAAAGGACTTTACATTTGCGTAAGTCCATTTTTCACTGCTAAAGTAATTTGTTTTGAACAGTATTATAATTCTCATTGCTTTTCTCATAAAATACCTTATAACAATATTTTAAAATGTATGATAATATAAACTATTCGTTGTTATTATTATTATTGTAAAATAAAGTGCAACAATGTTAATCAGAACTCTTTGAAAGCATTTACAAAATATCATAAGCTCTCATTATATTTACAAAACTGGTAATGTATAAATTTTACACACAATTAAATGTTTTAGAAGCATTGTTCTAAAATAGAAAAATTATTTTGCATTATCATATGCAAAATTGTAGTATCAATCATTGTTCATTGTACCAGTTCGGATTATCATTGTTGCACCATATTAGTAACAAATTGGTTTAATATAATTCTTCTTATATTCAACGTTCATAGAACTATAGCTGCATTAGAATTAGCCTAACGATCCACCTCCAATTCTTCTATTTCACAGAAATTATATGTTACTATCTGATAGTAACATATCAACCAAAGTAGGCACCACAATTGGAACAACGTCGAGTCTTTAACAACAAGCAGCAAATTATTCCAAATGGGAAGAACAGAATTGCACATAGTAATCCCAGACACGTAAAATCATCTTCCATTACACCCACCTATATTTTGAAACTTAGTTTTAATTATACGTCTTTGAACAAGATATGAAATTTTCAGTAATCAGTAAACACTGATAAGCTCCGATTGCAAGATTATATTTATTCTTACAATTTATGAATCATACTTACTCTGCAGGCAGGGCATCCTCCGACTAAAATGATTTCTGGCATAATCACTGCAGTTGATTGTGTAGAACCATACGAAGGAACATAATTGGAATGAGTAGTTGTCCCTGTGCTAGGATAATATCCTGGAGGTGGAGGCCATGAAGTAGATTCTGCTCCTCGTGTAGCCGAGTTATACGAAGGAGGTGGTTCCCAGGAAGAAGTTGCTATATAAAAGTACATTTTACAGAGATTATTGATAATCCTTCAAATAAACAGTTTATCTGAAATAAGGTTTGACACTTATACATAAATTTAAGTAAAATATGGCAAACTGCAGAGGATAAGAAATATCTGTATTAAGTGAGCGTAGTAATAGATAATGAATGTTACATGCTCTGTTTAGTTTTGCATAATGATATTACATGACATGTACCATTTACTTAAATATGCAATAATTAAATTATACCATTGTTTAATATATTTTTTGAATGAAACGTGATGTAAAAAGTTGAAAATGAAATTCAAACTCTTTTGTTCTTACATTTGGGTGCTGTAGGCGCAGAAATAGTGGAAGGCTTAGCAGCTCCCGGATTTAGTGGCTGTTTTTCCATTGTTCGATAAACCAATTAATCACTTTTATTGGTTATATATTTGATATTAGATAATTCTCATTTATAATCAGATTTTTGACAGCTAACACCCGTAATGGCCTCCTGGTCTCGTGAGCCGTTTTCAAAACAAATATTACATTGCTATTTCCCCTTAGAAAGATGTACTGAACCTAACCCGATCAAGATTTTTCTTCCATTCTTCGATTACAACATGGACTTTTATTGGTCGACCAATCGTGATGTCATTACATTATTCTTTTTAATACAATCAAAATTAAAAAAAGATAAGTAATTTAACAATTCATTGTAGAAAAATTATAAAAATATCATTTTATAGGCTAAATGAAGACAATATTCTTAAGTATAAGTTGAATCATAAGCACATCTGAGTGCAAATAATTTGGAAAAATCCGGGGGAATCCTGTGAGAGCCTAAGTGAGTCAGTTAATTTTTATAATACTAATGTCAAAAATAATTAAAAAAGAAAATAGTATAATAATAACATGATTTTGGGGGTTTCAGACATCTCCAGCTAAACTTAAATCTGCATGCAGGGAGCACAGTCGGTATGATAATCGTGCCTGTTTTACCAGTCCTTCTTTTACGGCACCTCAAACTGACATCTCAAAAGACCCAATTTTCACTTCCTTTGATTCTACTTTCTTTTTATAAATCAGTCAGAAGCAGCACAAAACAGACCAATTATTACTGTAATTGTTTGACAAACTTGTATTCACTTTATGCACTTTGGTAAATAAATCATTTGAAAAAATGAACTGAGTTATTATTTAATATGCCTTATATTCCTCATATCCGTCATATCCCTTGTATCCTTGTATGTATCGCTGTAAACTCTTTTTAAGTAAGAAATCGTTACAAATTCAGTTCCTGCTTTCACCGCCAGATGGCGCTGATCCGAGGTCAGGATTTTAGTTCAAATTTTTGTCGCTAGAGGGCCAAAACGGGTTCGTTCTTTAGTTCCTTTTTCTAACACCAGATGGCGCTGATTCGAGGTCGAGATTTTTGTTCCAACTTTTGTCGCTAGAGGGCCAAAATGGGTTCGTGCTTTAGTTCCTTTTTCTAACACCAGATGGCGCTGATTCGAGGTCGGGATTTTAGTTCAAATTTTTGCCACTAGAGGGCCAAAATTTATTCCTGCTTTAGTTCCTTTTTTTGTCACCAGAGGGCGCTATTACGAACCCCGAAAATGTCATTTCAAGGATGTAAAGAATGTAAAGGATGCAGGGATGTAGGTGTTGCAGGGATGTAGGGGTTGCAGGGATGTAGGGGCTGCAGGGATGTAGGGGTTGCAGGGATGTAGAGGTTGCAGAGATAAAGGGGCACAGAGATGTAAAGGAATCAAGGATGTAAAGGATGCACACGAGACTAATAATATTGCGTTCGTCCTCTGAATGAGTTTATTCAATAACCGAAGAAGATGAATACAGTAAATTAAATGATCGTAGAAAATAGATATGTGTGCCGTGGATGAGTCTCCAAAGTCTGGTGCAGGGTTTCTAAGACCACTGAGAAGTGTTGAGGGGCGTCTAGGAACCCAGGTGCGCCGATTAGGGCTCTGAGAACCCCAAGAATCCGCGTGAGGTGTCTAGGAACCCAGGCGTGCCGATAGGGGCTCTGAGAACCCCAAAAATCCGCGTGGGGTGTCTAGGAACCCAGGCTTGCCTACAGGGGCTCTGAGAATCCCGAGAATCCGCGGTGGTGCCTAGGAACCCAGCCGCTGCGATTGGGGCTCTGAGAACCTCAAGAATCCGCGTGGGGTGTTTAGGAACCCAGCCGCTGCGACTGGGGCTCTAAGAACCCCGAGAATCCGCGTGGGGTGCCTAGGAACTCAACCGCTGCGATTGGGGTTCTGAGAACCCCAAGGTCCCGCGTGGGGTGCCTAGGAACCCAGGCGCTGTGATTGGGGTTCTGAGAACCCCAAGGTCCCGCGTGGGGTGCCTAGGAACCCAGGCGCTGTGATTGGGGTTCTGACAACCCCAAGAACACGCGTGGGGTGCCTAGGAACCCAGGCGCTGCGGTTGGGGTTCTGAGAACCCCAAGAATCCGCGCGGGGTGCCTAAGAACCCAGCCGCTGCGATTGGGGCTCTGAGAACCCCCGAAATCCGCGTGGGGTGTCTAGGCTCCCAGGCTCCGTAATTGTGGCTCTAAGAACCCCGAGAAGTGATGTGAGGCTTCTAGGATCCCAGGCGCCGCGGTTGGGCTACTAAGGACCCCGAGCATTCGCATGAGGTGTCTAGGAACCCAGATGCGCCGATAGGGGCTCTAAGGACCCCGAAAATTCGCGCGGGGTGTCTAGGAACCCGGGTACTGCGTGGACGGCTAAAGTGCATTGCGGGGTTTCTAGGACCCCAGAAAGTACACTGGGGTATTGAGGACCCTGGCATTCGGCGAATCGGCCATCTTAAACGCAACGCGGGGTTTCTGGAACCCCAAAATCATGATCCCACATGGACAAAGAATATCCAATCATCACGTATATGTAGTCAATGGTATACTTACGACACGAAATTTAAATAATATTCAATTACGAACTATTTCTAAGTTTTAAAATTAATCACTCTGCAGTAATAATAATCAAAAATGTATATAATGATTATTTATAACAGTATCATTAGAATAATAAAACTGAACAAGAATACAGCAAATTATATTACGTTTATTTGCAAAATAATTAGAAAACAATCTCTACATTTCCTAAAATTTTATTACTGAAACTTCTCATTGCACATATACATTATTGTTACAAATTGCTCTGCTGCATCTACACGGATGTTACATACATTAATTATATCGTATAGAAATATTACAAACAGGTACAAAAACTATACTAACTTCTTATCGTAAGTCGTTTGAATTAACTTAATTAAGGATTATAACTACAATCATTTGCAGGAGTTTAACCCTTTATTTATTGTACCTATAATGAGAAAATTTTGTTGAAGTATCCTTACTGGTTCCACTGTGTAGAAAAATAGAAAGAAATATTAAAAATCTTTCAGCAATTCTCTGTTTTCTCCTCTATAAAAGATAAAGGGTTACAATTTGTTTCAAATGGAATGCAAGTCCTGCACATCTGATTGCTCAACTAATTGAGTTAATGTATTGATCACAGTGGATACTATTTGTAGCTATGTACAGTGTTGATCTTTTATTTGAAACGATACAGAATTACTGTACTTGAATTTTCAAATTTTACAAGCTAAGCCAGAAGATTATGTTTTTGGCCTAAGATACGCTTAATTAATAAAATAAACAATACTTTTACTTTATTGTACAGCAAAAGAGTTATACGACTCTTGATTTCATGTTAACGTAAATGAAAGAGCTCGATGCTTGAAGCAGACTTCAATAATAACATAAAATTAACATTAATCATAGAAGAGAGATCTTTCAAACCGTGGCAAAGATCCTATGATACTTTAACCACTGATTGGCAGTGATATTGCTTGTCTGATTTGCTTCTTTATCAATCACAGAAATAACAATAGCAAAAATTTTGAAAAAACCATCATTCGCAGTCTAACACTTGCAAGTACATGTTTCATATCATGAGTATTAATCTATCCACATTCTAAGTTGAAATATAAATAAAAACCTACAATATGAATATTAATTCTCCATATAAAGGTAATTTGTTCCTGTTGAGTAGTAAAGACTGTCCTGACAGTAATTGAATATACTTATTCAAATTTGGCGCCTTTTTTCACCGAAACTTTTCAGTGGAAAATAGGATTAAATCCTTGTTGAATTTAGAAGAAGAAATGAAACATCATCGTTACGTAATACAATAAATGAGAACGCTCTTATGTAATACTAAATTTTACAAATGAGTTTTTAATTACCGACTACTTGTACAAAAATTTGCAATTACAAAAGTTTGAAAAGTGACTGATGCACGGTTCGTCTGTACCATTTGCTTTCTTCGCAGCACCTTTCACTTAAAATGTATTAAAAAAATATGTTCAGTATCGTTATGGCATTCTTCAAGGTGTACACAAGCTAAGTTGCTAAGGTCAGAAGTGAAATAAAAAAAAAAATTCTAGGTTACGCTTATTACTGAACAGCAACTCGTTAGAAATACTTAATGACTGAACATTCATTCATCTTCATAAGGGTTGTGACCCTTCATCGAGATCAGATAATACGTGAAATTAGCAAATACTTAAATTAAACCGCAAACTACATTAATCAAGTAATTCTACGCATGCCAGGATCGAAGAAGTATCAAACCTGTTAAGAAATAAAATAGCCTACATTATATGTCCTAGTAATACACAAGTTCCTACACAACGTTTTCATTATAAAACTTATCAATTAGAATAGTTCAACGCTTCCATGAATCCAGTAACTCGATTGAAAGCTATTTTGTTACTTATCAGAAGGGAAAAATTAAGATATTTACAGTGTCTGTACAGAAGTGTGCTCGTTAAATCTGATATCTTACAGAAAGATAAGTTAGAATGCTAAATGTAAACTTAGATCAATTCTAATAACATTGGTCCCATCTCTCGTTTTTTTGTTTTTTCTTTTCTTATTAAAAAAAAAAAAAAAGAAAGAAAGGAGAAAGAATAAAGTAGCCTTTGTACACCTTAAAGCGACATTTTACAACGTCCCTGCGGGACGAAGTTACTGTACCATGTAAAACTAGTTTGTAAAAAGACAATACTTGTCGCTATTTACAGGTTTCGTACGAAATTCCTTCGAACGCTCCAAGACCAGATCTACTAATCTAACTCGTGACGTTTTTCTCTACTTTTTAGAATATGTTACGTTTCCATTTTTTTTTTTTTACAACGCACGAAAATATAAGAAAAAATCTCTGTACTCACAAGACATACCTGAGATAATTGTAAAAGAGTCGTACAGCATTATGGTATTACAAAGTGCTTTGTAAAAAGGTTAAGATTATTTATAATCTTAAAACTGTATCGTTAGTTCGCTTAAAAAAAAAGAGAGTACACGAAAATACGTTTAAAACATCACGACTCTTTCTACTTTTCTCCGGTATGTTACCATAAGAGCATAATTTCTGATTTCCAGTGATACACAAACACGGTACTTCAAAACGCACGGGAAAACATTACATCCTAAGTTGTACGAACAGACAAGATGAAAAAAATTAAGTAGATCGTTTGTTTTTCTATCGAGACGAATGACTAAACAGAAAAATATACAGAGTGTTTCAGAACTCGCGTTGGCTCTGTGAAAGGGTGATAGCTGGGTTGATTCTGAACAACATTTTCCTTTGCGAAAATGTTGTTCGAAGCTTCGTTTTTGAATTATTAAGGAAAAACACTGGCGAATCAGAGCGTGCGCAGCACACGGGCGCAGGAGTCGAGGCCGCCGTCCCTGAGCCCACGCGCTATACGCGCTCTGATTGGCCAGTGTTTTCCCTCAATAATTCAAAAACGAAGCTTCAAAATCGTTGTTCAAAATCGCCCCAGCTACCACCCGTTCACAGGACCAACGCGAATTCCGAAACACTCTGTACATACGTATGTATACATATACATATAAAAAAAAGAATAGTTACACGCTGAATCTGAAGGTTATCTAATTCCACTGGCCTAAAATTGAATATCGAGGAACGTCTCAACGCTTAAATATAAAAAACAAATATATAAAAAAAAAAGAAGCAACGTGTTACATGAGAGAGAAGAAACAAGTTTCGCGTTGGGAATATAGAACGTTTAAATCAGGTATACGATCCCCAACTGTGTTTCTACATATACTACAAAATTTTTTTACACACTCAAATTCCTCCTATAGCTGTCCCGTCTTTGTACTCTATCTTATATCGGTTATGCGAATCTAAGTAACTTGAAAATTGTCAGGTATACAGCTCGCGATAAAAATTTACAATTATTACTTAGTCCAGCAATGTGTAAAAAAGTATAATACATCAGTCTGGCCAATTGATGACCAAAATACTTATTGATCTACGAATGTTATCTAACTTACTTTTTTTTTTCTTTTTTTCTTCCTTTCTATTCGTTCCGAACAATTGTACACGAAAATTTTCAAACGATTACATTTATCTTCGTCATCGGTCGTATGTAAAAATTCTACTCGAAAGAAAACTAGATACATATCCCTTGTACAGTATGCATCATAGTGTCCGTTCGTCTGGTGAAAAAGCACTAACTTTGGAATCCAAGTTTAACTGCAGCAAATATCATAAATCTAATTATTTAATAAAAGCGTTAAAATAATTAACATAATCATCTGATAAAAACTTTAGAATATTCAATAATTTAGAATTTCAATAATTGATTTGAAATTACAAAATATACTAGACGAACGGACACTATGATACATACTGTACCTGTTTCGGGCGTTAATTTAAAAAATGATTTTGCATGTACAATTTCTGTAGCTGTAACGAACGTTGCTATTGACAGCTGTCGATAACGGTCGAAGATATTTGATACAGAGATATTTGTTAAATAAAAACATTCAGAGGTCAAATTATAAGAAACTGTACTTTAAAATAATCATGTTTAACGCGTTGCCAACATATTAAAAAAAAAACTTATGTATCATCAATTTTAAGAATCATCTAGAAGTGAAAATTGTGGTAGTACTGGTAGAAAAATAAAAAAGAAATCATAACTTATTACAAAATAAATTCTCTTCATTTCCATGATACACAAGTTCTTCCTCCTCCTTAACCCCACTATCCTCTGAATCTTTTCATTTACTTATAGACAAACTCCCAGTGGGGAAAAAATGTGTACTTCCTATAAGTCCCTATAAATAAACGAGAATCGCTAAATCGGCATAGAATAGCAGGGTTAAGTATGAAATAAAAAGCACAGAATTTTCTCTGTATCAATTATTCTCTACGAATTCGTATCTCGTTCCTCTGTCTTTCTATCGACAGTATATAAAATTAGGAATTTACGTTCAGGCTTAATCGATTTTAAGAAAAGAACCGCTGCCCATGCCGGCTCGCAAAAGGAGAGGCGTTTTTCTTCGCGACGTGGTCACAGGTTGATACAAATAATTACCCTGTATCGTACCGGTCAACGTCTTTTGCCTCTTCGTACTGGGGCTAAGCTCGTACTCGAACGACTCCTGTTTAGAGATGTTCAGCTGCATGTGCAACGCTTCCTTGTTCTCCTCGATGTCGATCTCGTCGTACAGCTGTTCCGTGATGTCGACGTCGCAGTCCTGACTGCTCTCGTCATAACTGTCGGTCACGGAGTTCGCAGCCAGGTGACCGCGGATGGACTCGTCGAAGGCGGTACTCTCCTCGACGGCCTCGTCGCCGGAACTCTCAGTTTCCTCGGACACGTCCCCGCTACCGGCGTACTTCATCTCCCCCCTCTCGAGAAGTTCCAAGTGATCCGGATATATCATAGCTTTCTTGATGGCAAGAGGATCCTTTCTCGACCACTTTTGCACCTCCTCGTCCATCTTGGCTACCTTCGCCGGGTTGATCGCCCACAGACAACCTTTCCTCTGGTTCCCATTACCAGCTGGCTTCTCTATCTTCTCGAAGCACTTGTTCAAGGACAAATTGTGCCTGACAGAGTTCTTCCAGCCGTTCGGTGCCGTTTTGAAATATGGGAAATGCTCGCTAAAAAAACAATTAAGTCTTAGATATTTATCAGAAAATTCTATAAAATATGTAAAACCACTGATAGAATATAAAACAGACTGTAGCGTAGTAACCAGTTACGAGGGGGGAAAGCTAGTTAAACAAAGGAGCCGTGGATTTTCTATGGGGACTGTACCCTGGCATGCACCTGGTACTCCAAGGGCCCCGTACAAAATGGCAGCTCCCCCCTCGTACAACCTGGGAATAAAGGGGGGAGGACAATACTTTCTCCCCCCTTAGGCTAACCATCGGAGGGCTTCGACCAGCCCTTATCCTTCCGGCCAAATGGTCGAAAATAAGCGACAGGCGACACCGTTTGTTGAGTATAAATCTGCTCTATTGTACGTTGGCTATCAAAAAAGTATTGATCGTGCCTTGAACCCTCTCTAAACTTATCAAACGATACAATTATCTATGGAGCCAACTTCCAACTTACCACATAAAATTGTATATCTCAGACACGGGTAGAGAGCCGGTCTGGCTGTTTTTCAACGCCATCGCGATTAAACAGGAGTATGAGTAAGCCGGTTTGGGATAAGATTTGTCGTCGTAGTCGGACAAATCGAATTCCTTCTCCCTTTTCATGGACGCCATTGCGGCGGCTCCTGGACTGATGTGCACGTTATTGTTGTAGATCTGCTTTCGCACGTGCTGAGGTGTCTGATTAGGATTCTGAAGGAGTTTGAAGTTCCGTACCCTGATGCCGGGCATGCCGTTTATCTTGGTGGTTGTCTGTGTCTTTAAAAACTGCGGCGAAGCCTTCAGGGTGGATACTGGTACTGTTTTCAATTTCGACGGTGTCACGGGCTTCGAGATCTCTTGCTCGTCCTCGGAATCCTCTTCAGTTTCCGTGATGTCGTTCTCGTATTGCTCGGTCTCGGTGTCGTTGCCAATTTCGTTCTCCAGCTCGTTGTCGTTGTCGTTTTCATGCTCATTCTCGTTCTCTATGTAACTACCGGCATCGTTCTCCAGCTCGTCCTCCACGTCTATCTTCTCCTCCTTTATCTCCTTCCTCGTGGAGAACGAGAAGTGCCTCCTGCCGTTGTTCGGGCTGGGACTACGGATCGCTATGTGAGGCATCACAGAATTTGGGTTCACCATAATGGAGGCGGCGTCGCTTCCGCTTAGGTCCAGATTGAAATTGCTGAAAGATTGGGATTTTGTTAATTGATGTACAAATTGAAAATTTACAGTCCGTGGAGGATAAATACCTATTGGATGAATTGCTGTTCCCATTGATCAAACTGGTGGAACCAAACCATCCACTGATGTCCCCCTGGCAACCGATCGGGTCGTCGTCCATCTCTAAGCTGGACATATCGGTGAAATTGAAACCCAATTCCGTGTGACCGCCGATCACTCCTTCGATTTCGCATTTGATGTCGACGTCGAGCATCTCTTGCAGCGACAGGCTATCCGTGCCGAGGTAGTAATCCATCGTGAGCCAAGGGTCCCTCGTCGGTCCCTGAACCAGCCCAGTACCGTGTCTACTCTCCGTATCCAACATTCACCTGACTGAAATTACAGAAGGAAATTAATTAAAAAATTGAATTTCTGTGAAACTCAGGGGTGAGATTCTCGGGTTTATTTCAAGTACCATGGACGGTAATTGCTCGATGAAAATATCGGTTTCATTAAAACTCGGTCTCTCGTCCATCGATCATTTTCACATGGACGCCCATCCCCCCCTTCCCTGGAGTTTAATATTCTGCCTGCACAAACTGCAGTTTGCAACTCGGCTCGCCGAGAATAATACGCGACGTGTCTAATATTTTTCCTAACACATCCCTAAGTCTCAAGATTTTTCAGTAAAAAAAAAGAGGTCAAAGATAAGCGCGCCTAATTCAGGGCCGTCGTTAGCGCCGGGCCCCGCGTTTCGATACTTTAAAAATGGCGTCTAATTAACAGTATTGGAACTAAATTGGAAAGAAAATTATTTAAATTTTTCTATATATATAGCAACAAAATAATAAATGAGTAAAATTGACTCGCCCCGGCAATCTAGAGTTAAATATTATCAAGAGTTTTGCCCGGGGCCCGCGACCTCTAGGTACGTCCCTGGCTTAATTCAATACGAATCTATCACAGATAATATTTCTCTGGTAAAAAAAAAAGGAATGCGCGCCCCGTTGAATTTCGATAATTTTATCGAATCTGAGGATCATCCTCACGATCTCTCGTAGCAAGGCCAATAGATTCTCGAGCGCATACGTACGCGTGACCTCGCAGCATTACACGGCATGTGTGCGCGCGCGTTTGAGTGTACACAGTGTGTACAAGCGCGCGACGAGGGTCTTGAACCCATAACCGGCTTGTGGGTGTGACTGACTCATAGTACTATAGTCGATTTACTATAGAACGCGTGGACTCGTAGTATCAATCCCCCCCCTCGCTCGCCGCCATCATAACCCTACTCGTAACCCTTTCCTCGTTTAACTATTTCACTCTCTTCGCGTGTCTTTGTCAGTTTCGTTCCATCATGGAGGCTCTCGAATGCGTTCATTCTTTCTCTTTCAATCGTTCCGTCCTCGTCGAACCAACTCTGGCTCCATCTCTGTCTCTACGGTACGAAGAGAAACCGCTTTGATCCTCTTCTGTTCGAAGCTATCGCTCTCTCCGTCCGGCGAGCGTGTTTTTATCCGTCGATTCTTTTTCCACGTCTGTTCGTTGCCACGTTTGATGTCCCGCCACGAATTTTCTGCCTCTTCCCTGTGACATTGATGATTACTTTTTACCGTTTCATCTTTCATTTTTTCCCCCCCGCCGATCACCGGGACCCGAGACAGTTGGCGAAAGAAAAAGGTAGGTAGATTCCTCCACCTCAACCCTCATTAACGATCAAGGATATTATCAATCCTTCGGGTTCTTTCTCCGCGGCTCCGATATTTCTCTGTCACGAAGAATCCTCTGGTTTCTTTCCGTCCGCCTCTCGTCCGCTAGTTCGACGATTCGTGGGACGGAGTTCTCCCGAACCGTGGCCTACAGAACAAACCACTCCACTCGAGGAGCTCGTGTTACGCACATGTCGGGCGCCGGATGCGCTACCAACCATCAAATTATCAGCGGGATGAATAAGACGGAGACGTTCTTCTTCGAAACGAATAAAATCGGTATCGTTGATAAATACAAGGACGATATTGTCAGCCCTCCGTCTTTTTAATTTAAAAAAAACAACCAAAACAATTTTTGTACCTAGGATGCTGCGCGCGCATCTGATCTCGAACGGCGCGAAATTTGAATACCCGTAACTTACAAATGACTACGGTGATTTTCCTTAGTACATATAACTGGTGGCTGATCAAGACTTTGCTCTAAAAATACCTGTACAAAGTGGAGGGAAAACAGGCGGTTGAATTATCGGGGGAGAAGGAGGGGGGAGAGAGAGAAAGACAAACAGAGAACTGACCCTGCTCCACGTAACACAACTCGTGTAGCGTGGAGTGGCCTTTACGCGCACGAGACATTCAAGTCTACGTGACTGAACGATATTTTTAGAAATGTAATGAAACGTTATTCGATGGCGCTTATGAGCTAAAATTTTATTCAATGTTCATCATTTTTTTTTTATATCATGGTACATCCAATTATTCAAATCTGGCGCCATTTATTACAAGCGCGGGAAAATACTCAAATTCAAAATTGTAATCCAAAAGATGTAACATTAAAGATACCCTATCTATTCTATTTTAAATTATTAATTCTCTGCGAGGTAAAGAGTGCTTCAAAGGGTTAAGAAACTTTTTCTAAAGAAGTTCAATTCCCAGAAGCGCGGACTGTAACGTTGACTCCGGCGAACATTCGTGTAAGCGTGTGTAAATGCTACTCCGGCCACAAATGAGCTGTGCACAGGGCACGTTTACATCGAGCACTCCGTGGAATCTGCGGTCAGATGCAATCGTGTATGCATCGCTTCGTACATCCGCCGTGAACAACACGCTATACGTATTTTCGTCTTGGGTAACGAAATTCCTCGTTCCACGGCCTCGTTATTACGATCATACATACTAGCGCAAAAGCCCGGTTAAGTTTGTAAATTACACACACGTGATATATAATATTATGACTGATATATAATACCGTTGACTCATCGAGCCGTTACGACAACCGAGCGTAATATATTCACGGGCCGATAATTGCGATGAATTCGCAGCGAGGTTAGGACGAAAATCGTCCCCGTGGAAATTTTTCAACGAGAGAAAATTAAAAACAGAGATGGCCGGGTCGTCGACCCGAGGAGCAACAAGCGGCAGCATTTATAAAATAGCTCTTCAACCGTGTGCAGTCGATAAGTTAATCTGAGAATGCTCGTTGCACATAGTAATTGAAACTAAAATAAAGCTTCCAAGGTTTAAGATTACCTTCTACGCGTATCAATCCATTTTTAATATTTTACCGACCGATGGCCTATTAATCGAATTTTTGTCCCCACGCTTATCGACCGGTAACCTATTAATCGAATTTTTATCCCTACGCTTATCGACCGGTAACCTATTAATCGAATTTTTATCCCCACGCTTATCGACCGGTAACCTATAAATCGAATTTTTGTCCCCACACTTATCGACCGGTAACCTATTAATGGTTGCCACGGTAACCAATAATTTCTTATCTATTATTGAGTTACAATTATTAAATTGTACTGTAAGCTTCCATATTCTTATATAATTTTTTTAATGTCAGGGAAATATTTGTTCAATCGCTACCGGTCGGTAAATTGTTAACAAATTCGAGCCCAGGGTAACAGCTGCGTATTTTCCCACATCTCTAAAATGTTTTTTCAAGCGGAATAAGTTTGCTATAGTAAGCAGTACGAAACTAGGTCAAACGAATTAGCAAGGATATTAAGTATCAAGGGTGAGGACCGTCGGGGCACGGCCCTGGCCGCTTCTCAATGTCTTTGGCGAAAACTTGACCGAGGAATACGAGGAACAGCCTTGAAAAAGAATGTCCACTTACTTGTAATAATATCGCAGAGTATCAAATGGTCGTTCCACTCGGTCGTTCTCAGAGGAAACCACCGGCTATGCCAGTGCCCTCGGGTCGACTTGGGAAAAATTGGAATTTTGGAATTTTTCAATTAGCATAAGTGTAAAAATTAGAATTTTTAGGAAGCTGAGAATGAGTTTAATATTTGGAAAAATTGTAAGGAAAGGAGGACGTATCGATTAAAAATAAATTTGCAAAGGGGTCGTAAGCGTGTAATTTTATGCTTGGCCATTTACAGGAAGGAGGGTCGTCGTCGAAAATTGTATCTCGTTCATGCAACAGGATAATCTTTCTTCCCTCGCCTCTTCAAGCTCGAGTTCCGAGAAGGGTCCTCGAGCGTTAGACGATCCTAAGACCCTGAAGCTATTCAACCTGAAATCCTTCGCAGGTCATAAAGGGCCCCTGCACGACTACCTCTATTTCATCCTAGACGCCGATCCCTCCAACGTTTTCCATCCGTCAGCTAACTTGCTTTGTGATCTTTGGACTCGAACAGGTTCAACAGTTATTCTGTGGAAAATTATCTGGTGAAAATTATTATCTGGTGTAACTGGGATTTAGTATGGAGTATGAGAGAGCCATTAGCTTCTTAACAGGGTCAAGTGTTAGAATTTTAGAATTTTGGAATTTTAGAATTTCAAGACCTTGGAATTTTAGAATTTCAGAACCTTAAAATTTTTGAATTTCAAAACTTTGGAATTTTGATGAATCTTCACCCATTTCCCTAATACTCAAAGATCAGAAGAAGGGGTAACAAGCCTACAAAACTGGAGTTGAGTTAGAAGATAACAACTCCTCCACAAATTACAACAATCGACCAGATTTCCCTTTCACCTGGTTTTCGTAACGGTGTGCGAGTGCACATTGGTGCAGCTGTATATCTGAAACACCTGACGAAACGTCCGTGGCAAGACGATGGAACTGATAAACATATATACACAAAGAGGGAGAGGGAGTTTGTATCGAGAAAGGGGAAGATCCGCTGTTCTTTCCCCATGGAAGCTCCTCGTAATTACGAAGCTCGACCAACTCCTATGTTCCTTAACCCTTTGCGCTTCGATACAATCATTATCGTGTACACTCGATAAAATCAGGTTTCCCTGGGAAAAATGGCGATGTCCCTGCTCTTGATCCTTCCCCGGAGACAACCCCGAGGAGAATGCCAATGTACAGGAGATGGCCCTGTATATATAGAAATCTGGCCCTATCACTTTCGATTAAACGTTTACGCGCGAAAATTTGAATTGATATTTATTAATTATTCATATTTTCCAGTTATACTTTGAATTTTATAATTCTATAATAATTAATAATTATAAATTATACTCTTGCCACTCCTATATCCCCACTTTCCATAGGGAAACCTAACAGTTTCCTTCGTAACACGAGAAATTCGAAAAATAAATATCGAGGTGAGCCTAAACGCAGCTTCCACTGCTGCACGGTGGAAAGCAGCCGCAGCTGCACGGAGCCGGCTCGTACCAGAGGGAAATATTTGACTGTACGTTTACCACGGTGCAAATGAAACAAATAAATTACGTCAAAATCTCAGGACTTTGGAACGAAATAATTTCAGAGTTTTAATATCTTTGAATTTTAGAATTCCTGATAAATGTTGAGAGGCAAAGTCGGCCAATCGACGGGTTTAGGCTTCGCGTGCGCATAAAACGCCGGGTTTCTTTGTGATCGTTGCCGGAGAACCGGTTTCAATCGCACAGAAGAAGGCTTGTATATGAAGTGAGTTGAATGTGAATCGTGTTCGTCTAATAAATGGACTTTTGTCCGTCCGATAACGTTGGGACACGATGTATCTTTTTACCGACACAATTTCATGACATAAAAGTATCACAAAATAGCACTCATGTTACATCAATTTAAAGCTTATAGTGTACCAAAAATAATTACATAAAGATTTCATGGATATTCTTAATATTAAATAATCAGTCTCTAATTATACCTCATGATAACAAATTTTAACCCTTCTTTGTTCCAATAAAGAACCCTTCATTTTCTCTAAAAAATTTCAACAAAATCCTTATGCAGTTATTTTCTTTAGACTTTGAACTTTAAATTGATGTACCATAAGTAGGATCTCGCGATACTTTTATGTCATGAAATTGTGCCAGACTTTCTATAATACATTGCCAGTTTAATGTACCGTACATACGTATTAAAAAAAAGGTTAACAATTCCCATTCGGTTCGAGTCGAACGACGATCAGGAATTAACTCAGCTCATAAATTTACAATGCCGAATAAAGATTGGCCATGTTTTTATCCTTGCCGGGTATTGCTCCTCGCCGGCCAGCTGCCGGGAGCAGTCAATTTCATTACGTGTCTTTGAACTCGGCAGCTGGATTCTCTTGTCGCCTCTCCCCTGCGCCCTTCTTCCCTTATCTTAACAAAATTCGTTATTACGTTAATTCTATTCCTGTTACCCAAAAGTGGTCACCTCGAAGGAACCGAAGGAAAGGAAGGTTTTCCCCGATCCCTTCGAAGGTGCCCCAAGTTTTTGTGGTATTTGCAGGGTACAGGTGTAAAAGCTGGCTGTCCCTTTGTTCTCGAAACTACCATTACGCGCAGGTAAGGAGAGAGTCGAAGCGTGTCGGACGGCGGAAGTTCTTTCCTGGCAGGTAGCTACGAATTTTTAACACCGGCTCAATTACCCCCCCCCCCCCCCCCCCCCCCGCTTTCTTGCCTCGATATTCAACCATCCCTCCGCCCGACCTTCCCGCAACTGGCTCGCCTATTGTTCCTAATAAATATTGAACTTTCCGAAGAGTAACTCTTCCACGGCGGAACGAGTAAAACGTAGCCGAGTCAAAGGACGGTTTCACGGTCGCGAAAACATAGAAACGCATCTCACGGCAAATCTTTTCCCATGGCCGCGGTGCTCACCCGGCTACTTCCTTCACGGTGTACACTTCCGCCGATAATGTTCGCGACCAGGATTCGTCAAGCCTCGATAAACGTTGCGTTTACCCTCTCGTTTGTATGCAAATAGGTCACGCAATCCCCCCCCCCCTATACGATCCTATCCCTACTGTTACTATCGTTGAATAATTTTGTAACATGCTAACATTTTCATAAGATTTCGTTGCAACAGAGGTGGAACAATGTGGAATACCTGACGGGTCAATAAACTAATATCGGTGACGAAAGGTTTCTGCTGTAGCGATTTCCTTTGAGAGACTCTCGTTATATTGCCGAATGGGCGATTTGACCTTCATAGGAATTTTCAAGGACATCAGTGACTATAAAAATGATACAATTTTATTTCTGTTTCTACCCTGTAAAGATGGGCTTGAAAGATTGGAAAATTTCTCTCTCTTTTAACCCCATCCACGGCGATATAACGAGAGAGATTTTATATTTCTTATGACGTTGCGTGAAATTTTCAGAAATATTAAAAAGAAGTTTTTAATTTCCTAAAGAAGAACATCTGACCCTTCCTTTGAAAGAGACTCTCGTTATATTGCCGAGTGGGTGATTTGACCTTCATAGAAATTTTCAAGGACATCAGTGACTATAAAAATGATACAATTTTATTTCTGCTTCTACCGTCCAAAAAAGGGCTTGGAAGTTTGGAAAATTTCTCCCTCCTTTAACCCCATCCACGGCGATATAACGAGAGAGATTTTATATTTCTTATGACGTTGCGTGAAATTTTCAGAAATATTAAAAAGAAGTTTTTAATTTCCTAAAGTAGAACATCTGACCCGTCTGACCCTCCCAATTGGCTTAAAATCTATTTTCGTATGGGATCTCTCATTTTAACGAACAGGAGCTTGAGAAAGTGATGCTCTATTCTTCGAACTCTCTATTCGTTATGTAAGAGATAAAAACGTTTAAACAAGGCCACGTGAACAGCTTAACGCGCGAGGGAACATAAGATACAACAATGTCGCCATTTATCGCCGTTGACCGTCCGGGGTATCCTTTCGTGCCACGATTTTTAGGTACGCCGTTGGACAGCCCCGAGCCAACACAAAAGCGTCCCCGTCCCGCAGGTATCGAAATTTCGAAGCCCCCCAAAATTACTGTTGGAATTTTTCCGTTTCCTCCCGGCAATGGGACCGAATCACTTCTCTTCCATCCTCGTCGAAGCGCTACGTGACGTGAATGTTTCCGGAATATTAAATGATAGTGATCTTTTCATAAATTTCTTGGATATTATATTAGAAACGGAAATGCGTTCTGGAAATTTTTAAATTTAAGGATTTTAGAATTTAAAGATTTTAAAATTTATGAATTTTAGAATTTTGGAACTTTAGAATTTTAGAATTAAAAAATTTCAGAATTTAAGGATTTCAGAATTGAAAGAATTTAGAATTTATGAATTTTTAAATTTAAGGATTTCAGAATTTAAAAAATTTAGAATTAAAAAATTTTAGAAAATTAATGGGGCGAGTTCACATTTTTGTGGAGGCCTAGTTACGTCAGTGGTAAGAAAGCGATTTCTCGACAATCTGATAGGGAAAATAAATTTTCATTTACAGCCGTGAAAACTGTACCAAGAAACACGTGGTCAGCTCACTATACCATTTGAACGCTTTCACGTAGCTCGAGTAGATATATCAAGGCACGAGTACACATTGCTTTTCTAGTGTTTATTTAAGAGCCGTGAAAATGAAGATCTCACCGGAAACCGCTCCCTGTTACCCCCGCCTCTCTATCCAGAGCCTCTATTTAATCTTTTTAGACACTTTAGTATGTTCCAACTACTGTTCTCTGCCCCTCGCTGTTCTAACATTTTAAAATTCTAAAATGCCTACCTCAGAAAAAAATCCTAATTACACCCCTGTTTCTCATATCCATAAAATTAACTACCGCAATTACACGGTTCGCCTCCCATTACAATGAGCAGTAACAGGAATACGAAGATTTACCCCCCCCCCCCCCATCTCTTCATTAAAATCGAACAATATAACATCTAACGAAGGAAAAAAAAAAAAAAAGAATTAGATTTTTTCTTGTAACTGGTAAGATTTTGATTGGCATTAAACGGCGGGGAGGGGCGTACCCACGAATGCAGAGAGCAGGCAGTCTGGATCTTGCGATGGACCAACCGTGTACAGAGCTGCGCCTCTCCTACCGCGCTTTTCGCCGAGTATCGATCTGATATTCCTGCCGACCAGTGTTTGCAACAGAGCTACGAGACCGTGTCTGCACCCTGCCCGCCCTATGCGCACACGCTTACCAACACAACGAACGCGGCGTTTGTGGTAGGCGAGGGCTCTCGGCTCTTGCCGCTCTCGAGGCAAGACCGTTTGAAAATTCAGCCTCCTAGATAATATACTTTCCAGCCCTGCCGATCGAGCCGAAAACCGTCGACTCCATTTTGGAAATTTCTCAAATTTTCCTAAATCCTCCATTTTTCAAATTTTCCTAAATGCTCTATTTTTGAAATCTTTCAATTTTCCTAAATCCTCTATTTTTCAAATTTTTCAATTTTCCTAAATCCTCTTGAAATTTTTCTAATTTTTGAAATTTTTCAATTTCCTAAATCCTCTATTTTTCAAATTTTCCTAAATACCCTATTTTTCACTTTCCGAAGACCACAAGTCCGATTGACTAACGAATTATTAATTAAATAACTGCGTTCCACGTAACGCCTGAACCAGACGCAACGATTATATTGGGTCGTCAGGGTTTGAAAACCGAGTGGGTACTATTACCCACTCGAAATGGACGATAACGTATGCAGCTGTTACCCAGGAGCCTAACTTGTTCGGACCGAAGGCGAAAAAATATTTTCCAATTTCTATTTAACGATTTGATACGCCAGTTGGAAACTAAATGGTGCATACGGCATCGACCGCCATAGACAGATCGAACGCGGGAACGTCACGTACACGTGGACGTGTGGCAGTGGCAAATTGGCGCGAAAAAATGTCTGCCTCGGTAATGGTTCGTTAGAACCATCACAGAGCCGCGACAAGTCCCGATTCCACTTTCTAAATAAAATAGAAATTTTAAATAACCCCGTTCAGAGGTGGGAGAATTATAAAATTTATTTTTGTAATTTAAAAATTAAATTTGGCGCGAAAAAATGTCTGCCTCGGTAATGGTTCGTTAGAACCATCACAGAGCCGCGACAAGTACCGATTCCACTTTCTAAATAAAATAGAAATTTTAAATAACCCCGTTCAAAGGTGAGAGAATTATAAAATTTATTTTTGTAATTTAAAAATTAAATTTGGCGCGAAAAAATGTTAGAACCATCACGGGGCCCCGACAGGGCCCGATTTGTAGAATCGATTCCACTTTCTAAATAAAATAGAAATTTAAAATAATCCCCTTCAGAGGTGGGAGAATTAAAAAATTTATTTCTGTAATTTAAAAATTAAATTTACCGCGGCACAGGAAATTTGCGCAACGAAATTTTAATCAGTCCGAGCGTGTGGCAATAGCGAACTATAAGCATCGCATGAAAGCGTAATTTACCAACTTTTTTTACGACTCTATCCTTCCACATCTTTCAAAGCGACTTTCTAACTCGTAGAGACACTCTCCGGCTTCGTTACAGAACAATCGTGTGAATTAAACGTTTGCCTCGAACGATGCTTTGGTAAACAGAAAGAGAGAGAGAAAAAAAAAGGAGCGGGGCAAAAAACGGTCGAAGGTGTAATTACGATGTTCTTAATAACTCATGGAACGTGGATTCTAGTTTTCAGCGTATCCGAGTTGGAATATTTAAGAAATAAAAAAAAGAAAAAAAAATTGAAATAATAAAATAATTTTACAACGGCAATTGAGTTACGTAATTATTATACTTTCTCAGGTAACCGCAAAAGGGCCAGGCGGCCATTTATAAAAGAGGATATACTAAGCAAACAAAAAACATTCGGGGCAGTCGGTCCGCGGTGACAAATAATAATCACTCGTGAACACGAACATGGCCGAGGTGAATTTCGGTCGAGCCTGTAGGATATTTCCTGCGGTGGGCATATGGCGAGAAGTGGGGTTCCCCGAAGGTTCCCACGGTCAATAGCTCCGCGGCGGTGAGGCTTGAAACAGCACGAGGGGGACCCTCCCTCGTTATTCGCAACATTTTCGAAAAACCTCCTTCTGGGAAGTTCCACCGGAGAAACCATCAATCTATGACCGAGCGATGCACCGTTACACGTCGGTACACAAAAGTGTACAATATCGTCCCTTTCTTCCCTGGGATTTAATGACCCTGTAGATCCCGATCCCTATCCGGAATAGCCGGTTAATTATTACCCAGGCTATTATCGATCCCCGGGGAAGAGGAAATTTCTTAATTACGAATTATCGTTGTGCTTGCAAAAATGATATTTCGATATCAGTGTTGCGTCGTTTTTGAAAATAAACGCGCAGAGGCCGAGAACGTTATGCAACGTGCAGGTAAACATTGATTAAACCGGTAAACAGTATATAATTTTAATTCGGTGCATAAATGAAAATCGATAGTAATTTATATTAAGCTTGTGTTTAATAATTCGTGATGAAAGAAAAATATGGAAAAATTTGTTGGAAAACCACTTTCGTGCACGATTATTTTCCTCTGTCATCCATGGATACGATACGAATGTGGCATCGTCGAGAAATAAAAAGGCGCGGTGTAACAATAGCTTTCATCACCGGAAATATATATATTACAATTAGGAAGATTTCCCGGTATTACACTCTCTTCCCGCCGAAAGCAATTCCGAGGCCCATTCTCTGTTCCCGATGAATCACTCATTCAGTTCGAATTGACAGACACGAGTCGAGCTGATTGTTTATTTTTATGGAACGTGCTGGTAGGTTTAATAAATAATTGCCATGGTGATACGTTCACGGCCGCCTACGCCGTCGAAGCGCGGTAAACGTACGAATCCCGCGGCTGCTTGTGGAAATTATATCTAAAACGACCTAAAAATACCGGCACCGCGCAGGGGCGAAAAAAAGAGAAAAAAAAAAATTCATCGAACCACCGGGACTGGTTCTGACAGATTCGTCGGTTGCTATCAATCGTTGTAAATAAACACGAACGTAACGTAGATACATTGTAACCCGCGATTCTTTGAGACATCGAGAATGGGGAAAAAAAAATTCATGCATAAAAGCGTCATGACTGCCCCCTCGTACCTTGACACTCGAAAGCTTCGACGACTCGGCGGGCCGGCAAAGCACACGAAATATTTCACCGATATATCCGGAAAACTCGATTGAACGATACGTAATGGTGCGTAATCAGACCTACCGTGTATTTGACAATCCTTAAAGCACGTCGTCCTCGCGGGCAAGCACCACTTTCACACATATATTTACAAGAGAATTATGCGATTTTTGGCAGCGACCATGTATAAACGGACACCGACACAAGGCCCCCTTTACGGAACTGAAGTAACGTTGACGGCAAGCTCGTGAACAAAGACCACGCACGATTTCAAATCCCGCCTCGACGATTGGCTGGCCGCGGTCACGTGGTTACGCCGCCCTATTCTGATTGGCCGTCCGGCACGGCCTGTGAGGACATTTTAAACGATATACTTATGCACATGGCTGACAGAGGGATATCTGCGAGGATATTTTCTTCTCTATTTTTATGTACAATTATCATTTTTATGCGTGATAACAATTTTCTTTGAACGATCGTTTGGTAAAAATAATCAATCGTACGCGTTTCAGGTTTCGGTGTACTCGTTGCGACTGACAGAAGCTATCGCATGTTTTCTCCTAGTACCTTCCCCACTTCAAAATGGCCGAACCCAAACATTACGTGAAAAACTATTCACTGTCGTTTTATATTTACATATTTTAATTCTCTGTCTGGCTAAAAAAATGATTCTAATTTTTAGCAATCGTTTGAGACGAAAAAGTTTCATAACCTAAGCCCGTGACACGAAAATTATATTCGGTGGGGGATCGAAAACATTGGACGAGTCCATAGTTCTACTAGAAAGGGGAGGGCGGCAGTCTCGTTAAGAATGAACCACTGCAATAATGGCGGGAATGCAATACATAACATACCCACACACTTACACGCACCCAACATGAATTTATCGACTTTGATGCGAAAAGGAAAACACAACAGCGACTATCATCTTGTACGATTGTTTTTTCACATTATTTATAATTTTTAATCAAATTTCAATGCTATCAAAGTCAATAAACATTATCTTGGATTTAATAAACTATTTATAAAAGTGTATAACTGTTGTAGACAATTTTTGCTGTACCTTTTCATAAAATATATGACTTTTTCAACAAATATATATAAACATACAAGATATTTTTACAAAATTCCACGATTTGGCATTGTATTTGAACACTTGTGATTATTTTGCTACTCATCTGATTACTGATCGTGCATTTTAGATATCATAAATATATGAATTAATAATGTCTTTCAGTACCTTATTTAAATGCGTTTAGTTGGTCCTTTCGATGAAATACTCTGTTCTACTCGAAATACTCGCAACATGCAAGGATATTTCATTAATTGACTTGTTAGATCCCATTTTATCTTCACATTAGATCATTTCTGCTATATATCATTCTTGAACAGACCCTATTTAACAAATTTACTAATTTTGATATATTCTTAGAATATATCTTTTAACAATTTTAAAATTTGAATCTTACATAACATTTTATGGGTTATTGCACTATGTTTCGCTTATCCAGTATAAAGCTTAATTGCATTATTTTTCTACCCTCTGCTAAAAGCCTGTATCTTCATTATTTTCTGCTTATTATTAACCTTACTGTCTTTGGTTCGTTAATGAGACTTCTACGTGATGCATAATCGTCTGAAGAGCTGTTTAGACATTGGCTACTGCCGGGATTAGTTTCAGGTATATTTCAATACCCTTTAAAAATATATCTTTGTTCAGATATTCATCGTGATCATGGAGAAGTATTTTCGTTTTGTTCATTGGTGAAAAACCAATAGCAGGAATTCCAACCTGTAACATTCGTTTCAATATATTAAACATATTCATCCACTAAACCCTGAAATCTGATAAAAAAAAAAATATTTACGTATCGCACGTATCGGCTATCCGTCCCGCCCGGAAAGACTCCTATTTGCAGATTTATTCCCAGATTGTCGCATACTTTTTTAAAAGCTATCCAATAAGGATTCGAATCATCCAGTCGTGTACTCTCTATCTTAGGATTTTTCTGTTCGAACGTGTAAGTGACATCAGTTCCGGCTTCCTCGCACCACTTCTTTATCATAGCTTCAAATTCTTCATGATCTTTAGAAGGATCAAGTCGGATGTCGAAGATCGCTGTCAACGACGGGGGCACCACGTTGGTTTGCACACCACCCTAAAACAAACGATGAAATATTAATACCATACTAAACACAAAACATCACAATATGATAAAAAAATCTAGTAAAAAGTACTCGTAAGGTTATCAAGTACATACCATGTAACATTATTTTCTCCTACAGGCAGAGACATGTAATTTTTGTAATAGAGAATACTTTAAATGTTTGATTAAATGTTCAGGATTATTCAATTTCCTATGATTATTGAAAGGAGATACGTACCCGCAGTTGTGTTAAATTAACAGACGTGACGTCACCAAGCTGAAGCTCAGGATTTTTCAATTTCTCTTTCTCTTTGGCTCTGAAGTCCATGAAACGATCAATGACGGTTCTTATCTTCTCTCCAGCTGAGTTGTCCATCAGAAGGGATCCATGGCCAGGAGTGCCTTGACACTCCACTGCTACATGCCAAATGGATCTTTCGGCATAGAACAAGTAAAATTGTTCTTCAGGACAAGCTACACCCTCGTCCAACGCGAAACCGATATTTAAAGCCTGGAAGTCCTTGGTGTGAACGAATATTTTCATGCCAAGTGCTCCGCCAATCTCTTCGTCCGGCACAAAGGAAACGTGAATCGTTCTTTTAAAACGTTGCCCGGTTGATTTAAACCGGCGAATCGCTTCTAAATATTGTATCCCAACGCATTTCATATCCTGACTACCACGAGCATAAATGTTCCCTTGCTCGTCCATCTGGGCACCAAAGGGTGGATAGGTCCACATATCCTGAAAATTTTACTTCATCAATAATCTAGCATTCTTCTTTAGTCTTAATTGAACATATATACTTACTTCAAAAACAGGCACAACATCCATGTGACTATTCAAAAGAATAGCAGGCTCTGACGGCTGTGTACCTATCCATGTGAGAACCACGATTGGTTTTCCTGGATGAACCTGGTATACCTTGATAGGTAAATCAAGGGATTTGGCTTGTTTTTGTAAAAATGCAATACAATCATCTGTAACAAAATTTTCTTTCGTTAATAAGAAACTAATCTACGCGTAAGGTAATTGCTTTTATTGTAAACATGTTTCTGATAAATATTTCTGAATATCAAAGTTATATCGCTCTGTTATCGAAGCTTAAATTAAATGCAAACAGAGATAAAATTTAGATAGTCATGCAACCATGGATTACATTAGCCTCTGAAAAGAAGGTCAGACACAACGTATCTTCTTTTTGACATAATAAGCGATATTATCTTATCTCCTGATACTACCTATGGTGCTTGTCAAAAAATTTCTTAAAATTTCTGGAGCGATCTAGTACTATTTCCATTTTATATTTCACCAGACTGAACACACATAATATAATAATTTTCTCCATAGTTTGTCAATGGTAATCATAGAATCGAATAAACATAGAAAACAATTAAGACAACAGGATGATCAGCAAATATCTCGGTTTCTATGCTATTCAGGTCACGCACGATTCCTCGCATACCTGTGTGTGAAAATTTGCAAATTTTTGCAAAAACGAACCAAACGATCAAGGGGAATTTCACGGTGGATTTAAAAAGACTCTAGGGAGTCGGAGAAAAAATACAAAAATAGAAATAACATTCTTCACAGGGTGGGGCATGGCAATGGCTGGGTAGCGTCTCCGACGCTACGAACTTCTATCGCTGGGACAATTGAAGGGACCCCTGTTTCTATGCGGAAACGTACCACAGCTTCGTGAATTAACGTGCAAGATTAGTCGAGCAGCCCTCGAGAAGCGAGGAGTAATTTGCTTAACAAGGAAACGAGCGACCCCATTCCGGTACGCAATATGCGTGCATGATTTTTACTCGTGTGTTTGAAAGTACACGCGTGAAATTCACGTTGCCTGGTTAGCAATTAGAAAATTTTAATTACACCTGATATTACTTACCGTAATTGATATTTGGCTGAACCGAGGGTATTCGTAGGTATTCGCGAAAATTTTCTACAGCTGTTGCATCCAGCTGAGCTTTGGACAACGAAGACATTGCGTGGCCTGCTGATCACCGCGTCGGACGCCGCTGACTCGACTGTCATAGCAGACGCCTGCCGCCTCTCTTAGCCAATTGTCGCTGATTATCGCCTATGACGTAGCCGAGTGTCGACCAATCGTGACGCGCGGACTAAGATGGCGGGATCGTGCGCGTCTATTCGAAAGAAAGATAAGAAGATTAGAGCGGATACATATTCTATTATTTTTATTATACAAACATCGTTGCGTTGGAAAGTTTTTAGCTCCGCGATAAATTACACGCATAATATTTATACTTCTGATAAGTAAAAATAGGTTCTGTGTTCTTGAACGAAATATAAATAGATAAAAAAAAAAATGATACCGGTTCGAGAATGAATATGCATAAGGTGTGGCGCAGTAAGAAAATGATCCAATGCCTATTAATTCGTAAAATGTATTCCGATTTATTAAATTTCATGTATGCCTAAATATGAGCTCTTTACACGTTACGCCATAATATTATATTCATATAGTGTTTGATATCGAAGAACTTGTTACATTCATTAATCGATAGTACGTGTTAAATTATCATACAATGTAGAATATAATGCAACGTGGCTAATAACTAGGCACATACATGTAACAGTGAATTGCAAATAAAAAAATCATGTGTTTCAGATACTATTATAAAGACGAACTTTTTTCTTCTCAATTTATATATATAATTATATACTTACATATAATTATATATATACATATATATATGTACATACAATTATTAATAATAGTAATAATATAATAATGGTAATAATAATAATAGTTATTGATCTGTTTTATTTACAACATTGAAACTATTGTACTAACGAGTTTTTCCTAATCTTTTGCCTTCTCACCATTCTAACACGTCTTACTTATATCTTTATATATAACAACAGAACGTCTTTGTCGTTTTTTTTCTTTTTTTTCTTGCTTGCTATCTATCAGAATGTTTTTCATTATACAGATACATTAGGGCAACCAGAGAGAATTGTACAACGAATAGAATATATTTTATAAAGCTGAACGCGTTTATACTTTATTTCTGTTACGTGTATCTTGTATGAATGCATGTATGTATGTATCGTATGCAGCCGCAAAAAGCAATCGTATTACCGCTCTTCTTTTTGTTCCATCGGGTGTCCTCTTTCCCAAAATCGAGTAGCATATTTTCATTCACGATTCATCTATGGATTTCTTTCTCTTTCTTCAAAGAACACGCAAGATCTCAAAGGAGACGTCCCATACTTAAATTTATCTTACAAAAATATTTACAAATTTCACAGAGTACACCAGCCGAAAGTGGTGAACGTTATAACCTGTACACACTCCTTGTAAACGTTCACGACCGCAGGTTGGCTCGAGTATAACTTACACTAGTATACACGTTTTCGTTATAATTATATCGGCTAAAGTATAAAGGAATACCAAATGCCAAAAATATCGCTCGTTTCACAGACGGTTTTTCCCTTTCGTTTTTTCTTTTTTTTGCATTTGTCATCGCAGAAGGTGCAGCCAAACGAACTTAAGTTGAATTACAAAGAGGACGATGCTTGGAAGGTTTCATAATTTTTTTACCAATGAGATCCATAGAATACGTTCAGGAGTACCGTTTCAAATTCATTTCTCTACTGTTCGTTTCAAACATTTCATTATCTCACAGAGATCTTTGATGTCATGCTTGAGTATTTTCCGAAGCGGTATAACGTGGCTTTGTACGCGCTAAAATCTCAATAACCTATTACGAAACTTTAGTTTTGGTTGGCTATCCCTTTTGTGTTTGAAATCGAAAAGTACAGTATCGATCATAGTATCCGTTCGTCTAGTGAAAAAAAGCACTGACTTAGGAGTCCAAGTTTAACCGCAGCATATATCATAAATCTAATTATTTATTAAAAGCGTTAAAATAATTAACATAATCATCTGATAAAAGCTTTAGAATTTCAAGTAAATTATTGAATATTCTAGAGCTTTTATCAGATGATTATGTTAATTATTTTAACGCTTTTATTAAATAATTAGATTTATGATATTTGCCGCGGTTAAACTAGGTCAGTGCTTTTTCACTAGACGAACGAACTCTATGATCGATACTGTACATAAAAACAAAAACTGACGATGGATATCGATCTGTTGCTAATTGGCGCGAACTCTTTGAGGAATCATTACATTTAAAAATAGAAAATTCATTTTAATTATTGCAAAACTTCGAAATCTATCTATCGATCCTGTAAGTTAAACATAACCTGAAAATGATTTTTCCTTTGACCGAAAACGGTTAGACGCTCAAAGAGTTCTTTTCGACATTTTAACGAAGATTTGATTCGTTAAGGATACAAGTAAAATAATAAGAAATATTTGTGGCCTTCAGTTTCGGCAAAGTTTAAACTCTTCGGCTTGAATATGTGTATGCGTGTGTATGTATGCCCCGTGTGTTGGAATCAAATCGAAAAAGGCGGGAGTTTAAAATTTGCAAGATATACAAGAGCCGAGAGAACGCATAAATTCCATGTTACAACGAGTAACCTCCAATAAGAAGTATCGCAATTAATTAACGCAGTTAATACATATGTACACACGACAATATACGCGATAATTTCCTGGTGAAATTCTTTGTACACTAATAACGCCTTATATTAAACCGCTTGTGTACACTGGGCGAATTGTCCTTAATCAAAAAAGGTATCATTTTTACAATTGTCGAGTAAAAAATTCCCCGATCACCGGTTTAAAAGAAAAGAAGCATGAAAGAAAAAAAAAATAAAAGTAGTCGAACAACAGACGAACATCGCGCGCACTGTGCAATAAATAAAATTAAAAAAAAAAAAAAAAAGATTGTTCCTTTTAGTACGTCCGCGAACTGATTAGAATGATTAAACGACGAATTACCAGAAAGCAAGCGAAGCTACTGATTCGTTTTTCTTCGTTTTCTTTACAAAAAATAACCTACGATTTATTCTCTTTTCTTTCTCTCTCTCTGCCGTACTAACTTTTCTTTTCTCCTTATTGCAGTTTGCACATACACACACATACACGCAGACGCGCGCATACACACCCATTCACTCTCTTAACGCATACATTCTATTTTAAATCGCCTCTTAAAAGAGTTTTGTACTTGAGAATGAATGTTCAGTTTCAGGATCATCAAATAATAATCGTTCGCGATGATGCGCCCCGCCGCGCCCTATCCCTGAACATAACCTAAAATCAGCGTCGTTCGCGTTCGGGCGACAAAAGAACCTGGGGGAAAAGTTTCAGAACTCGAGCGCGAGCAAATGAAATCGCATAAAAATGAAAAATATTTATGGCAGGCCCAGAGTTCATTGGCAATCGTTAAAATCTGTACGGTTTGACAATGAACTCGTAGCAGCTTGAAAAACAACGAAAATGTTCAGTCTACGGAATCGAATTTCATTGTACAATTTCGTTATTCCCTAGGCAGGCCTTTTTTATTTTCCCCCCATTTGGAATCGATGAGAAGCGAATTTCTTTTTTCGACAAGGAACTCGTTTACTGTGCGGTACGTCGAACTCGATTAAACACATATCTGATTCTACCAACACCGCATGTATCGTTGCTATTCGTAACAAAAATCGAACAGAGCGCAACCATACAGCAGGCAAATCTACAACATCGATCATAGTGTCCGTTCGTCTAGTATATTTTGTAATTTCAAATAAATTATTGAATATTCTAAAGCTTTTTCAGATGATTATGTTAATTATTTTAACGCTTTTATTAAGTAATTAGATTGATAATATTTGCTGCAGTTAAACTTGGATTCCAATGTCAGTGCTTTTTCACTAGACGAACGGACACTATGATTGATATTGTACATTACTTTTCTTCGTATCCTGTTTATATATTATGCAATATATATGCAAGAAATAATAAATATTTACAGAAAAAAAAAATGCAAGTTATGCATGTATCGTGTGTGTATGTGTCACTGTGTATCGAATACGCGTGTAATTAATTACCAGTTATACGGTATTTAGATTCCAATTTTCGTTCAGAAAAATTGGACTACTGCTATGTATAAACGATTCTTAGGGCACCAATTATTTGATCGGTAATAAAAAGTGCACGGATAATACACCCTTTGGCCGTTTACGTTTAGACGCCAACTCAAGATTTTTTTCTCTCGAACCACGTTCGTCCATCGTTAAAATGCAACGAAAACGCCTACGCATCGTTTCCCTTTACTTTGTTCGAAATACTTAAATATATCACTTTAGGCCACGCCGAGTATTCTAATCGATCGAAACCACGCGAGAAGCGTTCTCTTCCAAGCGGACGACGATGCATGCATACGTAACGTTTCTGAACCACGAGCGAGAACAGTGTAGCACCTGAGATCACGTATCTCTTCTTCTTCTCCCGGTGTTGAGCCAGTCGTGCGCAAAGATCATCGTTAAAATTTCTAAATATACCATTCTCTTTCATTTCCCTAGAACAGCACGAACGATGCAAGGCAGAAGATGAGATTGTGTGAACTTATATATATTTCTCTGTTCTCCTCGAGACGCGCACAGTTCGTTTCGCTGCCTTCCTCGCCGCGCCACGGAGGAGATACGTATACTCTAACTCGCTAATCTAAAAGAAGAGAGAAAAAAAAAAAAATGAAATTTAAACTTCCGTATTGGAAGCAGATCTAAAAAAAAAAATTTTTCCCCAGCTAAAAACCTGCTCTTTTCATAGCGCTACCTTTTTATGTGGGTTAAGACCTCGGCGCCGGATGGTTATAAAATTGCTTCTGCGATTGCCCAGACGCAGGGTAGATTTGATTTCCCGGTGGCGGTGTCACGGATGAGAACTTGGCGACCGGCACGGCCGTGGTCGACGGCGGAATGAACTGAGGGGGATACGGGTTCGAGCCTGGCGGTGCTTGGGACGCCTGAGGCACTAGAAACTGTTGCTGCGCCGGCTTGGTCGTAGTCGCTTGGGGCGCGGCGTTCGCGTAGATCGGTTGGGCCACGTTCTGCGGCACGGTGAAATTTTGATACTGAACCGGGCAAGGTTTCGCTTGGAACTGAGCGTAGTGGATGGACGCCGATCCGGG